ACCCAGGGTTCAATCCCCAGGTCTACAAAACAGACAAACAAAACACGAACACATCTGCTGTACAAGATTCCGGTTTGGAGGGTGCAGGTGGAGAGCGGGCACTGACCTCTTCTAGAAGGAAACTGGAGCCCTGTGACCCTTCCATGCCTTTGGGTGGTGGACCTGGTTCCTGCCCCAGAGGATGGTGGAAATGCCAACGGGTGGCCAGCGATGGGGAGTGGCACAGGCAGAAACCAGCCCAAGCCACTCGGCTACCTAGAAAGTATTGATGTGTGAAGACACCTGCCTTTCAGAACATCAGATAAGCAAACAAGCAGGAAGATATATACCGCAAAAGGAGTAAAAATACTTGTTTGCTTTCCTCCTTTCCTTCCTTCCGTTCTTGAGACAGAATTACTATGTAATTCAGGCCAGGTTTGAATTGGCAATCCTCCTCCCTTAGCCTCCTGGCCACCATGCCACCATGCCTGGCCTACAATACATTTTTCATATCTCTCTTAATTATAAAGAGGCATTAACATGTAGCTGCTACTATTGTGTTTTGTGGTTGTTTGGTTTTTTATTTTGGCAAACAGCTATACATAATCCGGTTTTTCCACAGGCTTATGGCAAAGGAAAAAACATTTAAGCAAAAATTTTTTAAATCGTTAAGGAAAAAATACCCAAGTGGCAGGAATATTTCCCGCAGACCTGACCCCATTTCTGTCTGTAAACTACTTGTCTTCGGCACAGTCTGCCCTGCAAAGACCAGGAAGGGGTGCGGGTTGCTGGTGCTCACTGCAGTCACCGGGAGGTGGCAAGGAAGGGCCTGATTTCTGGCTTCTAGTGAGCAGTTCCAAAGGACGAAATCCTAACCCTAATCCTAGCGGTTGCCTTCTGTTCCATAGGACAGAAGGTTCTAGAACAGTGCTAACTCCAGCCTGACTTGTGCTTCCTGTCTCCTGACCGCCAGCTTGGTGCTTCTGAGCCTCGTGGGCACACAGGGCCGGGTGTCCCTCGTGCATGAGGAACCAAGTGGTCTCCTTCCTGGGCCCAGGACTCTGGGGACTCTGCTCCTCCATCCGGCTCTGCTCCTTCTCCTCCATGCCATGGCTTGGTGCCCTTCCTCTCCTCCTCCTCCCTTCCATCCTCCCTCCCTTGCTTTTGACCTCTGCCCGGTGGCAGCCTTTCCTTCCTGCTCTGTCCCCTCCTCCTCCCCACCCTTATCTCCCCTCCTTCCTCCTCCAGATGCCCAGTGGTCTCCTGGTCCAGTCGTGCGCTCCCCTTGTGCGCAGCCACGTGGAATCCTCGAGGCCTGAGGTCATGCGTTCCTCTGTTGGGCACCCTGGGCGCTCTGCGTGCGGTCAGAGCGCGGTTGGGGACCGCAGACCTGGGGTTGGAACTGCGCCCACTTTCTGTTCCCTTGGCAACCGCGTCTGCTCCTGTCTCCCTTTTCCCCAGCCCGCCCACCTCGGCCTCCAAAGCCCCATTGGAGCACAGCCAGGTGTCCACGCGCACTGCCCTCTAGGCCGTGACTCGCTTGGGAGGTCGAGCCGCTGAACAACACCAGTGGAGGGAGACCCCAGATCGGCTCTGCAGGAAGCCCAGGCCCACAGCTGTACTCAGGGCTTCCCCACAGCCCAGCTTCCTGTGGCAGCTTCTAGGAGATGTGAACCGCCCCTCCTCATCCTCCCGAGTATGGTCACCACCCTCTGCCTGCCAGGGCCCCGCGTCGCATCTGTCGGTCCATCCGTCGGTGTGGACTGTGCCATGGTGGGTTCTGGGAGGGAAAAAAGGGTCCACTCACTCCCGCTGTGATTGTGTTCACTGCTCCCGTTAGGGACCTGCGGACTAGGGGTCAAGACCAGGCCTGTGGACGCAGGGAACCGATGAATGGATGAATAAATGGATGGATGGCTATATGGATGAATGGATGGATAGATGGATGAATGAATGCATGGATGAATCGATGAACATACGAATGATGGATGGATAGATGGATGAATGGATGGATAGATAGATGGATGGATAGGTGAATGAATGGATGGCTAGATGGATGGATGCTTGTATGAATGGATAGATGGATGGACAAATGGATGGATAGATGGATGGATGAATGGATGGATGGATGGATGAATGGATGGCTAGATGAATGAATGAATGAATGCCTGAATGAATTGATGGATGGATAAATAGATGAATGGATGGCTAGATGGCTGGATAGATGAATGGATGGATGGATGGATGAATGGATGGATGGACGAATGGATACATAGATGGGTGGATAGATGGATGGATGGATGGATGGATGGATGGATGGATGGATGGATGAACTGGCAGCATGGGCAGTCACATCAGTCACACTTGAGTCCAGTGAACTCTGCCTGCTGACCCTGGCCTCCCCCCTGGGTTTCTACACCAGGAGCGGTGAGTCAGCTGCTGAGCATCTCAGCTGTGTCTCTGCCCCTAGAAGGCTTTCTGTGAAGTGCAGCAGACTGCACCACTCTCATCTCCACAGGCTTAGGTCTCCCTTTCCAACGCCAGATCTCTGGGACCCAATTTCCTTTCCTGTGCCAACCCGACCATGGGCACAGAGGCCCTGGCGACCTTGGATACTATCGCTCCAGGCCATGGCGGGCATGTGGAGGCTGGGTTTAGCCTGCAGGTTGGGGAGTCCAGGCCCTGTCCTGAAAAGCGCCCCACCGCCCACCCCCCTGGGGATCAGCTGCTCACAGTCAGTCTCCGGGGCCCTCTCTGCCCTTCTGCTTGCCGCCGAGGGTGCAGAAGCTCAGCCTGGCTGCAAACCTGCAGGCCGCACCATGGCTGCCAGCACCTGGCTGGTTCTTCCCGCCCAGCCGCCTGTGTCTGAGATGCTTATCTGCAGCAGCTTTGGGCACAGCCGGCGCCTCCCTCGGGCTCCGCCTTGTACGGAAAGGGCACGCTGGGCTGGGCCATGAAGATCCCGGGGAGAAACTCTAGGGAGCTGGGCCGAGATTTTGCAGGGAGCAGGACTGGGAGAGGCTGAGCGCGGGTGGCAGAAAGAGGCTGGTTTGTGCCGAGGGGCAAGGGGCAAGGTAGAGGCCAGAACTCTCGGGCACTGGAATGGGTGGGGAACCAGAGGGGGTCAGCAGTGATGGCAAAATTCAACGCAATGAGAAGAGGGGACAGGAATTAAGCCCTTCAGGCTGAGCTTGCTCTGGCCCACTGACAACTGGATCCATCTCTGAGGACTGACTTTCTCCTCCCCTAGTCTTTTTTTGGGAGAAAGAAGAGAGACAGGGTCTTGCCAGTAGCTGAGACTGGTCTTGAGCTCACAACAGTTCTCCTGCCTCAGCCTCCCGAGGAGTGCTGGGTCCACAGGTGTGCCCCGTCACACTTGGCCTGATTTCCTTTATCTTTCACAGAGCATCAGCTCTGACGAGCCAGCTTTTCTTAACTTGTCCAATGTAGCGTGTTTCTGGGAAATTTCACGTCTCTTTTGTCTTGAATTTCCCTCACTTTTTATAGGGCCACCATTTCCCTAGTCTCTCTGGCCAGCCTTGGAAATTCCATTTCTCTGTTAAAGTGGTGACTCCAGGAGTCAGGAATGGTGGCCCCCAACCATAGTCCTAGCCCTGGGGAGGCTGAGGCAGGAGGACTGTTGTGACTTTGAGGCCAGCCTGGGCTATGTATGAGGCCCTGTCTCAAAAACAAGACCCCCCCTCAAAAAAAAAAATAGTCAGTTTAAATTTTTAATTTTAATTTTTAAAAAATTCTTTCTTACAGGGGGTTTGGCTCAGTGATGTAAGCACTTGCCTGGCATATTCGAGATTGTGAGTTCGATCCCCAGTACCAAAAAATATATATATAATTTTTCTAGCTGGGGATTTAGCTCAGTGGCTCACGGGCTTGCCTGGTAAGTGCAAGGTGGTAAGTTCTATCTGTGATACCAAAAATAAAATTCTTTTTTCTACCAACTTATCTTTTTTAAAATTAGTACACACTTGCAAATACATCATGAATAATCGTGGGGAGTCCATAGGTATCATAACTCCTTCATCTTTTTAGCTGCCCTCCCTCCTCCTCTCTCTCCATCTCTCCATCCTGTTCCCATCTGTCATCTACCTTTCCTTTCAATCTTTAAAGTATGTGTACTTTGGGACTCTCACTAAGAGGAACCATGCAGGATTGAAACTCGTGCATCTGATTTATTTCACACAACATTATGGTTTCAAGGTGCATCCATTTCCCTACAAATGACTTTGGCTGATCCGTGTTTATGGCAGAGTAGTACGCTACTGGGTATAAAGAGCACAATTTCTTAGCCATGCATCTATTCATGGACGTACAGGCTGCTTCTGAGAGTTGGTTGTGCTGCTGTACATAGGAGTGTGCTGCTGTCCCTGCTTACAGTGTCTTTTGCCCATGGGGAGGTACTCAGAGGAGAGATGGCTTCTTCCAGCTTGTTTTCTTTCTCCTTTTTACTTTTTCATTTGGCTTTTATCACCTTCTCTCATGCATTGCTGGCTTTCACTGCTTCTCCTCCCGCAGAGGCCTTGGACCTGCCGTGCTGGGCACTGGGAGGCCTGCGCGGACCTTACCCTTGAGCCTCTCTTGATCTCCCCACACTGCCTTTGATTTGCCTTGGAAGCATAGATACAGGCTGGGGTGGGGCACGGTGAGCGGTTTACTGCGTGTGGACAAACCCTAAACCCCAGACACACCCCAATTCATCGAGAGCCGGCCTGAGGAGGGCCAGGGAAGTGGTGGGGACTACGGAAAGTGCCACCAGGTGAGCAGGTGAAAGGAACCTACTAAGCAACAGGGTCCAGCTCATTCTGTCCCTGAAAGGTTGGACAGAAAGACAAGGTGTGACTCTGCCCTGTCTCCATGGAAACCTGTTTGGCCAGTACAGTTCTCAGGTGTAGAGCCCAGCCCCGGGAGGGCACCACGCCTGGCCACAGGACCCCATGACTCAGCGCCATAAGGTTTATGGCACTTTTCTAGGAGACAAAAGGGCACCTGTGGGCAGAGCCTCTGGGCGTCCACAGGGTAATCATCTTTCACCCAGGGGGTGGCACATCGGGCTACAGCCTGAGCCCTGCTGTCACTTTAGGTTTGAAGGTTGAGGCCAGGTCTCACTAAGTTACTAATTGCTCAGACTGGATTCCCATTTGGGACCCTCCTGCCTCAGCCTCTCACAGTGCTGGGATTACAGTGTGTGCTGCCACACCTGACTTCCCTCTCCTCACATTATAAAATCATCAGCTATTTTGGCAAGCACAGGTGTCGTGTTGGAACCAGACAATACCTAGTGTGTTCTCTGTGTGAGACTGACGGAGCAGGCCCTGCAAAGGCTCTCCGGTGTTCTAGACAGGTCATGAAAGTCAGCACTTGGGATTCTGTGCTCAGGTACGAAGGGGTTGGGGGAAGTAAACATCTTCCCAGAATCAGCCCATTGGGCTGCTGCGGTAAAAACCACACCTGGTGGCTTCTGTACAGCGGAATTCACGTCTCATGGTCTGGGGCTGCCGGATTTGGTGTTTGGCGAAGAGCTGTTTTCTGGCCCCCTGGGTGGCTCCTCACGGTGTCCTCGAAAGGGTAAGGACCAGGGACACATCTTGCTTGGGCCTGTCTTCTAAGGCCAGCAGTCCCCCTCATGAGGGCTCTGTGTTCATCACCTCTGGCCTCCCAAAGCTCACACCTTGAAAGGGCTGAGGACTTCAGCAAGACCTCTCCCTCTGAGCTGGAGGGAAAGTGAAGAGGAGAATTAGCTTTTCCTGCAGAAGCCGGGCTGAAGCTTTCATTGTTTGACAGCTGCTCCCCAAGGAGCCACTTCCAGATTAGCTCCTGGGGTCTAAATAAAGTAGTCAGTGTTCCTGCAGCCGGCTACCTGGGGAACCGCACTGGGGAGGTTTCTGTTTGCTGCTGGCTTGGCTTCTACTAATGGAATTCTCCCCTTGTTACGTGTTCTATTTATTTCTTCACCACGGGGCTGGGGCCAGGAGCCAGGGCCCTGTGCACCCGGGCAGAGCACTCCACGGAGCAGCCCCTCAGCCCCACTGTCTCTGAAGAGCACGGAATACCTAAGCAGGGGTGAGAGCCTCAGAACCACCGGGCCAGGGAGCCTGCTGGGTCTGTCAGCTGTGCTTGCCCAGCCAGGGAGAGAGGGCAGGTCGGGAAGCCAGCAGTGAGCAGTCATACAGGTCTCTAGGCTGGCCTGGAGGTGACTGATGCCATGGAAGGAAGGACAGTCTACCAGGAGCAGCGGCACAAGGAGGCCAGGAAGGCACGAGCTGCATTCTACACAGTGTCACAGAGGCAACAGTGGATCCATCTCCCCTTTGTCCCATGCAACTGCACTGGTGATCCGTACTGCTCTCCCTTGTGCTGCAGGGGTGCCCGTGCCCCCAGGGCCTGTGCTGTGGTCCCTCCTGTTCCCATCCCGGCCTTCCACACCCCTTGCTGGTCCTTACATCCACTTCCCTCGGGCTCCCCTAGGTGTGTTCAACAGTAAGCATTCCTGCTCCAAAGGGGAGCCTTAGACCCCGACATGCTCTCAACCCCATCTGCGTGATGAGCTCAGTAATCTTTATTCTCCGTTCCTAAAGTCTTTACTTTCTTGTCCTTGAGATGGAAATCAAAAAAGAATACCCCACATACGAGTATGTCTTAAAAGGACAAGGCCCCAAACGAGTTATTGATGAATATTAGCTGTTGTGGTTGTGATGCAAACTTTAAAAGCACCATTTTACAGCCAGACATGGTAGCACACTCCTGTAATCCCAGCACTTGAGAGGCTGGGGCAGGAGGATTGCCACAAATTCAAGGCCAGCCTGGGCTACATAGTGAGAGACTGTCTCTCACTATGTACAACACTATGTAAAAACAAAAAACAAAAACCCATCTTACATAAATAGAATTAAGACTTGTTATGCACATGTACCAACTCTCCACAAGGAATTAATTATTATGTGCTGCAAACATGCATTAATAAAAACAAAAACAAAAGATTGCATCTTGGACATTCTTTTTTCCCCCATCTTGGATATTCTTATTCATTCCGATGTTTTTACCCAGCTAAATGTGATCAAATGAATGTCAGTTGTCCCGTGATCCCGGTCCCTTGTAACAACCTTTCCCACAACCTTGCCTTGTTCCATTGCTGCCTCTAACAAGGGTACTTTGAGTTTAAGGTTTCCTGTCTTACAGGACTCTCCTTCAGTCTTTTCTTTCTTCCTTTTCTGAGACAAAGTCTCCTGTGTAGTTTAGTGGCCTTGCATTTGTCTATTTCAGCCTCCTGAGCGCTGGGAATCCTCGCTTCTTGGAGAAAACAGATTTTCTGGAAAGTAATTCATTCGTTCGTTCATTCATTCAACAAACATTACTTGAGAACCTACTATGTGCCTGAGAACGGATTATACACTACAGCTGAGGATGCCGAGGTCCCCAGGGAGGCAAACACTGAAGAACTGAGCGTTCTCAGCGCTAATCCGAACCGATGTTGGGTCGGGGTCAGGGTCAGTCAGCAGAAAGGCAGGGGGGAGCCCCAGCACCTGGGAGGCCGAGGAGACGCGGAGTGGGGTGCAGGCTCCCCAGTCCCGCCCTGCCCTGCCCTGCCCTGCCCTGCCCTCCCCTCTGGCCGCGTCCCTGGGCGTGGCCGGGAGTTGGCTGTGTCCCGCCCCGGGGAGGGGAGGGCGCTGGGCCCGGTACTTGAGCACAGCGCTGCCTGCGCCCTCCCGCAGCACCTCGGGCCGAGCAGCAGCACAGCAAGGTGAGAGGGGCCCGGGTCGGAGAGCGCCCGAAGGTGGGAACGAGGTGGGAGGGGGACACCGCTGGGGGCCTGGACCACCCCCTGCCGCCGCCCGGTGAGGTCGAGCCGCGGGTGTAGACGGCTCAGGATCCCAGAGAAGGCTCTGCTCAGCTCAGTGCAATTGGGTCAGCAGCCTGGTCCCGACCCGGGGCCCCGCAGAGCGCCGCTTCCGCGACCCCGGCCCTGGCCCGGCCTCTTGGGACCCCCGCTACTGCCTTCTCCTGGAAGGAGCCAGCGGCGTCCACCCGCGGACCGTGCAGAAGACACCGCGGGGGCGGTGCTGCTGCAGACTTAGCGGCTCGAGCTTTGCTCTCAGTGACTCATCTGGGCGCCCGTGAGCCGGGTGTGGTCAGTGACTCAGAGCGGGGACACCGGAGTCATGGACACGGGCGCGGCCTGTCCACTCCGGAGTGTCTGGAAAGTGGCTCGGGGCGCTGGATTGCATGCAGGGCGGCGGGACGCCTGCACCTGCGTGACACGGTTTCTAGAGTCCTGCGGCCAGCCCTGGAGTTGGGCTCAGTGAATTTCAGGGGCACCTTGGGGATGAAATTAACCACCAGGGCACGGGGCTGGCAAGAGGGGGAAGAAAGTTCAGCAACTTGCAAGGCGCTAACTCACCTGACTCTAAGCCACCTGCGTGCGCTGCTTCTGTTCAATAATAAACTTTTCTGTATCGATAACCTCTGCTTATCAGGGGCACTCTACCACTGAGCTACACCCTGGCCAGTTTTTCCTTTTTGACTTTGAGACTGGGTCTCACGAAGTGGTCCAGGCTGGGCTCCAACAGGTAATCCTCCTGCCTCAGTCTCCGGAGGAAGCCGGGATTGCAGGGTTGTACCCGCGCATTCAGCCAAGTCTCCTTTCCAAGGATTCCTTGAATCCTTTCCAAGCAGGGTCTTTCATTCCCAGGACGGCACGCAGTCCTTGTCCTTTGGAGGACTGGAGCTGTAGGCAGTAGAAGAGGGGACACTGCTTGTGGGTGGGCCCCCAAACGTGTGCTCTGCTAGTCTTGCTGTGTCGCACGTCTGCACAGGGTCTTGCTGAAGGCCTCGGCGCTGTCCAGGGGAACCCGGCGCCCCCTGCCTGGCCAGGGAGGCGCTCCTTTTCCCCGGCAGGTGCTGCATGCAGAGGGCGTCACTTGCGAATCTCACACTGACGGTGACTCCTAGACCTGAAACTCCGAGGCCACGCCTGCGCCACCTCCTCCACTGTGATCGTTTTTTTTGGGGGGTCGGGGGGAGGGGTTCTAGGGCCAGGGCCGGCCGGTAGCGCTGCGGACTCCGCACCGGCACTGGTTTTTACTCGGTTCTGCTCGAGCAGCTGAAGACCCGGCCCGGTGCTGTTGGCCAGCTCGCTGCTGGCCGAGGGTCACGCTTCCCCGGCTGCTCCCCGACCTTTCCAAAGGGGAAAGTCTGTACCCGAGGAGCACAAGTGGCTTTCCTTTCCTGGCTGCAGCGGAGGGGGAGGGGAGTGGGGAAAGGTAGTCCTAGGAGAGGAGGGGCTCCTTTCTCCCCGCTTGGCATCTCTCCCTGTGGAGCAGGAGGTAGAGCAACCAGTCTGGGTTCCCAAGGAATGTAGGGGCTTCCTGGGCCCCAGGAAATACCCCAAGGCTAGCCGTTTTATGAGCAGGGATTCACAAGCGTGGGGCCCGGTGCCCCCCTCCTACCGCGGCAGCTGGATTAATTGCTAGGTGAGCGGACAAGGGCAGAGTGGGGTGCAGACTGCTCTTTATGAAAGGGAGGAGCTGCCCACCGTTCCCAGGCTCCCAGCCTGCTCACAGGGCTGCAGCTCAGGTGCAAATCCCTTACTCCAGAGCCACTGGGAGTGCCTTGCTAGTGGAGACCTGAGTCTCTCTGTCTCTGTCTCTCTCTTCCTGGCTCTTGAAAACTTTCTGATTCTGGAAGAACCAGGCTGGAATTCATTCCTTTACTATCTGTAGAGGAGGAAAAGTTTTCATTTCACCGTGTCTCTCTACAAACTCCATTTTTTTTTTTTTGTATCTGGAATTGAACTCAAGATCTCACTTGTGCCACTGAGCTATATTCCTGGTGTAAACTTTATCTTTAAAAAAATCAAAACAAGAACAAAAGCAAACGTCCAGGCAAGTCAGGAAGATATTAATGTGAATAGATTTCCCAGCCCTGGAACTAAAGAGCTGAGCTTGAGAACCTGGACAGCAAAGAAATGCGGGTTATAAAAAGAGATCTCGGGCCAGCCATGGTGGTGCACGCCTGCAGTCTCAGCACTTGGGAGGCTGAGGCAGGAGGATCATCATGAGTTGGAGGCCAGCCTTGGCTACCTAGTGAGTTCAAAGCCATCCTGAACTGCATAGCGAGTCCCTGTCTCAAAGCAAAACACACACACAAAAACAGATTTCATGGTTGGCAGTTGACATACTCAAAATAATTCACATCCAATTTTTGGAAAAGTACACTGTGTTGGGTAAAATGTAGTTATTAATAGCAAAGTGACGTGGGAAATGGCTCCCGGCTGTTGAGTGAGGCTTTTAGCTGGTTTCTGGACAAAAACATGACCTCGCCTTCAAATTTGTTTACTGTTTCAGTGTATTGTGGAGTTCTAGATGAATAAGCCAGAGACGTAATTTCTCAGTGAAGACTTGCAGAGGACTGCAGTTGGAAAGGCCAAAGTGCAGAATTTTAGTTTAGTTTGAGACAGGATCTCACTCAAGTCCAGGCTGGCCTCGAACTCGTGGTGATTTTCCCATCTCAGCCTTCCGACCACGCCTGGCCTGGGATTTTAAATTAGGATAGGATAAGCCCCGAGTGAGTGTCCGCAGACTTGGGTCACTGTGTCAGCTCTCTGGGCCTCAGTTTCCCCACTTAGGGTGGGAATATTAATTTTCTGGGGTCCCTGTTTCCCCTGGCAGGGGACCTGCGGTGGGGTAGATGGAAGCTGGGCCTATGCTGGGCTTCTCAGGTCGCTTAGGACCGCTTGGGAGGGAGTAGAGGTTGAGCTGGGTGAGTCTCCACTGCCCAGATGCTGACCGACACTTCTTCATCAGCAAGGACCAGAGGCCGCTGGAACTGCCTGGTCAGGTTTGACTGACCTGGGCAGGGACATTGCCTAGGGCCGCACTTGCTGACCAGCCTGGGATTGCGCCTGTGTAGGTCTCAGCCCCGCCCCGTTGGGGGGAGGGGGGGGCTGTGCGTAACTCTGCACCTGAGGGGCGGAAGCTGATGACAGTGCACATGCTCCCGAAGTGCACAGGCTAGGTGGCCAGCCACACGGTCCCCCGCCCCGATGACGTGGGACAGAGGCAGACAGCAAGCCCCCACGCAGTAGGGACATTTCAAAGAAGTCAAAACAGTGAGCACAGTGCCACACCACTCAAGAGGCTGAGGCAGGAGGATCGTGGGGAGTCTGAGGCCAGCCTGGGCTACACAGTGAGACCTAGTGTAAAAAAAAAAAAAAAAAAAGAGGAGTCCAGATGCTGAGTTATTGTGGGGCCTCTGGGGTGTTGTCCAGGGATGGGAAAAATGGGGGGAAGCCAAAGGCACTGAGCTCTTTCCCACCTTGAAGTTCAAGTTTGTTTCCCTAAAAAAAAGCTCTACTTTTTTGTTGTTGTTGTTGCCGGGAATCAAACTGGGGACCTCATGCTAGGCAGGCAGGCCCTGTGCCTCTGAGCTCTACCTCTGGCCCCTCTGGTTTCTTAAGGGAGGTGTCCTGTAAGAGCACTTTCTGGGGCCAGTGGTTCCCAGCAGCCTGGAGGCTGCCTGGTGAGGAGCAGCAAAGCAGAGGCGCCCCCACCTTCGCTTTTAGAGGTCCAGTAACAGCCATGAGGCGTGAGAACAGCTGGCGTGTGTAAAGGAAGCTCCCACTGAGCCCTAGGGGAGCTCTGCTTAGGTGTGATTTCATAGGAAAAGTCAATACCGTACACTTTTAGACCGGGTGTGTTGGTACACTTGTAAAACCAGCCCTTGGGAGGCTGAGGATCTCTATGAACTCAAGGACAGCCTGGGCTACATAGCAAGACCTTGTCTCAAAAACCAAAAATGTACATTTTTAGGACCTGTGAGTAGTCAACCTTGTCTTGGGGACAAGGTAATTTCTTAAAATGACGTCAAAATAGAACATATCTTCTTTGGGGGGGGGGGTGCAGGCTGGAATGAGCAAAGTCACTCTGGGCCGGGTAGCCCGGCCGATAGCGTCCCCGCTCCTTAGAGGTGTTTAAGGTCCTGTGCTATTGACTCAGCCTGTGCCTGTGGGGTTCAGAGCTGAGCCCTTTAGGATGCTAACATGTGCGCAAAGGGGGCCCCTATAGGAGCACTTGGTGACCCCCTTGTCTCTTCTCCCCACAGAAGGATGTCGGACGGCTTCTCGGTGAGTGTCTCCTGGCTTCCCAGCTATGTTCCCCTTTCTGCAGGGCCAGCTTGCAGGATTCACTTCCCTTTCCCCTCCCCACTGGCGGTGCCCTGGCCTCCCTGGTTCAGTGGGGGTTTGTGGGCTCCAGCCCTTTCCCAGCTGCAGATGTGGGAAGGAACCAGGTGACAGTGGCCCCCTCACCCCTCTGTGTGTGCAGTCAGCACCCAGAGGAAGTCTGGGGCCTGTGTGTGGAGCAGAGCCAGCTCAGGCCAAGGGAGAATAAAAATTCCACTAGCGTGGGATTCCACAGTTTAATTTTGTTTTCCCACAGTCTAACTTTTTGAGACATGCTTTCACTATGTAGTCCAAGCGGGCCTTTAACTTACTACGAATCTTCAGGTGACCTGCCTGCCTCAGCCTCCCAAGTGCTAGGATCTCAGGCATGGGCCACCCCACGTGGCTCTAAAGTCTTAATTTCAGCCTTTGGAATTCAGCACTGTGGTCAGGTGGGAGAGAGCCATGCTGATGTGAATCTCACCATTCACCGCATTTCTCCAGCTGCTGCTTAGGTAGAGTGGGCCAGGCCGGTTTTCTCCTTGTCTTCCATCCTGTGATTGCTGTTGTTTTTCTTTGCAGCTCAATGATGCCTTATCTGGACCTGGACACAAGAACCAGCAAGGATGGCCTGGGGCCTGGGGGAACCAGCCCGGGGCAGGGGGATACCCAGGGGCTGCCTATCCTGGTGCCTACCCTGGGCAGGCTCCTGGGGCTTACCCTGGACAGCCGCCTTCTGGGGGCTACCCAGGCCAGGCAGCCCCTGGCGGTTATCCTGGGCAGGCACCAGGTGCCTATCCAGGCTCCAGTGGGCCTGGCTCCTACCCTGGGGCCACACCTGGGGCCTACCCTGGGGCCACTCCCTACGGTGCACCCTCTGGACCGCTGGTAAGTTGGGGCAGTTCTCGTGTGAACTTGGGGGCCCAGGGCACATTCAGGGAGCCCTGGGCTGGGACCCAGCTCCTAGGGCCACCTCTGAGGGACCTGTCACAGGCACATGTCAGCCCAACTGCAGGACCTGAGCTTGTATTGAGCTGTGTTTACTGTTAGTGTAAGAAGGTGTCACATCTTCTAAAGAGCAGCAGGTGTTGGGGAGGGGAACAGGAAGGCTGGTGCCATCCTGTGGCCCAGAATGAGCCCTGGCAGATTCCCATCCATGTGGGCGGCTTAGGGTCCTCTCGGCCCTTGGCAGGTCCCAGAAAGGAGCGTCTTCTCCTCTTGGTCATTTTGCTGTTGTTATCACTGTATGTCCAGGATCCATCCCTCTGCAGGCCCCGAGCGAGGGGATCCAAACCACAACTGTGTCACAGTCACACTTATGAACCGTGATGGAGCTTTGGCAACATCACTTTCTTCCCCCAGGCAAACGGGACTCCAGGCTGACGGCCCTGTCCTTGTTCCTTTGCAGACAGTGCCCTATGACCTGCCCCTGCCCGGTGGAGTCATGCCGCGCATGCTCATAACCATCATGGGCACAGTGAAGCCCAATGCCGACAGGTAAGGGGGCGCTGTGCACGGGTTATGGTACAGAGGGGGACTCATCGTGCTGTTTAATAGGACTTTAAAAGTCTACACCGGAGGATCTCGGCTGTGCCATCACAGGGCACCCCGCGGTTCTTAGGGTTCCTATCTCATTTTTCTAAGTGCCACTCAACAGTAAGTAACATATCCGTGTTCTGTATTTTGCTGCGCACTTTGTCATCCTGGCTGAGGCAGGCAGGGGGCGCTGCTGGCACAGGCCTGGGACCACAGTCGGCTAGGTAGGTGGCTGCCTGCGTGCCTGGCCCTGTCCCGGAGTTAGCCCCGGAGACGCTGACCAGTGCATGCCTCTGTCTCCCGGCCGTGCGCACAGCCCGCTGGAGAGGCTGGGGGTCCGTCACGTCACTCTATGTGCATCAGCGGGAGCCGCCTCCGCCCGAGGCGCAGGTCCCGACCCGATCTGATGATTTTCACTCACCGAGCCACTCGCCCTCCCCGGCCCCTGTCCCCTGTGGCGGTCACTGGCATTCTTTTCTTGCACAGTAGTCCAAGCCATGCTGAGTGTTCCTGCTTGGACAAACACTTGTGTGAACTGGATTCCTCTCTGCCTGCGCCCCCACCACCAATATAATGTGTGCACCTGTGACCAGATCTCTGTCCCCCTGCTGTGACTGCAGCACAGAACCCATGCAGAATCCTGGAGGGGGGGGTGAGGTGGGGGGGTGTTACTGCACGGGAAGCTTAGTGCCAACAGCACTAGAGATGTGGTCCGAGCACGTGGCTGTTTTGGCTGAATGTGTGATGGTAGTAAACTAAAAAATTGTTGCTTGGTGCTGCAAGTTTTTTTTTTTTTTTTTTCTTAAGCTTTTTCAGACAAGGCCTTACTATGCAGTTCAGGCTGGCCTTGGGCTCACTTTGTAGCTCAGGCTGGTCTCAAACTTGCAATAATCCTGTCTCAGCCTCTGGAATGCTGGACATACAGGCGTGCTACCACACCCGACTTTAATTTTTTTTTTTTGGCACTGGGAATTGAACTCAGGACCTCACATTTGCCAGGCAGGCACCATGCCACTGAGCTAAACTCCCAGCCCCTTAAGCTCTTTTTTGAGACAAGGTCTTACTATGTAGTTCAAACTGGCCTCTAACTCAGGATGAGCCTCCTGCCTCAGCCTGCTGGCTCACCTTACCACATGTTACACTGGGCCCAGTATATTTTCTGGTTTGAACCCATTGCCTGGCTTCTTTGCTATCCACTCGAGATGTTTTGCTGTGCGTTGCGATCAAATTTGCCCAGGGAAACCTATGACCCTCCGGTCACTTTCCTCACTGCTCTCTGGTTCCCTGCAGACTGGCCCTGGACTTCAAGCACGGGAACGACGTGGCTTTCCACTTCAACCCGCGCTTCAATGAGAACAACAGGAGAGTCATTGTGTGCAACACCAAGCAGAACAACGTCTGGGGGCGGGAGGAGCGGCAGCAGGCCTTCCCCTTTGAGTTCGGCCAACAGTTCAAGGTTAGCCACAGCCACTCTTACAGCGGTTTTGTCTGCTTCCCATGGGGAATTGCTGCAAAACCCCACACATTGCAAGCGTTTGGGAGACAGGGTCTCGACACTTAGTTCACCTAGCCTTGAAATCACTATGTAGCCCAGGCTGGCCTCGAACTCCTAGATCCTCCTGCCTCAGCCTCCCAAGTGCTGGGATTATAGGCATGTTGTACCATGCCCAGGGAAAGTTGCTTTCTTTGGATAGAGCAAATGTAGGACATTGTGAGTTCAGGCTACCCTGGTCTGAAACAAATGGGTATTTCCCACAGCCCTCCCCCCCCCCCCGCCCCCTTCGTAGTTTTGAGGCAGGGTTTTGCTATGCAGATCAGTCTGGCCTTGAAATCACTATGTAGCCCAGGGTGGCCTCAAACTCCTAGATCCTCCTGCTTCAGCCTCCTGAGTGCTGGGATTACAAGATGTGCCACCATCCCTGGCCCTACTTCCCTATTTATTCTATTTATTTACTGGTGTTTTGGGACAGGGTCCAGTTATGCAGTTCAGACTGGCTTTGGACTCACTGTGTCCCAGGCTGGCCTGGAACTCAGGACAGTCCTCCTGAGTGCTGGGATTACAACCATCACTCCCAGGTCCCTCTTGCAAATCTGACAGACAAAGTTACATAGATGGGTCCCGTGTTCCATGGTGCTTTGCAACACGGATCCCATAGGGGCTATGGGAGGTGACGAACCGGTACTGACTGTTGTTTGTGCTTTGCAGATCCAAGTGCTGGTGGAACCGGACCACTTTAAGGTGGCGGTCAATGACTCCCACCTGCTGCAGTACAATCACCGGGTGAGAAACTTCATGGAAATCAACAGACTGGGGATTTCTGGCGACATAACCCTCACCAGTGCGTCGTACACCATGATATAATCCGGAAGGGCAGATGCTCCAGTAAAGAGGATCCAGTCCAAACCTTACCTGTTCAAAGGCTTCAGGCACATTGCAGGTGGAAAGTTTTACATTTGTGCATCAATATTCTCCTCAAAAGTCATTCATTTAATAAATGTCACGCTAAGAGTCACCTCTCCCCCTTGGTCATTTCATTAGAGCAGTTTACACTCATTTACAATGGAAATGCAAACATGGAGCAATGCTGACAGTACAGTGGGGCTTCCCGCCAGCCCACGTAAGGAGAAAGCAGTAGGGCACGACACCATGCACCTGTAAATCATGGCACTCTACGAGGCTGAGGCAGGAGGATCCCAAGTTTGAGCCCAACCTGGGGAATTTAGCCTTAGTCTCATAAAAATGGGTTGAGGATGTGGCCTAATGGAAAGGCCCCAGGTTCATTCCTCACAACTGGGAGATGCTGCAAAGAAATAGCCTGGGATCTCCCCGGAGGAGACACAGTGGAAGTGGGAGGAGCAGGAAGTTCACCTGGGACACTTCCTGTCTGTGTTCTGGCTGCCTAGCAACAGGGAAAGCTAAGGAAGGCGGGTTGGTGGTTTTACTGCAGGAACAGGGAACATGGTGGCATCCTCTAGAGGTCTGCACAGCCCCAGGTGCTACAGGCCAATCACTGTGGACTTCCTGATGCAGCCAGGAGCCTTGGTCACCAGGTGGATGCAGGGCTACTGCTGCTGCTAATCACATAGTCAACTTTTTTTGGGGACAAGGTCTTACTTGTAGCCCAGGCTGGCCTTGAATTGGCAGCAATCTTCCTGCCTCAGCCTCCTGATTGCTAGGATTACAGCCATGCTGTTCCTTGTGGCCATCGAGCTGGAGGCTGACCACATTTCAGAACTGGGCTGTGGTCACACTGTGCCTCCCTGCGCCCCCCTTTATTTGACCACGATTTTCTCTCCAGCTCATCTCCTACACACTTGGACCTGCAGCTGTGGCAAAGCGGGCTTCCCAGGAGGCAAAGTAGGGGCAAGAGGTGGGGAGCAGGAAGCTGGAGGGGAGTGCAGGGGACTGAGAGGTGACAGAACAGGGGAGCTGCAGGGCTGAACCCATCAGGGTGTCTGGACTCTGGAGGACCTGTCAGATGCGTGGGGCCCGCCTTCAGTCCACACCCGGGTCCACCGTGTACACTGCAGTGGAGTATTCCATCCATGAGATTCCGTACCCTGACCTGATGCTGGCTCTTCTGCTCATGGCTGCATGGAAGGGCATAGCTTGCGGGGGAGGGGGCAGCATCTTGGCCTAAAATGACTGAAATTCGGAGGCATGGATCCTTCGTCCATAAAATGGGGACTTTTGTAGGTACTGAGGATGGAAGGGGCTGGGTGGTAGACCTCTCCCTTGCATGCACGAGGCCCTGGGTTTGATCCCCAGCACCACACACACACAGTACAGGGCATTGTAACATTCCAAAAAATACCAGTGGCACGTGGGACTGTCAACTGATAGATCAATTAAACAGAAGAGTTCTTATTCTGAGCTCATTTTGTGCCTAAGATTTCTTAGAGCCTGAAGCCGAGGAACAAGTCCTCCAGGGACAGGGCTGTTTGCCTCGATACTCGGGCTCCATTTCTGGCCAGCGCTGGCTCTTTTCAGGTGGCCTCGGTCTCTGAGGGACCCCGATGAGGGCAAGGCCATGCTCCGCAGGGAGAGGTGACCTTGGGCCCCAAAGGACCAGGCTTGGGGAGCCAGCACCCAGGACAGTGAGCCCTGGACAGAACGCTGGGCCTGGGTCACTGTCAGCTGTCAATGCTCAGTGTTGCTCTGATAACACATTCCTCAGCCTGTGAGTCTATTACTTACCGGAAGAACTCAGGCCAGACAGAAAAAATACACACTCGTAAAAGTTAGGGATTTCTAAGGGTTAGGCTCAATGGCCAAAATAAATCCTCCGACATCAGAAGCAGACACGAGCTGGGTGTGGTGGGGCACCTGTGGTCTCAGCTGCTGGGGAGGCTGAGACAGGGCACTGCAAATTTGAGTGCAATTTAGAGAGACTCAGTGTCAAAGCGAAAAGGGCTGGGAATGAAGCTGGCTGTTCTGGTGAGGGCAGCAGGCACTAAAGTGTCGGGGTGATTTCTTGCTGAAGGTCTCCCCATCTGAAAAGGTTAACTGTAGGATGGAAAGTGAGAGAGAAAAGGAAGGCGTGGACCGAGCCCCTCCCTGGCACCCTAAACCACCTTCCGAGTGCAGGAAGCTCGGCGGAGGACACAGAAAACCCTGGAGAGGCAGGCGGTTAGGAGCCTGTGGGACAAAAGGCAGCAGATGTTCTGATCCAGGTGTACAGATCTGCGCACCCTACACAGTGCACTCGGCTCTAAGGCCACGCGGCTCACACTGAGGGGGCAAGACCAAGTCTGCTTTTTATTATTCTGTGTGGTAAGTGTACAAAGCCCCCCACCCCCCAGAAGGATCCCGCCTAAAACACACTGGGCTGGCCGCTGGGCAGGAAAACACCAGGACGCCGGCAGAGAGGACTGCACGGGGTGGACACCAGTCTCTGTCTTCCAGATTTCCAGTGCAACTCATCCCCAAGGCAGACACAGGCGTGGATTTGTGCAGTCACACATCTTCTAGCTGCTCTGCCGGAAAGGGCTGCAGCGGGGAGAAGGAGATCAGGTTCCCGCCGAAGGAGGCCAGTCGGGTTCCTTGCAGTTTCCGTCCTGCCCAGGCTGAGGGGTCGATGCGGGTTGGGCCTGGCTGGGGAGCAAGTCACAGACGTCACTGAAGCCGCTGGGTTTCCCTAGGCCTAAAGGACCATGGATAGTTACAGAAAGGGACAGCCTGCGATTGCGGGCTCAGTCCCACCACCTGCCTCCCGCAGCTGTGTAGATTCTGCAAACCCGCAGCCCGCAGAGCGACATCATGGGCCTTTCTTTGCTAGTGTGATCAGTCCATGCTTCCGCTCAAGCTTTTATCAGGCTCAGTGGTGCAGGAATTTGGGCCTAAACAGCCCACCCTCTCCTAGGGCATCTGTGACACGAGCTGTCACTCCAGAAATCAGGCTTTACCCAAGCAACCATGTTACCTGAGAACTGTCACACTCAACTCTCCACAAATAGTTAAATGTGTAAGGCATGCTCTAATGTTGCTGTACAAATGTAAGCCAGATGTGGTGACCCACACCTGGAACCCTAGCACTCTGGGAGGCTGAGGCAGGAGAATCATGAGTTCACACCCAGCCGGGGATGTAGCTCAGTGAGAAGAGCCGAATTCAATCCTTAGTACCAAGGGGGAGGGGTACGTGTGCACTTAAACCCAAAATAACTAAATTAGAATATTTAATCTGGAAAAAAATTATGAAGAAACCAATGATTAAGAACCTTTTTCAATGAGCAAAATCAGGGGCTCCAATAAGCCGCCATGTCCCAGGCTCTGCAGGGCATCACTGGGCCCTGTGCTCGCTCTGACAGCTACCCTGGAAGCTTCCAGAGTGGGTGCTCAAGGGGAGGCGTCCTCTCCGGTCACATGCTAGAACTGCCTGACCAAGACTGAGGCCACAGCACTACGTCAGCTCACTGCAAGGAGGGAGGAAATCAGTGTGGTAACTCTCCGCAGCAGCCAGGTGAGGTAACATACACCTGGAATCCCAGCGCTATTGGAGGCTGAGGCAGGAGAGCTGCAAATTCGAGGCTCCCTGCCCCAGTTCAGGTGATTTGGTAATTTAGCAAGAGAGCTTCAAAATGAAAAATAAAAAAGGGACCCAGGCTTGGTGGTGCTTGCCTGTAATCCCAGCACTTGGGAGGCCGAGGCAGGAAGATCATCGTAAGTTCAAGACCAGCCTGGGCTACAAAGTGAGCTCAAGGTCAGCCTGAACTACACAGTGAAACTGTCTCAAACACACACACACACACACACACAAAAAGAGAAAGAGAGAGAGAGAGAGAGAGAGAGAGAGAGAGAGAAATAAAAGTAAAAATCGGCAGGGGATGTAGCTCAGTGTGAAGGTCCTAGGTTCTATTCCCAGTGCTGAAAAACAAAAAAATATAAAACAAACCCAGGAAGAAAGAGGCAACTATTTCATCCACAGCACAGTCTCCACATCAGAGGCTAATGCGAACTTAGTTATTAAGGACACAGGATCACCGACACAGGATTAAGGACACAGGATTCACCATTTTAGAAGTAGAACACACTCATACTCCACTTCAACGGGGTGAAATGCATACACCACTCACTGATGACCTGCATCTGTGTGCTGTGCAAGCATTTTATCCCTCGACTTTGGGGGCGGGGTGGGGGGGGACAGGGGAGGTTTCCTAGGCAGGCTCCGCAGGGAGCTGACGCCCAGGGCCTCCATGGCAGGAAGCAGAGGGCAGTACTGTGCTCCACGAGGAGCCTGCAGCCAGCTGGGCAGACAGACACAGAGGCCAGGAAGCCTCTCTCCAGTGAGCCGAGGGACAGTGTGGCTTCCTGACTGAGAGGGAATGACCCAGAAGAACCAGGACGAAAGTAAAGGTGGACACCTGGAAGGGGGCAAGGTCTCCCCAGAGCAGCAGGACATTGTACTGAGGGCCAGGCTTTGCTTTAACCCGTCCTTGGATGCCTCAGATCCCTCCTCTCACTAACGGAGGCCATGCATCGCACACCCGGTACCCACCGGATCTGCAGGGTCAGATCTGACCCATAAATCAGATGGGAAAATAAACCTTCAAGGGTCAACATCTGGAGAGAACTAATTTTATAAAAGGAACAAATGCAGACAAAGCTTGTATAAATGGGGAGGGGCAGAAGGTTTGAGGGGACAGGAGGGAGGGGAACAGGAGAAAAGAATTAAGATACATTGTGGACAGGTACAGCTTCCTTGAGATGGCTGTGATCATCATGCTTGAAAAATATGCGCTAGGACTTCCGGGAGAACATGGCAGACAGATAGCAGCAGCTACGGAGGCTCTCTGAAAGACCCAGCTTAGAATCCAGGAATGGTGCGGAGTGAGGAATCCTAAGCAAGAGGAGATATGCCCTGCTGATCTAAGAACGAACTGGGCTGAGAGAAACCAACTGGGAATGCAATCCTGGTGCTGTAACAGGAACAGATAAAGCCTCAGTGTGGAAGCTGGAGCGTGCGCCATTGGAAGCCGCGATTTGGGTTTCCTGCCGCTGCCGCTGCAGCTGCGTCTGAATCGGCTCAGCAAGGAGAGAGACACGCGAAAGCTCTGAGAACGGGAATCAGTGAACGGAGTTGAGAGCGGGACGGGCGGGGAGCCGTGCATCAAACTGCGGTGAGTGAGAGAAACTGGGACTCTTCCACGGTCTAGGAGGCTCCAAAAGAGGACATTCTGGGACCAGGCAGACTTGCCGGAACAGGGCACTGTAGTGACTTCAGTCACATATGCCCCTCTCAAGCGGGATTGGTGAGGAGTGCCTAGCTTACGTGACGCTGCTGGCTAAGACCCAGTAGGCTAGCACAACCCAGGTCCCAGGGCCTGAAGGTGACCTGGAGGGGCGGGTCCCGCATAGGCTGCCCGATCCGTAACTCCCTGGTGTGCTGGGGTGGGCAGGAACGCCTAGCCGGCACAATTCAATCAGACTGTGGCCAACAGAGAAGGAAGCTGGGCCTCCTATATACGCTTGCATATATAGAACAAAGAATATGGGAAGAGGGAGCAACAAGAAAGGCCCCTTGGCCCCCAATCCTGAGAAAAAGGCAATAGCAGACACAGCACCAATAGACATAAAGCGCTATCTCCAGAGCCTCATAGACGAGTTCAGGAATGAAGTTATTAATGACCTGAAGCTAGACATAAGCAGAATAGTTAGAGAAATGCTAAGTACCACCCAAGAAAAAACAGATGGTGGAATGGAAGAACAGAAAAAGAGGGGAGAATTGTTTGATGGAGAAAATAGAGAAAGCATAGAATACGTGAAGCAGGTTCAAAGAGATTACCAGGAAACTAAAAACTCTATCGAAAGCTGGCATAACAGCTTGAAAGAAACTAAGGACAGATTATCTGAACTGGAGGGCAGATTTGTAATATGGGAGCATGAAATGAAAAACTTCTTAAAAATAACAAAGAAACAAACAGCAATAATACAAAGCTAGAAGATGATAAGAGGATCTATAACTTAAGAATTAAGAACATAAAAGAAGAGCTAGGGACACAAACAGATGAACTACAAAAGCTATTCACAGAAGTAATCCAGAATTTTCCTAATTTAGCAAAAGGTAAAGATACTCAGATGTATGAAGCATCTGAGGACCCCAGCCACCTACAACCCAAACAGAGCTACACCCAGGCATATAATAATTAAAATTCCAGAAATCCAATACAAGAACAGAATACTAAAAGCCGTCAGAGACAAGAAACAGATCACTTACAAGGGAACACCCATCAGAATTACAGCAGACTTCTCGGCACAAACCATCAAATCATGAAGAGCGTGGGGGGAAATAATTCAAGCTTTGAAAGATAATCACCTCCAGCCAAGATTGATATATCCTGCACAATTATCCCTGGAAATTGATGGAAAAACAAGGTGCTTCCAGGATGAAGAGGAACTAGGGGAATATGCAACCACCAATTCAACTCTACAGAGAATACTGCAGGATATTCTAAAAAAGAAAAACACGAAGAATCCAGAAATAGTGGCAGAGAGGCCATAATGAATGGAGCAGAAAACAAAATGAAGAAGACAAATGGACAACTAATGACAGAAAAAGAGCTCAACAGAAATGAGGCAGAGAAGAATGGATGATAGGAACAGCTATTTTGGAGAAAACAACGTCGTAATAGGTAATGCTGATTTAGTATCATCTTGTTTTGAAGTCTCATCAAGCTTTTGTTCTTCTGTCTCCATTGGTCTTAACATGTTGTATCTTATTGGATTTTATTATATGTGATAGTATAAACAAAAACTTTTATAGACAAGGAGATTATACAGAAACCATTGTTCATTTTCTGTTAGTTGATTCTAAATACCTTGTAATACTGTCATTCTCTTGAATGGTTTTACATTGTTTTGATATATTTGATGCTACAGTATATGAAGTTATACTCAAAGATTTCAAGGAAAGAGACAATATGGTAACTACTTTTATGTCGGGATTATCTTGTGGTGAAACACTATTTTACTTAAATGGTTATGTTTTGATCTGTGCTGTTTTGTTGTTATGCCCTCTTTTTATCTCAATCTCCATTTTATTATTTACTTTTTTATTTTTATCCTTTTAATTAAGGGAAAAATAAAAAAAAAAGTAGGATATATTATAGTAACCCACTTTGATTTACTATTAACTTGATTTGAAGCCCTGTATTGCTCTCACCATCTTGTTTTGACTGATGTTCCTCTATTCTGTTTTGCTTGATAGTACCAGGTTAGAAAGTTTAGGCAACAGCTGTGAAGATAGTGGGATTCATTATGACGCCCATTCTGGTTGACTATTATCTACTTTTGAAGACCTGTGATGTCTCCAATGTTTTGGTTTTGTTGGTTTCGTTCTTCACTGTTTTGTTCAATTGTATTATAACTGATGATATAGGCAATTCTATTAGAGATATTATGGTAACCATTGTTGATCACCTTGTATTATGTTTTTACATTATCTATTATGTTCACCCTTTTTATTTGAGCGACTCTGTTCTGTTATGTCACATTTGGTTTTACTCTCTTCTAAAAAGAGTAATAAGAACTGTGGGAGCAATAAAACCCAAAATGTGTAATAGTCATTGTACAAAAGAGAGGAAAAGAAAGTGCTCTAAACGATATAACTGCATGTATATTTAAGTGTATAAGATAGACAATGATATTACTGAGTTTTGTTGGATCATTGAACAGAACTGTTTGGTCTCACTGTTTGAATGTCCACTATATAAGCTTTAATTTTGTAACTTGAACAAATATTTCTAAGATGACAAAATGTAATCCATTAACTAGTGATTTGCTACTGTTTTATTTTTTTTTCTGAAATTCTGTATAACTTGTACCCTTTTTCTGCTTTTTTCTTTTTCTCCTTAAATAAAATTAAAAAAAAGAAAAAAGAAAAAAAAAAAAAAAAAAGAAAGAAAGAAAGAAAAATATGCGCTAATAAAAAGTTTTCAAAAACCCCCGTGGTGTACTAAAGTAGACGAGCATAGAAAGTTTCTTTGCAGTTTTAGAAAATTAATAATAAATGGATTTCAGAGGAAACAAAAACAATGACAAGATGTCAACTTTAAACCTCACATACAAGTTGAAAAGTAATAATTCACTTTATAAAACAAATTGAGAGCCGGGCACCCCTGTAATCTCAGGAGGCTGAGGCAGGAGGATCGTTGTGAGTTTGAGACCAATCAAGACTACAAAGTGACATCAAGGCCAGCCTGAACTGCAGAGTGAGAGACTTTGTCTCAGAAAGATAATCAATAAAATGTATGTCACATTAGCCTACTCAAAGTTGTACATAAAATAAAACAAGTCTAGAAAACTAAGACATATCAAATTAACTTGGAAAACTTACTGAATCAAGAAGGTGGTATTCAGTGGTGACAGCTTCGGTATCAAATGGTACTGGAAAACAAAAGAAAAATCATTGTTGACTGTAAAGACTTCTCACAGAAATGGACAAAGCTTTGAGAGACACAAAGTTTTACACATCAAAGACAAACACACAGGCTGTTTTGTGCCATATATATATATATATTTTTTTTTCTTTTTTCTAATTTCTTGGTAAAATTCTTTTTTGTTTGTTTGTCTTTTTGAGACAGGGTCTCTATGCAGTTCAGGCTGGCCTTGGGCTCACTTTGTAGCCCAGGGTGGTCTCGGAACTTGCAACAATTCTCCTGCCTCAGCCTCCAGAGTGCTGGGATTACAGGAGCACGCCACCATGCCCAGCTTCTTGGTAAAATTCTTATCCTTACTTTCAGAATAGTTTTCTACAAAAAAAGTCTCATGCTGAAAACATTAAAAAGCCGGGAAACATCAACTATTTTATGAGGCACTGACTGTGAGTGTCGACTTTTCACCTCTCACCTTCAGGACTGGCACTGGGAATTACTGACGATAACTAATACCTTAATCCGTGTTCATTTCAAACAAAGCCTACCTGCATTTTAAAAGCCCTCACCTGACTGAGAGGCTGTCACTGCTGCTTCCTGCAGGGCGTCACTCTGTGACAGTGAGCTTTTCTCAGGACTGTCCATTGGAGCATCCTGGGTGGTAAAGGAGGAATTCAGCTCCATCCTTTCCGTGCCGCCCGAACTCTCCTCTTTAGCAGTGGTCGGGTCACTACCAGCAAGAAGATGCGAACTCACTGCTTTGTGGGATAAGTAATTCATCTCCAAGTCTGTCTTAGTTACATCCTGAAACTAAAAACAGCCATTATATTTAAGTACAAAACACTGAAACAAAGAGCGAGGGATTTAGCTCAGTGGCTCAAATGCTTTCCTGGTTAAGTGTGAGGTTGTGAGTTCAATCTCAGCACCAAAAAACAAAATAACTGGAACAAAGTCTTGCTGCTATTAAATGTAAAACAAAAACCAACAACAACAGAAAATATTTTGACATTTTGGACACAGCCGAAGAATATTACCCTACTCTACTGTCTTGCTTTTTAAAATCTTTTTCATCTTTTTGAGACAGGGGCTCACTGTGCAGTTCAGGCTGGCCTTGAGCTCACTTTGTAGCCCAGGCTAGTCTTGAACTCACAATGATCCTCATGCCTCAGCCTCCACAGTGCTGGGATTACAGGCATGTACCACCATACCTGGCACCGAGTTGCTTTTTCACAGTGACCTCAGATAACATTATAGGAATATTTAGGAGCTAAGAGAAGTTTTCACTAAGAACCTGCACTGGTTTCCAACTTGATTTGAGAATGGCAGATGTTTTCTGTGCAGAAACAGGCAGTGACTATTCCAGACCTGCTGACCCTTAGATTCCGCCTCTATCACTCAGATGGACCAGGCATCCCCAAAAGCAGCCAGATACAATGCAGACAAAGGAATGTGACTGCATCACCATGGAGCCTGGTTTACACAAACAGTGGCCAAAGTGCTCCGGTTCCAAAGTCACAGGACGGGATCTGAAGAGATGTAAAGCCCCTGCGGTGTGAATGGTCCATGGATGTGGCTTTGTGGGGCTAAGCCGATCGGAGGGTACCCCGGCCTCTCCAGCATGGTGATGGGACTCACCTGGCTCACTTTTGTCAAGTCTTGGGATCCATGACACTGCGCATCTTCCATGGCACCACTCCTGAAAAAGCAAAGTGTCCCACTCAGTAATTCAGCCCATGGCCACCGCCCCTGGGCGTAGGTTCAGGGACAGAGCTTGGGGAATGGGTTAGCAACAGGACCCGAGGAGACCCGTCTGGCTCAAGGGTCCTGGCCCTCACCCCAGCAGGACTTGCCCAGCCCTGAGTCGGGGACACCCAGACGGCCACGCTGCTTGTCCCTGGTCACACAGTACATTCTGAGAGCGAAGCACTTAAAATGTTTCAACCTCTCCAAAGTTGTTTTTTCCAAAATATGCTTCATCTTCCTAATTTCTAAATTCACTGTCCTTTACCTGAGAGTGTTGGATCTCTTTTTTGCTACTGGGGATCGAACTTGCGACCCCCCGCTTGCCAAGCAGGTGCTTATGCTGCTGAGCTACATTCCCGGCCCGAGTCTTGGCTCTTTCAGCATGGTTTGGGGCGACTGATCAACACAAGTGAGAGAGGATTTATAAGATGATCTGAATGCAATTCTGGATCCTTCCAGGGTGAGGGGGTGGGCGGCTAGTGCAGAGAAGCACAACCAATTGGTGTTTTAGGACCCGCAGAGTTAATACTAACAGATCTCACCCCACCAAGGCCGAATCCTTTGGGAAGACATTAGCAGGCCGAGGCTGGGAGCTGCTGTGTCACCAGTGTTGTGCTAGGGGCCTGCAAGGTGCCTGCCTGCACCCACTTGGGTCTCAGTGCGGAACGGCTCCAGCAAGGCCGGAAGCTGGTTCCGCTCCCAGCACCCGAGATTACTCCTCTGCCCATCGCTGTGTGGGACTCCAGGCAGGGAGACCCCAGCGAGTGCCATGCATTTGTGCAGGGGCAGAGCTGTGCAGTGGGAAGTCAGTGGGCACATCCAGCTTCGCCAACCTTAAGCTCAATTTCAGGGAGTTAAACAAATTGCAAATTTTCCTACTTGGAAATTAGGGCCGCAGCATCTCACAGGATTGAATGGGCCTCTGCTGCAGTCTAATTGCCTCCTCTTCTGAGGGTGGGGTCATCATGGCATCGGAGGTCGGGGGTCATCAGAGGAGAACAGGGCTCAGTTCACTCAATGGCCCCTGAAGTTTCTTAGTCAGTCACTGAGCCGGATTCTCCATCCAGCTTAGGGACTTGATTTTTATGAGATGGAGTCTTGCTATGCTGCCTGGACTGGTCTCGAACTTGTAAGCTCAAGCAGCACTCCTGTCTCAGCCTCCCAAGTCCCAGCTTCCTCAGCAATGAAAAGGAAGGTTTTTAACCTCATTTCCCAGGATCTCTGTGAAATGTTATTAAAAATATATGTCTCACCACTGCACTGGTTTGACTGAACGATATTTTATGCGCCCTGGGTTAAACTCTTAAAAACACATGAGAGAAATAACCTGCTCTCAGGAATTTCTGCCAATGAAGACTTCTCCTCTCCATGTCCACTCTGGGTGCCTCGAGGGCCAGGGCTGTCTGGTGATGTCCTCTGTCTCTGAAGGTTGGTGTCAGCTCTGCTCTCAGGAACTACTCTGGTGACAGACTTAGGCGACCCAAGCCTTTGTGACCGGCGTTCGCAGGAAAGCACTGGAAGACAAGAGAAATCAGCACCAAAATGCTCGTTCCATTGTCTCTATTAGACAGTGCAAACCCCACTGAGCCCTGCTTGTTTCTCTGTCGGTGTCAGAGTCCTGTGCCAGACAGCGTGGAGCCCTCAGTAGACTTGGGCTCCTGACTGACACCCACTGCTGCGACAGGAACAGGAATAACCTCCAAGGGCGGGGCTCCACAGGGACGCAGGGAACCAACGCACACAGACCAGTGAGGACATGCAGGGAGCTGCAACGCAGACCTGCAAGGGCTCCATGACCGAACCAGCCAAGCGGTAGGAGCCACCACTCAGGAGAGAGGAGCTGCTGCAGATCGACTGCCCACACCCGGCCCTCTCCACCTCTGACAACTAGAGGTTTATTTCCAGAAAAGGGTGACACGGCCGGTCTCCGGCTTAGGGGATACCGGACAGAGTGGAAAGATGCCACGTGGGAGACAGGAGTGAGCACTTCCTGCCAAGCCGCTGAGATGCTCAGCTTCCTTCCTGCTACCTGGCTCTGGAGTTGTTGGCAGCCAGAATACAAAAGGGGGTGAAAAACTATGGCGAATGCTTTTTTTGGGGTGTGTGTGTGTGTGTGTGTGTGTACCAGGAATTGAACTCAGGACCTTGCACTTGCCAGGGAGGCGCTGTGCTGCTGAGCTACATCCCTGGCCCCAATATGGTGGATGTTTGTATTTTAAAAACTGGTTACAGTAAAAACCACACTGCTATTAACCTCCATCACCTCACACCCACCCACCCCACCGTTCCCTCTGCTTTCTAAAGCAGTTTTCCGAGTCCTCTTTCTCTGCTGTTTTTCCTCACATGAGCGCTGTCACCCAAGGAGAGGACCTGGGAGTACATGCAGTGCGCCCTCACCCACACTACTCACTGGCTCTGGGGTGTGGGACTCCGGGCTTCTACCCAGGCAGGGTGACCATTCGGGACAGAAGCCATGCAGGGGACAGCGAGCAAAGACACTCAGCACAGAGGACTTGGGAACTGCTCCAGAAAGCGGCAGGGCCGATGGGACGAGTGTTTGGAACAAGGGGAAAACACCGGGGGACTTTGCCAACCCGCCCTTTCCTGTAACGCATTTTTCAAAATTTAAACACAAACTGCGTTTTCCAACACTGCCTAGGGCACAGGTGAGAAGCACCTCCCTGGGGAAGCCGCGCAGCCTTCGGGAAGAGTTAAACAGCCATGTGCAGTCCCAGGGGGACCACCCAACTACCTCGGCAAGGGGCCTTGCGCCCCATCTTAAACCCAAGCCAGCAGTAATGGAGCAGATGCCCGAGGAGAGCTTCTAACACAGGGACAGAGACCAAGAGCAGGAAACAGAAACGCTCTCCACTGAGGAGAAAGGAAGCCCAGTTACCCTCACCCCTAGAAAAGATAAGACCAACCAAACTCAGGAAACAGGAAACGGGGGCAGAATGTCAGATAATGCAAGCTGGGCATGGTGGTACATGCCTGTAATCCCGGCTCTCAGGAGGCTGAGGCAGGAGGATCAAACTGTGAGTTCATGAACAGCTTGAGCTACAAAGTGCGCTCAAAGCCAGACTGAACTGTACAGCGGCACCCTGTCTCAGAAGACACACACACACACACACACACACACACACACACACACACTCTACAGTCAGAAAATGGTACATTTGGTGAATGGGGAAGACTCCTCAGGAATTAAAAATACTAGGCTGGGGATGTAACTTAGCGGCACAGCTCCTGCCTGGCAAGGGTGAGGCTTTGGGTTCGATTCCCAAAAAGCAAAAATCCAGAAAAACAAAAACCAAATATGACGGCCAGTACGAAAGCCGAGAAAATCTCTCAGTACATAGAAAAAAATAGTAAGAAAAGGAATGAAGAAGATAAGTATCTAAAAAACAAAACATTTCTTTAAAAAAAAAAAAAAAAAAAAGATCCAGCCTTGGTTAGAGATGGTACAAGGCTGCGGTGAGGCCGGAAGGGAGGGATCTGGGTGGCCTCTCTGCAATCTGCTATCTCTGAGGAGCTCAGGGCCCTGTGTGCTCTGTAACCAGACTTCAATTGCAAACGATGGGCTTCTGCACAGACTCTCCATCTGTGAGGAGGAGGCCGCCTGGGGCAGGCAGCTGGCAGGTGCAGCACTGCCTGGCCCTCCGGGGTCATGACGGAGGTTCCTGGGTTCAAGTCCAGCAGCTTCAAGTAGAAAGAACCGAAAAAGCAAATAAAAACCACTCTGGCTCCCCCACTCACCCACTCCGACAAAGAGGTCCTGCCCACAGAGGTGATGGTGGAGAGCAGGGTAAGTGAGAGAGGTTGGCCTTCAGTTTCAGAGGGTGTGCCCCATGGACACTTAGTGGCCTCTAGTGGACACCTACAGCTTATATACAAGGAATATCAACCGAGAGAACGACATTTAATCTAATCAAAGTAGCTTGAAAAAAGTTTCCAAAAAACAAAAAACATTAAAACGGTTTTCTAAAGTATTAAAGACTAGTTCTGATGGGTGTGGCGGTGCACACCTGTATCTCAGCACTTACGAGGCTGAGGCAGGAGGGTTGCTGCGGGTTTGAGGCCAGCCTGGGCTATACCTTGAGGATTCAAGGCCAGTCTGAATTGCATAGAGAGGCGCTGTCTCAAAAAACAAACAAAACCAAAACAACCAAAACCAAATCAATGAATCTCTCCCATGAAACCAGTTTGACTAGAATATTTTCAAATTGGAAACTTAATTCATTAGTGCCTCCCAAACACATTTGCCCAAGAGCTTTAACTCTGATGACCACAAAACTGAGCCCACCTTCCCCAGGGGGTATTAAAGGCCCCACTGGAGAAGTGCCCACCCCTGGGGCCCACTCTCCTCCTCTTCCCTTGCTTCCGTCCACCTCCCTGGGTCCAGAGACCCAACCCCGGATTACTGACCTGAGAAAGACTTGGCCGGGCTCTCGACCCTGAAGAAGCCGGCGTCGAATACGATGCAGTCGGCGGCCCCGGCCTCGGCCCCCTTAGTGCCCTGTCTCAGCCGCTCGCGCATTGCGTTCTTGACCGCGGCCAGACGGCTCCTGGCGGCCGCACGCGCGCCGTCCTCCGCACTCCGCTGGCTCCCTGTGCAGGGGACCGGCTTCTTCTGTAAAAGAGAGGCCTTGTATGCATGGAGGCTGCCTAGTGCCCTCTCATCAGGCCACCGTTCTGTCAAAAGTGAAGGCTTAACGCTTAAAACGAATATCTATAAAATATCACGAATTCACCCTTTGTTTTTTTTTTTCTTATTTTGTTTTTTGTCTTTTGGAGGTGGTCCATGCAATGTAGGCTGTCCCTGAATTCCCTGTGTAGCCCAGACTGGCCTCAAACTCAAAGTGATCCTCCTGCCTCAGCCTCCCGAGTGCTGGGATGGGGGGCCTGTACCACCACACCCGGCCACCATACATAAGTGAGTTCCCAGCATGTGCAAAGAATCTGGGGCACCAGGTGAGGACAAAGCCCTGATTCTAGGCACCTGGTGCTCACCGGGATAAACACAGATGGGGGGTGGGGGGGGATGCCTCACGGCCTCGCTGCTGCGGAGGTTAGCACCCAGAGGTCCTCTACCTCCATGAATTGCTGCCCCTCTGCCATGTACCACCCTCACCTAGGAGCCAGCGGAGTATGGGCTGAAACCTCCACAAACTGTGAGCTACACAGATCTTTTCTCCCTTAACTTTGGGCACCAGGTATTTTGTCTCTGCATGGAGGAAAGTAACCAAGACATAAAGCAAACCAAGAAATTAAAATATTGAGCCAACAGTAGCCTATAAAATGCAGGAGGAGAGCGCCATCTGCTAGTCCCAGACCCGCAAGACTCTCCCTAGATAAACACCCATTACCCACACCTCTGATGACCTGGTATTTCTTAGTAAGAAATAGAACATTTTTCACTATTGAGTGGATTTGAAATTATTTTAATTATTTAGATACTGCCCTCGCTGTCCTTGTCATGAGACTTCATTAATAATCATATTATTACGTGGGGAAGGTGGGGAAAGGTGTTTGGGAATTGAACCTTTGCACAAGGCTACGTGTTTTTTGCACAGCCCTTTATGTTTTTGTACTTCTCAGGAGCTCACACAGCCAATAAACACATGAAAGAAAAGGCTCCACATCACTGGTCATTAGGAAACTGCACATTAAAATGAGAGTGGGATTTCATTTTACTCCAGAAAGAGTGGCCACCAAAAAAGCAAATAACAACAAATGTTGGCAAGGCAGGGTAGAACAAGGAGGCTCTCTACTAGGGATTGTGGACATTAGCACAGAGACGCCTCAAAAACTAAAACTAGAGCTTCCACTTCACCCAGCCCTTCTCTTCCTAGGTATCTTCCCTGGGCTGGGGATTTAGCTCAGCAGCTTGAGTGCCTGCCTGTTAAGCACAAGGTCATGAGTTTGATCCCCAGTGCCAAAAATAAATGTTTTTTTTTTTTTTTTTTTTTTTTTGTCTTTTTCATTTTTATCGGTACCGGGAATCGAACTCATGACTGCCTGCTCGCAAGGCAGGTGCTTATGCCGCTGAGCTAAATCCCCAGCCCCAATAAATGGATAAATAAAAAATAAATTCCTAAATGGGCTAGATATCTTCCCAAAAGAGCTGAAGACATCCTGTTACAGTGGGCCATGCACACCCAGTTTATAGCCGCACAACTCATAATGGCTAAGTCTTGGAAGCAGCCTGTGTGTCCATCACCAAATGAATGGGTACAGAGAAGGTGGAATTTACACTCCAGGGAATACTACTGCCATAAAGAAGGATAGAGCTGAGTCATTTTGTAGGAAAATGGACACATCTGGAGACCACAACAATATGTGGAATAAATTAATCACGCAAGCTTAAATACTGCATGGCTTTTCTTGTGCGAGAAGCCCAAAATAAAAAAGCTAGTAGGGAGATCTTTCTCAAACAGAAAGAGATCAAGAAATGGGGGGATGGGGATGAAGAAGGAATTGGGATGTGTTTTCTACATGCACAAACTCCTCACAACAAAGGTATCACTGTGTCATGCAAACATATACTGATAAATAATAAAAGCTGAAAATAAGCCAGGCATAGTAGCGCACGTCTGTAATTGCAGCACTTGGGAGGCTGAGGCAGGAGAATCGCCACGAGTTCAAGTCTAGCTGGGGCTACACAGTGAGTTCAAGGCCAACCTAAACTACGTAGGAAGACCCTGGCTCAAACCAACAACAAAAAGCAGAAAGCAAATAAAACCTATTACACCTACAGGTACACAAGGCAGTCTATAATCAAGAACATAGATTCTGGAATGGGAACCTCTGGCCAGAAGCCCAGCTCCACTTTAGCAAATGACCCGGTGGTTCTAGGTCTTGGATTGCAGGCTCTCTGGCTGTGGGGGTTACAGGAGTCAGCAAGAGTAAAGCTGCTGGGCTCATATCTGGCACACTAAACATCACATACGTTATCAACTAAGCCCCTAGCATTCTTATCACAACCAGACCTTTTAGGCGCAGTTTACAGAATAAAGCTGATGCTGATGGAACCTGCTGTCCGGGGATGTGCAGGGCTCCCCAGTTTAATTATGGCCCTTACTTCCTTCTCCCCAGCAATGATTGCCTTACATTTTGTGCCGATCATTTCCTGTGCTTTCTTTAAAAGCAAGCAGGATGCTGTGAAACTATAAAGCATGAACTCAGAAGCTAAACGGTTTTTAAAACTTAAAAAACAAAAAAACAATCAGGAGAGTCTGCATTAGAAACCGGGAGAGGACTGGAGATTTAGCTCAGCAGCTCAAGCACTTGCCTGGTAAAGTACAAGGTCATGAGTTTGATCTCCAGTACCCCTCCCCCAAAAGAAAAGAGACCTGGATATAAACCTCACAACTCACCCGTAAGACTTTTTTGCTTGTGGTACTGTTTTGCCATCCGGATTCTTCAAGTTTCATCAGATTGATGAATTTTTTATTTACGTCTTCTATCTGTTAATAAATAAAGCCCAAGTTTTTATCAGGTTAATGCTGCCATATTACAGGTATAAATGAATGAACTAAAGGCCCAAAACAAAGCTGAGAATGGCAACTCATAAATGCTGAGCTACTAAAACTGAGTCTTCTTTAGTGTACAAATGAAGAATTTTTAATTGTAGGGGCTGGGGATTTAGCTCAGCAGCATAAGCACCTGCCTTGCAAGCACACAGTCGTGAGTTCAATCCCTGGTACTGACAAAAAGTTTTTTTAATTGTAAAACTGTCCTTATCTTTGGTCTTATAAACCTCCAAACTCTGTTACATAAAGGATGGACATAGATAACTCTCCTAGATTATTTTCAACTGCTATAATGGAAGGAGATGTCTGAAATGGTTTTGTTTCTGAAGTTATATAATACAGAGATCATCTTTTTAAATGTTGCTTATCCAGTTCCCTAATGAAGGACGGCTTGGTTGCTTTTATGCTTTGGAAATCATGAATCATACATGCAAAGTTTAGCTGGGTGTGGTGGCACAGCTCCTGCAATCCCAGCACTTGGGAGGCTGAGGTAGGCAAGTTCAAGACCAGCCAGAGCTATGAAGTGAGCTCAAAGCCAGCCTGAACTGCATTAGCGAGACCCAGTCTTAAAATGACAACAATAAAAAACAAAAACATACAAAGTTTTAGTGGACAGCAGCTCTATGCCCATTTGGATAAAGGTGCAGGTGGTAACTGCTGGACCCTGTGTTAAGTGTTTAGTGGCCAAAGATGCAGCCGAGCTGCTTCCCAAAGGAATGCATACTTTGCCATCCTGGGAGCACCCAAGGAGCCCTCTGGGCAGCCTCATCAAGTGGCAGCTTGGCCCGCCTGGGCCTGGGCCTGGGGCTGCCTGCAGGGTTCTTACAAGCATGCCCAGTGCTCCTGACCCTGTTTCACAGGTGTGCTCACCACCTGCTTCTCTTCCCCGGGGAAGCAGGTCTGCTGCCTGCTTTTTAATTTTCGTGTTCCTGTGTTTTCTTCCCAATTTGCAGCCATGGTGATGGATTCTAGAGTCCTTGCATGCTGGGCGGGTACAGTCTATCCTGGAGCTCACCCAGCCCTGCTGTCCATCTTCCCGCTGCTGAGCTGAAGAGTTCTTATGTTTTAGATGTCTTTCAGTGGACATGTCTTCAAGTGTTTTTCTCCCAAGCTGTTGCTTCTCATTTATTTTTTAATTTTTAAAATAATCTTTTGGTACCAGGAATCGAACTCAGGACTTAGTGCTTGCCAACGGGCACTGTGCTGCTGAGCTGTATCCCTGGCCCCTGTGGCTTCTCATTTAGAAGAGTTAGGCAGAAAGCTTCCTGGCAGGACGGAAATCAGCATCTCCACCCAGGCACTGCAGGGCTCCTTCTGGAAGTGAACCCTGCTCACAACCCTTCTGCACACCCACACCCCCTCTTCACATGTGTCCATGCATCCTCTTAAAACACGGAAAGGGCAGAGGGACCCAGGCCTCAGCAGTTAGCCACAGGTGACTTCAAACAAAGGAGCCAATCGGATTCAACCAGGAAAGGCTATTATTCCTGAATGCTCAGGGTGGATATGCATCCACAGAACAAAGTTAGACCCTCTCAATTCACACGCAAAAACTAACCAACTAAACTGAAGACCTAGCTGAACGGCTAAAACTATAAGAAAAAAGCAAAGAAGAAAATCTTTGCCGAGAGGCTGAGGCAGGAAGATCGCCACGAGTTTGAGATCAGACTGGGCTACATGGTAAATGCAAGGCCAGTGTGAACTACATAGTGAGACCCTGTCTCAAAAAATCTTTCAGGCTTGTAGTTGAGCAAGAGTGCTTAGGCATGGCCAAACCACAACAAAAAAGAAAAAAATCTCATAGACCGAATTTCACCGAAGTGTAACACATTCACATTTTTAATAAGATGATTAAAATCACAAAACAAGGGGGCTGGAGATTTAACTCAGCGGCATAAGCACCTGCTTTGCAAGCAGGCGGTCATGAGTTCGATTCCTGGTACCGATAAAAAAAAAAAAAAATCACAATATAAACCTAGAATTCTCCTCGTGGCATAATGAAAAATAACCCGATCAGGTATTTCATGCGTTTGTTCATTCATTTTTTCTCAGAGCTCTGAGCCTCTCAGTGCTCGGTCTGAGCTACTACTTCTCAAGCTGCCATGTAGAAGGTCTTGCTATATAGCCCAGGCTGGCCTTGAACTCGTGGCAGTCCTCCTGCCTCAGCCTCCCAAGTGCAGGGTTTATAGGTGTGCACCGCTATACTAGTAGATTATGTTAAATCCCTCCTACACTTGCTGCTGGCCACTTCCTCAGTCCCTTTCTAGGGCTGCATCTTAACCCCTTCTGCTCTTCTTAGCCTACTCGATCTGTGAGGTACACTCTCACCTTCCTGAGAAGATAGTCAGGAGAGGAAGAAAAATGCGGTCTGAGAAATGCCTGCTCAGCCTCATTCAACTCGGGACAGAAGTCCAGGCTAGAAATGACTTTTGCTTGGATTTTCTGGGTCTTAAGATTGACAGGTGATCTCAGCACTCAGGAGGCTTGAAGTGAGTCTGAAGCCAACCTGAACTACATAGTGAGAGCTGTCTCAAAAAGCAGATCACCAGGAGATGCTGAACTCGCTTATGCATCCTTCTCATGCTGCAACCCTCTAGCTCTCCCTCCTGGAGAGTTCCCTGAGGGCACTGCCTAACTTTCTAACTCCTCTGCTTTGCTCTTATTGTCTAACCTCACAGGTGCTTGCTGTGGTCCTGTGGATGCTCTTTTAAGTACTTTTGTTTGACAGAGGAAACACCCGCTCCCTTTGGGAATCGTACCACTTGCTTTAAAAGTCCTGCTCCCCTGACACAACCCTACTGACTTCACCCCAGGAGCCGCTACCCTGGAGGTCTGCTCTGGGCTCTGCCTTCTAGATCCAAGGCGCCCCTGGGAGCTGGCAGGGAGCTCAATGGTGGAGTCCAAGCTTAAATGCATGAGGCCCTGGGTTCAATGCTCAGCATGGCTGGAGAAGAAATAAAACACTCTCCTTCCAATGTCTGTTGTTGGCTATTAATCCTTAAAATGGCATTTTATATGTGCATTTCTAAAATAAATTCGAAACTGAGTGTGGTCACGCCTGTAATTCCTGTACTCGAGAGGCTGAGGCAGGAGGATCATTGCAAGTTTGAGGTCAGCCTGAACTACGTACATAGCAAGACTCTGTCTCAAAAAGACAAAATAAATAAATAAATAAAATAATATAAACAAAATAATAATATAATAATAATATAATATAAATAAAAAAATATCTCGACAAGCCAGAAAGCATTACCTGACTCCTGAGCCTTTACTAACTCTAACAATTTCCAGTACTGTAGAACTTTCTGCTTTAGATTAGACTGAATCGCTGTCTCTAAGTTGCTCACCATTTCACAACCCCTCTGGGACAGAGAAGCCCAGCCACTAATTCAGCCCAAGACTGGCTCACTCCTCACGTGCGGATCGCCATGGACTGCTTGAGAGTTGGATATAATACCGATTGCTAATCACACAGAGTAAGCTGACGACACAAGGCAGACGACGGTCAGCAACACACCTGGATAGATAGCGCTGCTTCCAAAAGTTCTCAGCAGCTCACTAATCATCACGGTACCCAAGCGACCATGATGCCTCCCTTAAAAACTCAGTGGATGCATCAAAGGATGTGGGTGCCTACCTGAAAACTAACCATATCCCAAAACCCATCCAGGTCGGTGCAGGTGGTCTCCTTCTGGCCACGTTTATATTCACAGTCGTCCACCAGGCCTTCAAACTGCTTGAACCGCTCCTTCATGAGGAGTCGTGTTTGGCCCACTGCTGTGCGGATGAGCTCTTTCGCTGAAGGAGGAGAGGGGTTCAGAGTTAGAGGAGAAAACAGGGCCTGTGCCAGAGCCAGGCATTGGGGGAAGACTTCATCCTAAATTCCCCAGGGTTTACCACCTCGGACCTCACAGCAAGACAAAAACACTTCATCCTACAAATGTTCACCATCACCCTGGCCTCTACCCATGCCTAGCATGCCAACTGCCACACATACTGAGCAGCACTTTTTTTCTTTGTCTTTGTGAGGCAGGGTCTCACTATGCAGTTCAGGCTGGCCTTGAGTTCACTTTGTAGCCCAGGAAGGTCTCAACTCTCAACGATCGTCCTGCCTCAGCCTCCCGAGTGCCTGGCTCTCACACGGTGTATTTTTATAAGAATTCAGCCTCGAAGAACACACTGCACACAGCACTGAACAGAATCCACACTGAGAGTAGCACACGTGTTTTTTTCCCTAAGCAGCTTTGCCAAGTAAGATGAAGGAATGTTTCAGAAAATATTGATTCAGTAATTTCCAGGGCTGAGGATTTAGCTCAGCAGCATAAGCGCCTGCCTTACAAGTGCGAGTCGTGAGTTTGATCCCCAGTATCAAAACAAAAACAAAACCAAAAAACAAATAAATGAAAAAACAAAGGTAGTAATTTCCCTGTATTCAAAAAATATTTCTGTATCACTAAGCAATACTAGAAATTGATGTTACCCATAAAGTCATAAAAAAAAATCTAATAATAAGTCTTGCACCTCTTTAGCACAGTGATAGTGGGAAACAAAACTACAAGAAACGGGAAATTTTGCTAGCAGCTCTAGATTTCCATGCTGCGGATGAATGTGATCATGTTAAGGAAAGAAAGCCAGGACGTCTTGGAGACACAGCCCCTCACCGTCGTCGGGGATGTCTAGCTCGAGCTTCCGGTCCCAGTCCAGGCAGTGTGAAGTTAACTTCTCAGTTTCAGAGCGGAGGATATTTCTAAAATTAGACACAAGACCGTGTGACAAGAGCCAGGTTAGCATGATGACGCAGAGCACAAGGAAAGTCTAAGAGGGGTACACGGTGTTAGTTTCCCAGAATTGCTTTTTTCTTCTTGGTACCCGGAATCGAACTCAGGACCTCTGCCACTGAGCTAAAGGCCCAGCCTGGTGCTTCACTACTTAACGAATGGCACCAAGCGTTCACTTCCAAGCTAACATTTTTATCTTGATCTGTGCTCGTTCCCCTCCATTAGCTTACTACATTAAATGCTTATATATATTATTATTATTATTGCTATTTTGTGGTTCTAGAGATTGACCCCAGGGCCCTGTGCTTGGTAGGCCAAAACTTCACCGCTTCATGGTGTTTTGCATTTTTAAAAATTTTATTTTTTGGCCTGTTTGAGAGAGGGTCTCTCTATTCAGTTCAGGCTGGCCTTGAACTCACTCTGTATCCCAGACTAACCTTGAACTTGCAATGATCCTCCTGCCTTAGCCTCCCGAGTGCTGGGATCCCAGGCGTGCGCCACCATGCCCAGCTCCTTCGCTATGTTTTGGAGCCAACATCCCATTAACCCTCCCAGGCGGGCAGAAGCTTGCAATCTTCCTGCCTCAGCCTCATTGGAAGCTGAGGTTACAGGTGTGTACCAACATGCCCAGCTAAAATCAAATAGTTTACCTGGGGCTTGAAATATCTAGACATTAATATGTAGCTATTGGACTGGGGACAGACGAACCTGAAATACGGCACATCGTGCTGTGGCTCGGGGATCTGACCTCCACAGGTCTCCAGCGGTAAGGCTTTGTCTCCAGACAGGCCGTCGGGATCTTCAGGAGCAACTGCATTTTGACTTAAGCCACATTCTACAAATAAAGCTACACATAAATCTCAAAATAGCAATTCTAAAATGACATCCTTCACCAAAGAACTTTTTAAAAAAAGTTTTCAATATTCTCAATGCTACATTTTAAGTTTGTTTTTTAACAATTATGAAGTTTATTTGAAAAAGTAAAAGTGATGAGTCTGAGAAAGTGGCCCTGAGGAGCGAGCACGGGCTGAGGAAAAGAGGAAAAAGCCAGATAAAGTAGTCCACACTGGAGGGTGGGTATACGGCTCAGTAGTATAGGTGCTTGCTTGGCAAGCGCAAGGTCCTGAGTTCGATTCCTGATGCCACCCTCCCCTCCCCCAAAGTCCACACTGGAGGACATGGCGGGCTTGCAGGATGAAAGCCAGCAGAGTCTAAATGTAAGTTTTGATTCCTACCTCAGTTAGTTCACTCACCACATCTATTCCAATGTGGTTGGCGGTATCTTTCATCTTTTAAAATCATTGATAAATTATGATCCAAAAATATCAGCAAAAATCCAGACTAAAATACTGTACCTTCTTTGAAAACTGTTACGGAATCCAGGGGACATAGGAATGAATCCTGCTGCACAGTCTTGGTAAAAGTTTTACATTTTGGGGCCAAGATTTCTTTTCTTGTTTCTTGCATCTTATCACTGAAAACAATGACAAAAATGTATTTCATGGGTCCATATATCCAATTGCAGGGTTTAAAACTGTGTTGCTATCTAAAAGTCTAAACTAAAAGACATATTTCTACTTTAAAAAAAAAGTCCATTCTGGAGCAGAAAATTTTAAAACCTGCAATTAGAATGCCACTTACATTAAATTCTAACGAGAGCCAAAGATTCAGGAGTTCTCTCAAGGGAGCCTCACAACTCCGTTGCCTTGGAGACCGAATGTACAGTGGACCCTTGAGCTATGCTTGGCCTGACACATGAACCACTTGGGTCTTGACCAGAATTTTAGTTTTAACTTGGGGCCAGAGTCTTGAGTTGTGACCCGAATGCCAGCTGCCTGTGCTTCCAGATGGCACAGATATAGACTGAGCCCTGACAGAGCTCTGGAAGGAACATTGCCACCTCCTTTTCTGCATGGGGTTCATTGGGAAACCTGGGCCAGGGTGTCTCCAAGGACACTGAGTGCTGCCTGTGACAGGAGAGGCTTGGAGGGCTGGAGAGGAGCCTGAGGCTCCCATTGACAGCCTGAGTTGCAGCCTGAGTACAGCCAGCCCTGGGAACACACTGGGTTCCCCAGTCACGGTCCACCCTGTTTGCTGCCAGCCAATCTCCAAAAAATGATCGTGCCTTGTCATTCAAAGATTCCACCCTATTTCCCAAGTGTTAGAGGTAATTTCTTAAAGGAACTTTGAGCCCAAAATAGCCAATCTGACCTACACTCTTTTTTTGGTCTTTTTGAAACTGGCTTTGAGCTCACTTTGTAGTCCAGGCTGGTCTCCAATTAGAAATGATCATCCTGCCTCAGCTTCCCGAGTGCCGGGATTTACTGACCTACATACACTCTTATGGCAATTTTCTAAGTGTTACAATTAAATCAATTATGGTGAGAATAATAGCAACGATAGGAAATATGAAAACCGTCAAGGAGGTTTGAAGCAGGAGGATTATTTAGAGTTTGAGACCAGCCTGGGCTACAAAGTGAGCTCCAGGCCAGCCTGAACCGCATGGCGGGATGGTCTCAAAAAGACCCCCCCCCCAAAAAAAAAAGCCATCCGGGGCTGGGGATTTAGCTCAGTGGCATAAGCACCTGCCTTGTAAAGCAGGCAGTTGTGAGTTTGATCTCCAGTACCAATAAAAAGGAAAAAGACAAAAAAAAAAAAAAAAAAAAAAAAAGTTACCAGAGCCTTCTACACATTCCTTAGAAATAGAAATTTTAATTATTTTTTTCAACATACTTCTCTAGCTAAAAATGCACAACCAATCAAGATTGGCACCTGCCCCACCCTCCCATCGGGCAGGACACCCAACTCACCCTGAGGGCTGTGCGAGGTTCCAGGTGAGGCTGGGCGTCAGGAAAGCCTCGGCGCTCCTGGGCGTCATGGGCATCACCTGATAGGTCCTCACTCCCTCCAGGGGCTGGAACACGAAGTCTTGAGGTGCGAAAGAATTCTTGCCTCTTGTCTTCGGGAGGTTTCCCGGCTTCGCTAAGACTCTGTCTGGCTCCGTCTCCTTTGTGGCACTGGTATGTGACGAATCTCCTTCACTATGGACTTTAAAAGAAACGGCCTGGATATCAGGAAGCAGAGCACAGTCAGAATTTCTAAGGATGCAGTCAGGCCATCTTCACAGGCTTGAAACTGTGACAATGGGGCTGGGGATGTTGCTCAGGGTAGAGCACTGGCCTAGCATGCAGGAGGCCCTGGGCTCCATCCCCAGCACTGCAAAAAGACTGAATGAAGGAGTCAGGTGGGGTGGTGCAGGCCTGTAATCCCAGCACTGGAGAGGCTGAGGCAGGAGGACTGCTGTGAGTTTGAGGCCAGCTTGGACTAGACAGTGAGACCTTGTCTCCTAATCAAACACAAGAGTAGGTATTTAAATGTAAGTTTCAGAGGTATGTATGCTGCTGGTTTTTAAACTTCTTTTAGGTTTCATTTTTTGATCTTTTTGAGATAAGGTTTCACTATGTAGGTTCAGGCAGGCTTTGAGCTCACAGCAATCCTGTCTCAGCCTCCCGAGGACTGGGATTACAAATGTGGGCCACCATGCCCGGCAGCTTTCTGACTTTTAACAAGATCTGTACTCAAACTAAAGTACTCCAATGTGGACAAGAGGTTAGGCGGTCAGTATACCTGGTGTGCTCCTTAGGGGGAACAGAATCTCAGGGCAGAGCTACGGGGCCCAGTTGATCGGCATCACCCACAAGGCAGGATTGCTGTCTGATGCTCAGTAAGAAGCTAGATGAACTTCTCTCTCTTTAGCACCACCTCTGTGTGTTTAAGGTGTCACAGTGAGGATTACAAACACAGAGATGGGAGGCTCAGGCTCAGATTAGGACTTTACTAGCAGCATGCCAGGTGCTCGCAGAGACCTTAGCTTTCTCTCTTTTTTTTTTGTCTTTTTGAGACAGGGTCTTGCCGTGCAGTTCAGGCTGGCCTTAAACTCACATTGTAGCACAGGCTGGTCTCAAATTTACAGCGATCTTCCTGCCTCAGCTTCCTAAGTGTTGGGATCACAGGAGTGTGCCACCATGCCCGGCTTTAGCTTTCTAACCCTTAGGAGCACTTTGTAGGGATTGTCTCTTAGAGACAGACAACAACCCCAATGCAGCTACGCCCAAGCAGAGATGATATCCCAGACTAAGGGAATCCAGCACATTTTACCCTACTCTGTCCTACCTAGTATCTACTTTTACATTGTGGCTTCTCTGTTGTTTTTGTTATTTTTCTCCATCTTCTATTTGTTAACCACATTATGGGACTAAGAAATGCTCGCCCTGCTTCCTTCCGGTCTGAGGGGCTCCCCTGCCCGGGCAGGTTCACCTGAGTCCAGCGTTAGGAAACAGCAGTGCCATGCAGACGGGAGCTCGTGTGTGTGCCCTACCTTGTCAGCTTTCGTTTCGACCTTTGCGGCGGGTCTTCCTCTACTGGGTGCCTTTCTTTCTGGTTCATTATCTAAAATTAAAATGAAATAAAACATCTGTCTTGACAAGATACAAAATGGAAAGTAAAGAAAAAAAACAACAATAGGAAGCTATGACTTGAAGGGTTTTTCTGATGGAAAGTTTTATGATAAAAAGTGAAATGTCCTGATAAAGGTCAAACGAAACGTGCCTTACCTTTTTCTTTTTCCTCTGAATGGCAAATATATATTTATTACACAGTTAGGAAACAGAAAACTTATAATCCTAGCTATTCAGGAGGCTGAGGCAGGAGGATTGCAAGTTCAAGGCCAGCCTGGACAACTGAGTGCTTCCATCTCAAAATTTAAACAATCTACAAGGGTTGGAGCCGGCTGAGTGACAGAGCCCTTGACCAGGACCACACCCACATCCACACCCTAAAACACCCTCCATCCCATCACCAGCACTGCAGACTATGCTCTTCTAGCTTTTTTCCATATCTGTGATATCACACATTGTTTCACAGAGCTTCGACCTTAGTTTGACCTGTTTTTCTTTACGTACTTAATACATCACTGCTGACATCATTAAGTGTTCTTTGAGAGCACTGTTCTTAGTGGCTACATTATATCTCACCAGGGGCATGGAGTAACTTTCAATTTGTTTTTTTTGAGGTCTTGATGTATAGTGCATGCTGGCCCCTAACTCCCAGAAATCCTCCTGCCTCAGCCTCCCAATCTATGGGATTACAGGCATGCACCACCATACCCACCCAGCTAAAATTTCTTAACACATGGACTAAAGTTGGAGGGGATGTTCATTTTTAATTTGAAGCACAATTTATGCTGATTCGGGGCGTCAGCATCTCGGTGCCCACTGTGTGTGGATTCTCGAGGCACAGAACAGAGCTCAGGGTTAGACCCTCTCATTTCCTTCTCAGAGAGCACAGGCTGACCTTAATAATTAAACACAAACACCTGAAGGACCAAAGCATTGTAGGTTAGCCAATTCCAATAAACAGTACTTAGCCAGGCTTGGTGGTACACGCTTGAGATCCCAGCATTCTGGGAGGCTGAGGCAGGAGGATGATCAATTCAAGCCCAGCCTGGGCAATTCAGACTTATGGGACCCTGTCTCCAAATAAAAAAACTGTGAAAAAGCCCAGGATGTGACCTGATGCAAAGGCCCCCAAGTCCAATACCAAAATGAAAAGTTCCTCACCCTGGGCAGCCCTCGTGACTGGCTTTCTGACTGTGGCAGTGGGGACGGGCCTGGGGACCTGCTTGGTGGCCTGAGTAGCCGATCGTGTCATCCTGATGGGCACCGGAGCCACGGGAGTCACAACTGCGGGAGGAAGCACCAAATGTCCTGTGTCATTAGTGCACATCGGTGCAGCAGGGGCGGGACCCGCACGACACAAGGGGCTGTCCCCACCTTTATTTTCTTTGTCCAGTGCCCTCCTGTGAGCGGCCTGTCTTCCTCCAGGGCCGGCCACTTGGACATCACTCGCAGCAGGGAGCTATTTAAGACATGAAGATGATTCCTATGTGAATCAGAGCATCCCATTGCTAACCTAGAAAGGGACCCGCACCTGAATCCTGGCAGTGACAAAGAATCCAACAACAACAAAATGCACTGACTCAAATAAAACTAAGAAAAGGTTTTTTGTTATGCAAATCTCCTGACAGTCTCTTACAGAAGCCCAATATTGATAAAATATAGTAAACTAAATGATTAGGGACAACTGATCCTGGTCGGGGATTTAGCTCAGTGGCAAAGTGCTTGCCTGGCAAGCACAAGGTCCTGGTCCGATCCCGGGTACTAAAAAAAGAATAGCTGATCCTTCATTCTGCTGTCCCGAGGGGGTCTCATTTCTGGCTAGGAAGCCTCCCCTGGCCACCCCAATCCTCCCGCATCCCCAGCCCTTTCTTTCTCCATCTCCCCCACCCAGACATTTCAGTGTCTGGCGACTACAGATTTATTCTTTTCTTGCCAGTCTTAGGTGAAAGCTCCACCAAGCTGGGAGTTTTGGTTTCTCTCTGTTGATTTTTACGGTTTGTTGTTTTTTCTCGTTACTGTGATCCAGAGTCTACTGAAATGCCCGGAACATGGTGGTCATCTGGGTCTACCGAACACAGGTGACCCAGCTTCCTGATCTGCTAAGAGGGACCCCACTCCCCTGCACTTATTTTGGGGACCTCCCAGAGCCCCGCCTGAGATGGGATTTAGAGGAGCCCGAAGACTCAAAGGCCCTCCAGCCACCACCTCCACCATGTTTTCATTCCTGCCTGCATTTCCGACAGGCAGCCGGCAGCACCCAGGGACGCTGGCTGTGGCAGGATGAGGGCTGCGGCGTCTGGGGGACCCGTGGGCAAGGACTGCTTCAAGTGGAAACATCCTCAGTGTCTCCCGGAAACTGCCCCAAAGCATCGCGTGCCTAGTGATCACTTTACTGCCTGTTAAGTCAAGGGAATCGGTCGCTGTGTTTGAATCTGACATTTGATTAAAAACAATTAGTTGGCGACTTTACCTTAGAGGGTTCCACTTGGTCCCTGGCCTTGGATCTTGTGATTCGTACAGAAGATGGAGCAGCCTTCAAAGCATTAAAGGATCAAGTCAAACATGATGACAACAAAGACAACTGGGAGAGTCCATTTTCATGTCTCATTATAAAATGAAACTCCTGGTTTAAATTTTATCTTTACATACCCCCTTTCCTGATTCTGGCTGGAATGTGAACTGTGTTTAAGTTAGTATCTTCAAAACTTAGATTTCTTAGGAAAAGAAGGTACTTGAAGCCACATTTCCCAGGAATTAGAATCCTAATTAACAAGACTGGCTGATTTGCCAAGTGTGGTGGTGCACGCCTATAATCCAGCAACTCAGGAGGCTGAGGCAGGAGGAATACAGTGAATTTGAGGCTAGCCTGGACTACATAGTGAGTTCCAGGCCAATCTGAACTACACAGAGTCAATCTAGATAAATCTAACACACACAAAATATACCTAGCTACATCTTTCTACTGTGAACTATACCTATCAGTTTTGGTTTCTTCATACTATCCTGAAGTCAAACTGTACTCAGAATAAATAATCAGAAATCTGCTAAGTAAATTAATGAGATTTCATGAGGCCCAGAAAAGCAGGTAATATCTTGGGCCTTTACACTATTAATTTTTTTTTTTTGAGACAAGGGTCTCGCTATGTAGTTCAGGCTGGCCTTGAACTCATGGTGATCCTCCTGCCTCAGCCTCCTGAATACTAGGATCACAGGAATACATCACAAGTTGATAATAGCTCCACCTCATTTATAAGCCTCCCTTCAACTCTCATAATCTCCAGGATAAATACCAAACCCTGTGGCACAGCGTGATTCAGCCTGGCTCTGTTTTCCTACATTTATCTTATCTCAATCTACATATGTGCCAGGGGTTTAGCTTAGTGGTGGGTGTAAGCGCCTGTCCTGGCAAGTGTGAGGCAGTGAGTTCAATCCCCGCCGCAAAAAATCACTACATATGTATCAAGAAACATGGCAGGTATGGTGGTACACACCCCACATCCCAGCTACTTGGGAGGCTGAGGCAGGAGGATCTCAAATTCAAGGCCAGCCTGGGTACCTTTACAAGATCCTACCTTAAATTTATATATATATATATATATATCTGATTATGTGAATGAATAAAGGGACCAAGGGGAAGGGTTTATTTCAATCATTTAATCTCTGAATCAAAATTCAAGATAAAAAAGAACTTATTCCTCTATACCAAACTAAAATTATACATTTACCTTTTGGGGTTCTTTGGGGGCAGGGTACCGGGAATTGAACTCGTGACCTCACATTTGCAGGTGGGTGCCGAGCAGCTGAGCTGCATCCTGTTTGCATTTACCTTTTTCGGCTCAGCTTTCCTGACACAGGGCCCTGATGAAAGGAAGGCGGGGACGTCGGGTGTAAAGAGGCCCACTTTAAACACTCCCCGCTTGGCTCTCTCCCTCTGCTCTTTCAGTTTCTGGAGCTTCTTGTCCTCTTTGTATTTCTGGAGCATTTGTTTGCGTTGATCACTTAGAACAGTTTTCAGCGACTCTAGCGGGAAGGAAAGAAAAACCCGACCACTGCATTTCAGATAAGAAGCTTCCCAAGAGCTGGGAAGGTTGTTTCTGCCCCGCTGCAGGCATGGCTAAGGTCACTTCCAGTCCAGGCTCTGAAACACCACTCCTCCTCCTGTGCACCGGCTTCCCACGGCAGGGGACGAGCCTGCTGGCCAGGACAAGGACCGAATAGGGGCCTCATTAGAGTTTCTGGCTGATCCCGACTAGAAGGAGTTAAAGCTTCACTGGAGAGGGCACAGGTGACAAGAGGGGCACAGGTGACAGGAAGAGGCCTGAAGCCAGGACGGCTCCTCTCCCCATCTGTGATTTGATGTCAGGGACACAAAGGGGAGGAGGGCTACAAACTTCAAGGAAAACTTATAAAGAAATCTGCATCCTAGACCCACTGCGTCCTTACACCAGAGCTGTAGCCCTGCCTCATCTATCCCAGTCACCCCTCTGCAGAGCTCCATGGAGAGCCGAGGCCCTGACCAGGCTGGGCTGGCCAGTGGTCGAGTTCCATCCATGAAGGCTGGGGGCCAACCAGGATGAGACAAGTTCCCAGGTTCAGCTGGAGGGCAGGTCCCTTCAAGAAGGAAGCTGAGGACAAAGGGGTGCCCCATCTCCGTCCTCAGGGTGCCCCCACCCTCCCTCTCAGGGCAGCCTCTGTCTTCTGTTTTGTTTCTTCTCACAACTTTTAAACCTTGTTGCTTTACTCCTCACTGGGGCTGCGGAGTGGTGGTGTGCACCCCTGGACACGGCTCTTGTGTGCTGGACAGGTGACTGTCACCTCCTAGAGGCCACCCCCATAGCCCCCTGCACTGTAGGGTCCTATGCCTCCTGTGTGAACCACAGGGCTGTGGGAAGGTGGGGCAGGACCATCAGACCAGCTCCACCTCACTGCGAGAATCAAGGCGCCCGCCCAAGGCAGCACCACTCAGAGCTCCAGGGCGTGAGTCCCAGCAGCAGACCCTCCTGCCTCAGCCTGCCTTTGAGATGATCCTTTCCTCCACACCTGCAGCTGCCTTCACAACTACCCAGCTCTGCCTGGCATAGTAGTGCATGCCTATAATCCCTGCACTGGGGAGGCTGAGGCAGGAGGATTACTGCAAATTGGAGACTAGCCTGGGCTAGAAAGTGAGTTCAAGGCCAGCCTGAACTGCAAAGTGAAGCCCGGTCTAAAAAGACAAAAAAAAAAAAAAAAGGGGGGGGGGGAGACAAGAAGTTGTTCTACTGAAGAAGTAAGAAATGTTCTGATTTTTTAGATTGGTTACTTTGAACTGAAGCACTTGAAAAAGTCAGTCTCTGGGGCTGTGGGTTTAGCTCAGCGGCATAAAGCACCTGCCTTGCAAGCAGGCGGTCGTGAGTTCGATCCCCAGTACCGATAAAAATGAAAAAGACAAAAAAAAAAGAAGGGGCCACAGATGCAGCTCAGACAACTTGCCTGGCAAGTGTTAGGTCCTGAGTTTGAGTTCTGGTACCAAATGAGAAAAAAAGGACCAAAAGAAACAAGGAAACAAGTCAGTCTTAAAGCTCTGAAGTCTCAAAAAATAAAAACAAAAACATCAAACTAGTGCTATGGAGACCTCCTATATCCTATTTCCCCATTTTCATGCTTCCTGCTCCTGAGAAATACTATGCTTTTCCCTCTCCCTAGAGGGCCAGCCCATTTCCTTGACCTTCAAACATTTTGAGTGATGAACTCACTCAAAAACGCAAACTAAAGAACCCTAGAGATTCCCGCTCCTGGGACTAACCTGGGGCCTCATACACACAAGCTTTCTACAAGCCCATGTGGATTAGTAAAACAGTGTAATTATCCACAGGGAATGGCTTTGGCCTAACTAGGCCTGTGCAGTTATTTATATAGAAAACATCAGGTTATATAGAAGGAGATCTCAAAATTGTTCCTCTGGTCAAAATCACCCCAGGCCCACAGGAATTAAACCAACTTGTAAACTTGTACTCTTAAAAAAAAAAAGTACAGTGCTTTGGTCGGGGATATAGCTCAGTGGTATAGCGCCTGCCTGGCAAACGCAAGGTCATGAGATCGATTCCCAATACCAAACAAACAAACAAAAAACTCCCACAAAAGTATGAGAGACTTTAATTAAAATAATAACTAAATAGAAAAATAAAGCATAAAATACAGATTCCACTTACGTGGCTTGATATTGGACTTTTCTGGAACAAGTTCTTGAGATGTCTCATGTAATTCCACAAAAGCCTTGCTCTGTGAGGTTGGAATATTGACATCTTTCAAACCGAAGTGTCTGTTGCGTTCGTACTCCTTATGTCTGTTTTCTTTTTGAGACAGAGATTTCCTATGAGCGAGTTTAGTTCTGATCATCTCAGTACTTAAATCCTTTCTGTGACGGCTGACAAAATACAAAGACATCCTGGCAGAAAAAAATAGAAACCAGCTTACATGGGTTTTCCTTAAGTTATTTAAAACAATCGAGGTTTCCAGTTAGCTCCTGTCCCATCTCAAGAGGCCACAAAAATAAAAATATTAATACACACAATGGGCTAAACGTGTGACCAAGAGAGGAAAAGAGAACATTAGAGGACAAGATACTACGAATGACTTTGTACTTCTGAAGGGGCGCTTGCTTGGCAGTGAAGTGGAACCCAGGAAAACTACAGCCAAGAGGCCCTGCGATTACCGCAGAGCACACTGGAAAGAATGTAAGTAAAGATGAAAACAGAAAAATTAAGCTGTTAATAGAACAACTTCCTTAATCTGACGGTGAGCACAAGAGGCCTATCATTTCTTCTCAATTAAAATAAAACAAAAACATTCAGACCATGGTGATGTACCTTGTAATCCCAGCACTTGGGAGGCTGAACCAGGACTGCCACACATTCAAGACCAGCCTGGGCTAGATAGTGAGGCGCTGTCTCAAAAAACCAAGACAAACAAAAAAACTCCCAGCAAAACTAAAAAATAAAAACTCAAGATGTCATGAGTATTTAAGATGAGAAAAAAGGTTTTTAGGGACTTGTTTGCCATATTATTATTATTATTATTATTTTTGTCTTTTTCCTTTTTATCGGTACCAGGGATGGAACTCACAACTGCCTGCTTGCAAGGCAGGTGCTTATGCCGCTGAGCTAAATCCCCAGCCCCTGCCATATTATTTTTGTGCATGCAAGCAATCACATAATTTACCTGGTATAGACCCTTATTTTAAAGCTTGAGTGTGGGAAGCTGAGGCAGGAGGATCACAAGGTCAAAGCCAGCGTGGGTAATTTATGAAGATTGCCTCAAAATAAAAGGGTGAGCTGTTGAGGGGCTGGGGATAATAGTTCAGTGGCAGAACCTTTGCCTAGCATGCAAGAGCTTCTGGACTCAGTTCCCAGTATGACACAACAAAAACCACCTCTGAGAATGTATTCAAACCAAGCAAGGCTAGTAAAGGCAATGTCATTTGAGCTAATCACGCGTCAGACTGAGGAGAAGAGAAAGTGGTCCGTTTGAGGGGGTCACCTATGCAGCTGGTAGCAGAACTACCAAACCAAACCAGAGGAAATAGAATGGTTCTCCAGAATGAAGATCTGGGAGGGGAGGGCAAAGAAAAGAGAGTGAGGCTTTGTGATTAGGAGTGTGAAAAAGGCAGAAGTAGCTGGGTGTGGAGGTGCATCCCAGTAATCCCAGCATTCGGGAGGCTGAAGCAGGAAGCAGGAGGATTGTCGAAAGTTCAAGACCAGCCTGGGCTACAAAGTGAGTACAAGGCCAGCTGAACTGTATAAGGAAACCCTGTCTCAAAAAGAAAAACAATAAAAAAAGTATAAGTACTGAGAATATAGGAATAGATTGTTTCTCTCTTTACACTCACATCTGTCAAGCAGGCAGTCAATCTAGCGTGGACATCAGTTGAGTATTCACCTCAATCTATTCTGATTGTGCCCACCGGGAAGGGTGTGCAGGATCCCACAGAGGATGGGCTCAGTCCCAGGAGATCCCCCCACCCGCTACACCCCACATGACGCCAATGCCAGCCGCAGATTGCTTCAAGGCCCCCACCCTGCCCTGCTCAGGTCGCACTAATTGGCCAGAGGGCCTCAGAGAACTCACACCTGAGGGCTTATCATAAAGGACTCAGGTGAGGAGATGCTGGGGACCAGGCATGGAGCCCCTGGGCTCACCTCCCTCCAGCTGTTTCTCTCCATAGACCCTCACAATCTTCATCATTCAGGTTTTTACAAAGGCTTCATGACAGCCATGACTGAATCACTGACCAGAGGAGACAAACTCACCATCCAGCCACTCTCCCCTCTCTGGAGGCTCCAGTCATCTTTCCTGTGCCCAACCATGTACCTAAACTACCTGGTCTCCTGCTGCCTGCAGCAGTCAGTTCACTAGCCTGTTTATTCAGGTCACTAGCCTGTTTATAACAACACTGCTTTCAGGAGTCCAAAGATTTTCAGAGTTGCAAGCCAAGAAATAAAGAGAAAGACCAAATAGATATTTTATAATGTCGCAGGCCTACGATCTACTCCAGAACTAAGAAGTCTCCTAGGAAACTTCAGAAAAATGAATCGATGCGAGAACGTAAAAAAGGAAATGTTACATATAATTAGCAGCATACAAAAAAGCCAGAATCCATCTGATCTGGATGCTAATAACATCCTCCTTAACAAGCCCAGGGGAAATGATAGTGATTGTGCTTCTTATGGAGAACTCTACGATGTGATTTGTTATCTCCTACAAATATTAATTTGCTGAATACTGAAGAAAAGCTGCAGCCTGTATCTGGTCATTTGGAAACACCCAGAGCTCACGCTAGAGGCGTACTTGATTACCCCCTTAACCCTAGAAGGTACACACAGTGGATCAGCATTGCTATCCTGTTAGCTGCTCAAGGGCGCTGCTAAAACCCGGCGGCCCCAGGGCGAGTAGTCTGGCTCTCAAACCCAGCTGGGCTTCCCGGGGCTCCCTATTGTTCCTTGCACCCCGAGAGAGGGTGTCGCTCTGGTTTACCCAGCGGTTCCCAAAGGGGTGGTTTCAGTGGTCACGGCATCTGGGAGGAGCTACCAGAAGTCAAGGCCGGACCGGGAATGTAAACGTCACGCTCCAGCGGCGAGACACTGCTTGCCGTGCAGATCGCGGCAGCAAGCTCGAAGTCTCCCGGAGGACCAGCTGGCGGCCTTGGGCGGGCGAGAGGGCGACTCAGCCCCAGCCGTCCCCGGAGCCGCGACTAGCCCGCAGCCCCCGGCGTTCTCTAGAAGCGGAAGGCAGCCTCCACTCCAGCTCTTCAGCCCCCACCTACCTGAGGCACCTTCTAGCGTGAAAGCTCAACCAGAGTGAAAATAGGAAAGCCTTTTGGCTCAGGAGGTCCTGCTTTGCCTCCGACGCGCTGAAGCCTACTAGTGGAGCCCAATTCAAACTTCCCGCCTGGAGCCTCTGATTGGAGGGATTTCCTAGCACTTCCGGGAAAAGCGCCCGCCTCTTCCTTTGGGCGTGGCTTGCGATTGGCTCACTATACATCTCGTTTGAATTGATTGAAACGAGAAGGGGCGGTTCTGGAGCTGGTTGGGCGAAGGGAGGTGGGACCTCAAGGTGGGAGGAGCTGGGGTGGGGCAAAGGGGCGGGGCTCAGCCGCAAGTTTCGGTGGCCGGAAGGGGCTTTGCAGGGCCTGTCTCTATAACCCGAGGTTCGCCGGTCCCAGAGGAAGGACCAGAACCCCAGCGGGGAGCCGCCCAAGTTCAGTGTTTAGTGATGTCCTTATGTAATCGCAGAAATCCGCTTATTGGTTTGCTTTTTGGTTTTTGTTTTGGGTACTAGGAATCAAAATCAAGGGTTTCACGTTGAGCTGCAACCCAGCTCTTTATTTTTTATTTATTTTTCTTTTTGGTACCGAGCAGCGCTTTATTTTTTATCTTGATACAGAATCTTGCTAAATTGCCAAGGTGCTCAGGCAGGGCTGGAACTTGCGATCCTCTCGCTTCAGCCGCCCAGAGTGCTGGACCACAGGTATGTGCCACAACCCCGGCTTTTAAAAAAATTTTTTGAAAGCAAGTGCTTGCCCTCACAACCCCTTCTTACAGCGTCAGCTGTGACGTCGCATACTTCTTTTTGTAGTCTTTTTTTTTTGCTGCTATTGTTGGAGGCAGCTGAGTTAGACATATCGGTGAGACAGAGCTAGGTCTTCAAAAAGCCAGTGCATAGACCCAGATACCTGGCAACTGTAGGGGAGTCAGACACTTGCTGTGGGCCAGGCCTCAAGACAAAGGCCTCAAACAAATGCACCCATATCCTAAGGATTTATATTCTAAGTCGTTCCCTATCACCCTGAGGAAGCCAAGAGTCCCATTCCCAACCCCCTAGGGAAGAGTGACACTCTAAGAATGCCTGCTTTCTTGCTCTCCTGTCCCCAATTTCATCAATTTTACCTGAACCACCAATCTTATTGGCTAACTATAGTTATGTTCCACCTTATGCTCTTCTGCTTTGTGAGTTTCCAGACTTGGACCCATCTCACCCCCTGATTTTGCTCTATAAAAGTCCCTGGAAAAGACAAAGTCCTTGGCAACCTGCTCCAGACCCCTTCTGTCTCTCTCAGACAGAAGCTTTCTTTCTCTCAATAAACATATTCTACTCTTAACCTCAGTTGTTCCTAAAATTCATTCTTCGATTTTAGAGAACATGAGTTCGTGGCCATAGTAGGTTGGGAGTTTCATTCCCCTATATCAATATAAAATGTATTGATGATGAAGAGCACAGTTTTAGTTTAGTTTTCTTTTTAGCGTACAAATTGATGAGTTTTTGCTAAGAGTGTACATTAGCAGCCGGGCTTGATGGTGGCACAGTCTTGAATCCTTGGGAGGCTGAGGCAGGAGAATTGCAGTTCAAGGGCAACCTGGGTGACTTGTGTTCATCTTCACAGCACAGCCTTGCCTAGGTCCTCTCCTGACAGAACTGTAATCAATCAATAAGATTGCAAATATAGATGCTTAGGTAATATTGAGCCAATAGGAAGTCACAAGGTGGGTGGGAGGTGGGCCAAGGCCACAGGATGAAAGAGTAAGATTACAGCAAGTATTGTCACTAGAGTAATATTGATTAAATGGGGATCAGTGGGCATCCAGTCGCACAGCAAGCACACAGGGGCAGACCAGGGCCTTCCTGGGAGGGCTGGGTAAGGAGGTTTGTCGCCCACCCCACGGTGACTGATGCCTGCTTAGAACATCAGTCATTGCTGTTGTCTCTAGGGGAAGCATGTGGCTGAGGAGTTCTTTTTCCTGAAGCCTGACCCTCAGTGAATATGGCTCCAGCCACAGTTGGCTTCTGCGGTGATGTCTCGAGGGCCCAGCCTGTCTGACTGCCTTACAATATTTCTACCAAACTTAGCTATCTATAATATTTTCACCTGCTGATGCACATCTGCATTATTTCCAACTTGGAGCTATGAACGAGGCTGCTGTATAAACATAACCTCATGAGTGTCTTTGAGGTATTTCTCTAAATGGGGGATGTCAGAGCCATGCTAGGCAGGCCGACTTTATCAAACATCGTCTGACTTCCACAGAGTTGCTGCACCATTTTATCCTCCTGCCAATGACAGATAAGAGCTTGGGGTGTTCCCTTGTGCCTTATAACTTTTGGGATCATCAGTCTTTAATCTTCCTCGAAGAGCCAAAACAGTATCAGACTTTAATCTTGCAGTTTCACAATAACTGCTGATAATGAAGGGTTTTATTTTTTTTTTTTTTGGTCTTTTTCCTTTTTATTGGTACCAGGAATCGAACTCACAACTGCCTGCTTGCAAGGCAGGCGCTTATGCTGCTGAGCTAAATCTCCAGCCCCAATGAAGGGTTTTATAAAAAAATGTGGCTATTGACTTTTTATATCTTTTTCTTTTCTTTCTTTTTCTAAATTTTTTTGAGACAAGGTCTCACTCTGTATGTCAGGCCAGCCTTGAACTCATGGTAATCCTCCTATCTCAGTCTCCCAAATGCTAAGACTACAAACTTTTTATATCTTGTTTCCTAAAATGTTCAAGTCTTGGTTTTTAGTTTTTGTTTTATTTTATTTGGTTTCTTTGAGACAAGGTCTCACTATGCAGTTTAGGCTAGCCTTGGGCTCACTTTGTAGCCCAGGCTGGTCTCAAATTCACAAGGTTCCTCCTGCCTCAGCCTTCGTGCTGGAATTACAGGCATGCACCACCATAACTGTCTGGTTTTTAGTTTTTAAAATGGGGTCATGATTTTTTTAAATTTGGATTTTTATTTATTGAACTTGTAAGAATTCTACCCTGGGTACCAGTCCTTTGATAAGAGATTTATATTTTCAGATTTATACATGTGCATAACGTACTGTGATCATTCCCTCCTGTCCTGTGTTGGGGGTATTTCAATGCATATATTTTGATCATACCCATGTCCTTACCTATGTTTCTTACATTATTCTGTCCATGGAAGGTGAGATTACCATAGGCTGTATAGTTTGTGGGACATATTCCTGGGCCAAATATTTGAGCACTAAAACTTTAACAGCCTGGGGATGGTCATACAAAGAATGAAGATACGGTGTTATCTCCCTAGGATGAATGTAATCTTAGATACTGCAACTATGCTAATAAAATTTTTTTAAAAGAAAACTAGCTAGGTGTGGTGGCACACCCCTGTAATCTCCTAATGAAGCAATAGTCTCATGGTCAGCATCAAAAATGTAGGATTTGGGCTGGATCTGAGGAGGTATTGATGGCCCAGTCTCTGTGTTAAACATCAGAGACGAATATTGCTGTAATGTCGCATGGAATCTTTGCCAGCTACCACAGTGTACGTTATGGTGTTGCCGAAGGGCTGCTTTCCATTCTGTGAATCCCTCTAGGGAGGGGTAGCTTTACAATCTGCTGTTGATGCTACATCTTAATGACAACATACTCTTTTTTAAGGGGGTTGGGTTTTTTGAAACAGGATCTTGCTTTGTAGTTTAGACTGGTCTCAAACTCACAGTGATCCTCCCGCATCAGCTTCTTGAGTGCTTTTTTGGGTTACAGGTATGCACCACAGTACCCAGCTAATAATACCTTATTCTTGTATACTGGGATCTCTTTCTCAGTGGTTTACAGGAATTCTTTAATTTCTCTAGATTCACTTTATACATTTTAATTATTTTTATAAAGTAGACTCTAACCTGATTGTGTTGTATTAATATCCAAACCTCAAAGGACTTGGCACCTTTCCATTATCACAGCAACGAGAGACTCCATCAGAGAGGTCATCAGCCGTAAAGCTTTGCTTCTAGTTGGAGATCCTGCTCAGAAGGTCTTCTCTTTTTTCACTCTATGGTATCTTTGAGAGTCTCTCATAATTTCAGGTCAGTATCTTAGCACATGTGTCCTCTTCTGGGTTGAAGATCAATGGCTCACATAAATTCTCACAAACACAAATCTTTGAAAACCTAGAGAAAATGTGCAAAACACTTCCACACTGTGTGGCTTCTCATAGGTCTCACAGGTTTGTCCCTTCCCAGCTCCATGAAGGCTCTCCCCATGCCCCGCGGGAGCTCCCGCCCCTGGAGGCTGGACACTCACTTCCTGAAGCTCTCCCTCCACTCCAGGGCCTTCGATCTCCTGTGTCTTTAGATTTCTGTCAGGGCTCCGGGGTGGTTTCAAGCACTCGCAGGCTGAACATCCTTGGCCCTTGCATTTAGAGCGGGCTTTCTCTTTCCCTGCATGTCGCCTTGGGAACCCTCTGCGGGCCCAGTGTTACCATACTGCCCATCGCAGTGGTCATTGCTTTGGTCTGCACATGTCCCTGTCCTCTTTCTCCATGGCCCTCTGCCAGGTTTCTGATTGGAAACAATCCCCAGGGACCCATTCTGAGCTTGTGGCATTTTTTGTGGTTGCCTGGAGCTGCTTGGCTAATGCAGGACTGTCCCTCTGGGAGGCAGGGTAGGGCTGGTAAACCTGGAAAGACCCGCTGGCTGGGGGTGATGCTGGAGACTTTTCCTTGGGTGGCATCTCTTACCTTTCCACAGTTAACTGCTTTCTTATGCTGTGTCTCCCTCCCCTGGGTTACCGTTTCTGGTGGACCTGTCTCAGCGACAGCTGCTTCTACAGGACGGATTCACTTGGGTGTGGCAGCAAATCTGAGCCAGCATATTGCTTTGTCTCACCCAGCATCCTTTGCTTTACTTTACTTTAAAAAAAGCTCAGTACCTGCTTGTGATGCATAATCGCGCTTCTCTTGGGGACTTGGCACTTTTCACTTCCCTTCCCTCCACTCCCTTAGCTCTCCATCCTAGTGCCACAGGGAGGCGAGGCAGTGCAGTGCCCCTGCGCAGTGCCCCTGCGGATGGGGCAGAGGCTGAGCCAGGCTTGGAGTCTTTGCCCTTTGTGCACTAATGCACCCCAGTGGGCGTCTTGCTGAGAAGCAGTGAGAATAGTCCCACCCAGTCACCCCCTAAGTCGTGTGAGGACTTCCATTCCCACCGCCGGTTCACAAAAACCCTTCATTTCTCCAGATCCTCATGGACATTTGCGCGGCAGCCTCAGCCCCCTAAGCCTTTGGGATGGCATGGCTGGCATTTCCCTCTGGATCACTGGGCTGAATTCATGTTGCTGTATTTATCACTCAAGTATGCCTTGAAGTGCCTGCTTCTAGACTCTGAATGTTTGCTTATTGACTCACTCATGAGCGGTCCTAGGATGTTTTCTCCCAGTGTGTGGAATAAATGTGGCATTAGCCACCGGCCGACATTTAAGCTTTTGAAGGTATGGACTGATGTACGGAGGTTATGATTGGAATGTTGTACCTAGAGCCACCACAAATATATTTACAAAAAATATTACCAAGATTAAAGTGCAACACCAAAATAACTCCCATAACACAAATAAAGACAGCAATGAAAAGTGGAGAAGCTAGAATCAGATATGGATAGAAAGCAAACAATTACAGAATCAGACATGCGTGGTGGTGCACACCCATCATTCCAGGACTCGGGAGGCTGAGGCAAGAGGATTTCTGAGTTCAAGGCCAGTCTGGGATACATGGAAAGACCCTATCTCAAAAAAAAAAAAAAAAAATATATATATATATATATATATACCCAAAACTACGTACTCAAATCCAAAAGTATTACCTTACATGGAAATGGTCTAAGCACAACAGTCCAACACATGATCCTAATTTTAAAAAATGCTTATTGTTGCTTTGCAGCTGTTAAAGCAATACTTTACGTGGAAATAGATGATCTATGTCTACATAGAATACCAGAATTAGCTTTTTTTTTTTTTTTTTTTTTTTAACTTTTTGAGAAGGATTTCATTAGGCAGTTCAAACTGGCTTGGATTCACTCTGTAGCCCAGGCAGAACTCGAACTCCCAGCAATCCTCCTGCCTCAGCCTCTCGAGAGAATTAGCTTTAAAAACAAAACAAAACAAAACACATCGTGACCTCGGATCAATAGAGGCCGCTGGCCTGGATGGAATGACGTGTGATAATTGCTGGCCATTCCGAAGCCGGGCTTCGGCTCTCTTAAGCAAATGATGACAGCAACTGACAAACTGTCGTGGAACTGTCTGGACCGGACGCAGGCCTCGCCCTTCTCTGCAGCTCCAGCACGCCTCCTCCTTGACGTCCTCCTCTCCTCGTCCTGCTCCTCTTCCTCCTACTCCTCCTCCTCCGAGGGCGCCGAGCCCACTCCTAACCGCGGGCAGCCGCTGCCCGCTGAGCGGACCAGCAGCCTGCTCTGCCCCCTGGTGGCCGCATGACCGAGCTCCATGGAGGTGAGCTGCCCTTTCCCAGCGTGGCCGGTTTGCTAGTAAAGGAGGTGGGGTGCGGAGTTTCGCTCATAGGAAATTCAGGGAAATACTGAATTTGTGACAATGTGTCGTTTCTATACCAGGCATCGGAATAACTGAGTTCTTCAGCTGAATCGGCTGTAAAAAAAGTAATGAAATCCACAACTTTCTGAGAAAAGCTAGAGTAAATGACTATACCATACTACATTTTACCCCCAGGGCTGGGCGTGCTGAGACACATCTGTAACCCAGCTACTCAGAAGGCTGAAGCAGGAACATTGCAAGTTTGAGATCAGCCGGGGCAATTTAATGAGACCTTGTCTCAAAATAAAAAAGAGGGCGAGGCTGGAGGATCACAAGTTCTCTGGGTCTTGTGAATTGTTAAACCGCCCAGGTTGGGTTTGGATTTTCCTCCTCCTGGCTCAGCCTCCCAGAGAGCTGGGATTACAGGCATGCAGGATTACCCCTGGCTGAGCTTCCCATTATGGCGAGTGTTCACAGGGAGGCTGAAATGACTTCAGATCTTTCAAGGCTAAGCAGCCCCAACAAGTAAAAATTCACAGTCTGAATCTCAGCAAGAAAACAAAAACTCCTCTGGGAAAAATGTCTTTCACATGCGTCCAGGAACTTCCCAGCCTGCTCCTTGTTCCTTTCTAATTCCTGGCGGTGATGGGATTTCCTGAAAGGTCCCCTGGTGCTGACATTTTGGAATTTCCTGTGGTTTCCAGTTTTCACCTCCTTCCAGAGCAGTAGAAACTCGTGCGGGGCAGCTGGCCCCACAAACGATGTAGTTAATAACTGAAATTCCACGATGCATACTGATTGGCCTCGACAGCCTTCGGGGGTCAGACACAGGGCTGGAATTTGGGCTCTGCCTCTTCATCACTGAGACCCAGGGAGCTACTCGAACTCCCTCAGCTTCATTCTCCTTAAAAGTGGAGCACGGATACCCCTCCCACAGCGTGCTATAGAGATTAAATTTGCATGGGAGGCATTTTGCACAATGGCTGCTCAGTAAATATTCTAGGTCAGTCCTGTGTTGTGCAGCAGAAGATGTGTTTTTTTGAATTAGTGCCCAGGTGTTACACAGACTGCAGGATTTCATTTGCCACCTTGGTACATGCACAGCACATGTGTGTGCACGCACGGCATCTTCCTGCACTCATGGAACAAACTAGCAAAGTGAATTCACCATGAACCCCAGTGGATCATGCAATGGCACAATGGCATTAAACGTATTTATGTAGTTTTGCGTGTAATATCTATAGTATATATTTAAATATGCATTTCAAATCATAAAATCCACCCCTTTAAAGTGTACAGCCTTAGCATATCTACGGAGCTGTATAATCATTGCTATCTAATTTCAGAACATTTTCATGGGCCCCAAAATAAATCCTAAACCTGTTATCAGTCAGTACCCAGCTGGGGATTTAGCTCAGCGCTACCCAATTCCCTTTGGCCCAGCTCCGGGAACTACTATCCACTATGAATGTATTTTTAAAACATATTCTTGCCAGGCATAGTGGAGCCGGCCTGTAATCCCAGCACTCAGGAGGCTGAGGCAGGAGGATTGCTGTGAGTTTGAGGCCAGCCTTAGCTACGTGGTAAGACTCTTACTCAAAACAATACAAAACACAAACAAACGAAAAAACCAAAACAAAACAAAAAACAAAACAAAACAATAACATTCGAAATAAAATCTATCTTCAAAGGACACTGGTTTCATTAGGATTGCAAACCACTCTGGTAGGTACATTTCCTCTGGCCAGTTCTCAAGTTTTATCTTACTCAAAATGAATCTATTTAATGTTTTCAAGGCAGTCCTGATTTTCTTGAATACTTTGCATATTCTCTGATGGACATAATTTTCTGAGTTTTGTCTTAAATACACATACTGGGCTAGGAATATAACTCAGCAGCCTAGCAAGCATGAGGTCCTGAGTTTGATACCTGGTACCAAAAGTCCCACAACAAAACAAAACAAAAACCAAAAATGCACCTACAGAGAGGACAGAGAACAAACAGGTTTTTTTTTTTCTCTTTACTTTCAAAGATTTGCCCACTGGTACTAGCAAAAGTATGCTTTTGTTGTTGTTGTTATTTGTTGAATAAAATGTAAGTGAGTTATTAATATGTAAATTAAAACTTTTCAGAGTATAACAGAACTATGAAAAATAAGACTAGAAATAGGAATATTCAAATGTTTGTAGAGAACTCTGAATTCTGGAATTCTTGAAAAGAAACCCCACAAAACAAGCCAGGCCTGATGGAGCATGTCAGTAATTCCAACACTAGGGAGGCCAAGGCAGGAGGAATATGGTGAGTGTGAGGCCAGTCGAACTATGTAGTGAGGCTCTGTCCTAAAAAACAAAACAATAGAGAAAGGTGTGAAGGCACACACCTGTAATGCCAGCACTTGGGAGGCTGGGGCAAGGAGGATCATTGCGAGTTTGAGACCAGCCTGGGCTACAAAGTGAATGCAAGGCCAGCCTGAACTGCATAGCGAGACCCCTTCTCAAAACAAACAAACAAACAAAAAAATAGACCTTCCACAAAACAGCTGCTGTGAAGAATAGCAGATTTGGGTGACAGAAACAAGGCTAGCAGTCACCAGTACTTTTTTTTTTTTTTTAATCGGTACCAGAGATCAAACTCACGACTGCCTGCAAGGCAGGCGCTTATGCCACTGAGCTAAATCCCCAGCCCCTAGCAGTCACCAGTATTAACTACACTTTGCAGTTGGTAAGGTGGCAGAGCATGAAGTGAGATTTTTTGTTTGTTCGTTTTTGTTTTTTGAGGCAGGGTCTCCCTGTGTAGCCCAGGCTGACCTTGAACTCAGGGGTGATTCTCCTGCCTCAGCTTCCTAGGTGCTGAGATTACAGATGTGAGCCACCACACCTGGTTTGGGAGAATTTGAATTTAAACCCATGAATCTGAGACCAGTCTGGGCAACACAGCAAGATCATCTTTCAAAATGAAGAAAGAGAAAGGGGACAGAGGAAGGGAAGAAGCGAGGGCTGCAGAGCTGCCATCTCTAAGTTTATCCTGCTTGGAGTTTGGTGAGCTTCTTGGACATAGAAACTCATGTCTTTCATCATGTGCTGTCATTATTCCCTGCAAACCGTCTTGTAACACCTTTTTCTCTCCTGCCTTTCTGGGACTCTGATTACGTGTGAGTCAATATGCTGAAAACTCTCTTTCCAGTCTCTCAGACTCTGTTTACTTGTGTACATTCTTTATCTTTTTATTCCTCAGTTAAAAATTACTATTATTATTATTTGAGGCAGCGCCTCACTATGTAGTTCAGGCAGGCCTGAAATTCAACGGTGATCCTCCTGCCTCAGTCTCCTAAGTGCTAGGACTACAGGCCTGCACCACAATGCCTGGCTGTAAAACTTTTTCTAGTTATTGCATTTTCACCTGCATATTTTTTATTTCATTCCTCTTCCTAATTTTGTTCATTCATTTGCTCTTTCTTTCTTTGCTAGCATTCTCTATTTGGGAAGACATTGTTCTCCTGGCCACCTTGTGCTCTCTGAGCATATTTAAGATGGTTAAAGCTTTGTCCAGTAGATCCAGTGCTGGGCTTCCTGAGCAATAATTTCTATCAATTTTCCCCTTGAGGATGAGGCCATTGTTTCTTTGCAAAGTGCTTTGTTGAAAACTAGAGGCCTTGAATACTATAATGCAGCAGTCCTGGAATAACGTTCCCCTTCTTCCCACATTTGCCACTGCTGTTTGCTCTGGCTTGTTTGCTTCTTGGTGACTTTGCTGAACTATCACAAAGTCTGTCACTTTTGTGTGTAGCTACTAAAGCCCTGTGATCTGCCGGTGTTCTGACGGTTGATTCAAGTGCCTGGATCCAAGAACAGGGAAAACAGAACTTCCCGGACTGGAGACAGCCTCTGTGCTGACCGTACGTCAACACTCAGCTGGCTACTTGCAGCTTTGCCTTGGCCTTCCTCACGGAGCCTGATGTAAGAGTGGATGTCCTCTCGGGGCTTTCACGTGTATGTCTAGCCCAGGGCCTGCACATGGCCTTCTTGATTACCTGGTATACGTAGGAGTCCCCCCCACCTTCTCCTGTGCCTGTCCCTTTCTATCCTTTTTCTTTCTGGGGGTTTCGCTCTGTTTATTACTTCTGTTATTCACTTCCTAAAGATGCTGGCCTGTATTCTTTTTTTTTTTTTTTTTTTTTAACTCTGGAAGAGGGTTTTGATGGCCTGTATTCTTAACTTTAAGTGCTTTCATCAGAAGTAGGCTGTGTTCTGGGCATGGCTGCACAACTCAGAACCTTGGCTACTTAGGAGGCTGAGGCAGGAGGATTGCAAGCTTGAGCCCTACCTGGGAAAATTAGAGGCACCCTGTCTCAACAGTTTAAAAAAGGAGGGTGTGGGGGCTGGGGGTATAGCTCACTGTGGAGGCCCTAGGTTCAATCCCTAGTCCAACAAAAACAATAAAAGGCTGCATACATTTGTTCTTTCAAGGTGCCTCAAAATTTCATAAAGTAGCATCTGAAATCAAGTCCCTACAGCAGTGGCGCACACTAACCACACTAACCCAGTAAAACCTCAGAAGTTTGACTGACAGCGCAAGCCACAGCAGCTTGACTGACCCAGAGGGGAGGCAGCACAAAAAAATACAGTGCAGGCCACAGCAGCTTGACTGATCTGGAGGGGAGGAGCCAGCATACACTGTCCCTGTCTGCAACTCACCAGCACACGGCATTGTGAAGGGTCATCTAGCCAGTGTGCTTCAGAAGAATTGTAACCAACAAAGAAAGAAACTGGGGCCTCCTGGAAGAAGCAAAAAAGATGGGAAGAGGAAGCAACAACAAAATCCCCAGGTCCCAACCCTGAGAACGTTGACCCAGGATAGGTAAATACAAAGGAGAATGAGAACAGCAAACATACAATATCAGACACAGTGCCAGTAGACATAAAGAGATATATTTGGGACCTCATAGACGAGTTCAAAAGTGAAATATTTAGCCAAATAAAGCAAGATATAAGAAGATTAATAAAAGAGATACTAAGCAGCCCTCAAGCAGACAAAGATGGAAGAAGGGAGGAACTCAAACAAAGGAGAGAACCATTTGGTGAAGAATATTAAAAAAATATAGAAATCATGAAGCAGATTCAAAGAGATCACCAGGAAATTAAAAACTCTATGGAAAGGTGGCAAATCAGCTTGAAAGAAACTAAGGATAGGTTATCCAAACTGGAGGACAATTTTGCAATGTGGGATTATGAAAGGGAAAACTTTTTAAAAATAACAAGGAAACAAGCAGTAACAATACAAAGGCTAGAAGACAACAAAAGGATCTATAACTTGAGGGTAAAGAATGTGAGTGAAGAAGCTGTGGTACAAACAAAGGAACTACAAAGGTTATTCACAGAAATAATTAAGGAAAACTTCCCAAACATAGGAAAAGGAAATGATATTCTGATATATGAGGCATATAGAACTCCAGCCACCTACAACCAAAACAGAGCTACACCCAGCCATATAATAATCAAGATCCCAGAAATTCAATATAAGAACAGAATATTAAAAGCTGTTAGAGACAAGAAACAGATAACTTATAGAGGAAGGCCCATCAGAATAATGGCAGACTTCTCAACACAAACCATCAAGTCAAGAAGAGCCTGGAGCAAAATATTCCAAGCCCTGAAAGAAAATAGCCTCCATCCCAGATTGATATACCCTGCTAAACTGTCTCTAGAAATTAATGGAGAAACAAGATGCTTCCAAGACAAAGAGGAACTTGGGAAATTTGCAACCACCAATCCAACTCTACAGAGAATACTATGGGGCATTCTAGAGAGAGAGAAAAGTACTAGGATTCCAGGAACAGTGGCAGAGAGGCCTCAATGAATGGAGCAGAAAACAGAATGAAGAAGATAAGCAGACAACTGATGGGAAAAAAAGAGCATAACAGAAATGAGGCAAAGAAGATTTTATTCAAAACTGTTATGATTGATAGTATCAAGTCTGGAGAGTACAGGCAGCTACACTGAAGATGACAAGACTCTATGATACACACTCTGGTTTGATAACTACCAGTTTTTGAAGTTCTATAGTATATGCAAAGTTGTGTTTTTATTAATACCGTTATGTGCTGATATATTCAATTATACTATGTCTGATGATATAGCCATTTCTACTGGAGATAACAAGAGACAACACAGGGACCATGGTGGAACTCTTTGTACAATGGTCTTATATGTTTATTTCATTTCATGTGTTTATAGGAATATGTTTTCTTTTGCCTTGCTTTGCTTTGTTTCTCCCTCTAATATAGAAAGGATAGAAATACATGTTAAGACTCATACATGTGTAGAATCTATAAACAGTTTATGAGAACTGATCTTATGACACATGATGAAATGAACAGATACTTTGAAGAAAAAGAGACACTAAAATACCCAGCGCTGATCCTGGAGTGTCATAATGTGAAACCCAGCAATAGTATTATTCTTTGTTCAGTGTGATATTAACCTGTGTGGGTTTATTCAATCTCAGCATAATTGAAGATATGGACAACTGCATGTATATTTAAGTGTATAGGATTGATAACCATATTTCTAAGTTTTTGTTGGATAGTTGAACAGAACTAGTTGCAATCTCACTGTTTGAATCCCCACTTTATATGCTCCACTTTAGTATCTTGAATGACTATTTGTAAGAGGATAATCTGTAATCATCAACTAGTGATTTCTTACTGTTTATTTATTTCTTTGAAATTATGTATTATTTCTACCTGTTTTGTGTTTTGTTTAGTTTTTCTTTAAATTAATTTTTTTAAAAAAAGACATTATAGTACCCAGTGCTGATCACAGAGTGTCATGATGTGAAATCCAGCAATACTATTATTGTTTGTTCAGAATGATTTTAACCTACTTAATTTGTTTAATCTAAACATAAATGAAGATATGGATAACTGCATCTATATTTAAGTGTATAAGATTGACAACCATGTTACTAAGTTTTTGTTGGACAGTTGAACAGAACTGTTTGCAGTCTTGCTGTTTGAATTCCCACTTTACATGTTCCATTTTTGTACCTTCAACAACTATTTATAAAACGACAATATGTAAGCATCAATTAGTGATTTCTTACTGTTTATTTTTTTCTCTGAACGTATATATTATTTCTACCTATTTTCTGTTTTGTTTAGTCTTTCTTTAGATAAAATTTAAAACATTTTCATAAAGTATATATAAAAGTAATAAATAAATAACTATGCTAGAACACAGACTAGTAAAGAGTAGACTAAATACAATGTAGAAAGCAAAACAGAAAGAAATATAAGAATAGGATTTTGTTTAGATAAAGACCAAATCAGGCAGAGGGAAACAGTGTCATCACGTAGGCCTACACATGTGGCCAATATCCAGAGCAGAAGCGAGGTCTAAGCGCCCACTTGGTGTGTGTGAGGCCTTGGATCCACATGCCACAAAAACAAACGGAGAAAACAAAACACTCCGAACCATGTTAGGAAACGATTAAAGCAAAATTTAGGCTCTGGTGCCCTGGGAATGGGGAGGGCCTGAAGGCCTTGGCAGTGTGCAGAGTCCTTGCTTCTGGGACAGACAGACGATGCAGTTCTGTCTCTTGTCAGAGAGTTTGTTGGTGACTCAGAGCCCCTGGCTTCTTCCAGGCTGCCTTCTGCATTTGGGTCACATTGAAGAATGGGAATTTAAGGAATAAGAACTTTTGTTCAACAGAGTATATATTAATAAAGTGAAAAGACAGCTCAATGAAAGATACTTGTCATATATGCATGTGATGAATTCATATCCAGGATATCCCCAGGATTCTAGAAATATACAAGGCAACAAGCGGCTGGGTGAGGTGGTGCTTTCCTGTGACCTCAGCGCTCCAAAGGCCGGGGATCCACAATGTCCTTGGGGAAATGGCCGCAGGAGGGTGAGAAAACAAAGAAGAGACAAAGCTGGGGTCAGGTGGAGGGGTCAGGGGAGAGGTAGCCCTCTCTCCTCAAGGGAGAAAAGGAACTGCCCCCTCACTGCAGGGGCGTTTATTCATATATTTAACAACTTAATGTCACATGACACCCTGTTGTCCTAGCAACCCAAAGTTCCCAGTGTTCTCTGGGCTGAAGTAGCTTCTTTACCTTGCTTGCCCCAGGTGCTCTTAGTTCTTGGGATGGTCATGCCCCAGTCTTGCAAGTGTGGTCAGTTTCCAGCTTCAACGGCTTCCAATATCTGGAGGCTGAAGCAGGAGGATTACTGTGAGTTCAAGGCCAGCCTGAACTACACAGTGAAACTGTCTAAAAGACTATAACACTAAATAGATGCTTTGAACAGGTGCTTCACAAAAGGGGGAATGCAAATGGGCAGTAGACATGGGGAATGGCTCTAACACACACAGTTATAGGCAATGGGGATCACAGTCACAGGATACACTGCACACTCACTGCTAAAATGAATATACCTGCCAGTGTTGGAAGGAGACAGGCCAGCAGAGGTAGCGGTACTAATTGTCATCACTACTAAAGAAGTTGGGCATACCTACCAAGTTGAATATATGCCAATCCTAAGACTTACTCCCAGGAATATGCCCAAGAGAAATGTACACATATTATTCCTCAAAGAACACGAACAATGCGTCATTAGCAGCACTATTTATACGAGCCCTAAACTGCTAACCCTGAAGTCTGTTAACAATAAAATGGGAAGGTAAATTATAGTATAGTCACACAATGGAGGCTATACAACAATAAGAATGATTGGGTTGCCAGGCATGGTGGTGCACGCCTGTAATCCTAACATTCAGGAGGCTGAGGAGGGAGGATCATTGTGAGTTCAAGACCAACCTGGACTACATAAACAGACTCTGTCTCAAAAAAAAAAAAAAAAAAAAAAAAAAAAAAAGCACACCTGTAGTTCCAGAACTTGGGAGGCTGAGGCAGGAGGGTTGTTGTAAGTTTGAGACCAGCCTGGGCTACAAAGTGAGTTCAAAGCCAGCCTGAACTCCATAGAGAGATCCTGTCTCAAAAAGACAAAAATAAAAGAGAGAGAGAAAGGAAAAGCATGATTGAACTATATGCATTTATACAGTAGGAATAAACCTCACAAATGTAATGAACTGAAGGCCTCAGAAGTGGAAGGTGCCATTCTATGGTCATGTTTATATAAAATACACAGTCAGGCAGAGTCAGTAGCTAGAAATCCAAGGGGGGTCTGCCTTGCAGAGGGAGTAAACTGGAATCAGGCATGCGGGAGCCTCTGGGATCTAGTAATGATCTATTTCTTCCTTCGTATAGTGGTTACACAGATGTGTTTCATTTCGTAAACAGTCAGTGAGCCACACACTTCGGGTTTTGTATTTTCCGTATCTGTGTCTCTGTACTGTGTTTTTCAAACAAGAATGTGGGTGGGGCCCAGATCACTGAGGACAGCAGTGGGGAAGCGGGTTTCCAAGTCATCGGGTCATCGTGTGTGACTCCTAGAGAATGAAAGCCAAAGTGTGGACTAGTATGGGAGTGGGGAGTAAAACATCCACCTGATCAACGGGGAGGTGCTGGAGAGAAGGATGGGGAAAATACACTTCTGGGGTTGATGATTCTTTCCCTCTGCCTTGGTTCCCTATTGAAGTTTAAAGGATGTCATGAACTGTGATGCTAGGAAACACAGAGGTTTTGATCATTTGGGAAGGAGAGAGGACAGAGCTTGGATGATAGTTGCACCGATTGTTAGGGACAGGCCCACCATGCGGGCGGCAGCACAGGAACTCATCGAAGTTGTTCTCTCCCAAAGGTTTCCATAGCCTCGGCCAGCATCAACCGAGGCAGCCAGGAAGTGAGCGACTCTCGGCTGCCCTCTAAAATGGCGATGCAAGACATCACCACTGAGCTGCACTGCCCGCTCTGCAAGAACTGGTTCAGTGACCCACTGATGCTGAGCTGCGGCCACAACTTCTGCCAGGCCTGCATCCAAAACTTCTGGAAGCTGGAAGCCAAGGAAACGTTCTGTCCTGAGTGCAAGATGCTGTGTCAGTACAGCAACTGCACGTTCAACCTGGTGCTGGAGAAGCTGGTGGAGAAGGTGAAGAAGCTGCCCCTGCTCAAGGACCAGCCCCAGTGCTCGGAGCATGGGGAGAACCTGAAGCTGTTCAGTAAGCCAGACGGGAAGCTGGTCTGCTTCCAGTGCAAGGACGCGCGGCTGTCCATGGGGCCATCCAAGGAGTTCTTGCAAATCCCGGATGCTGTGCGATTCTTCACGGTATGTGGGCCTTGCGCCGGGCCCTTGCGCGGCGCCCTAAGGAGCCAGGGGGGTTTTCTATGGGGCTTCCTGTCTCTCCCACCTCACTGCTTTAACCAAATAATAATGAGAAATCTTAGAGTGCCCTGAAGATACAAAATGGTTTGCAAAGTTTCTTCTCTAGAATGGTCCTTGGCTCCAGCCGACCCCTTCACTCTCACATGGTGCACAAGAGGGATGTAAGAAGACACTGCTCTTGGTCTAAGTCTCAGTGTTTGGTCCAGTTTAGAAATAATAGGACAGCAGAAAATAAAAGATAATGTAGGACTGATGGATCACATTTGTGATTCATGACAGTTTAGGATCGCTGAGAGGATTAGAGAAAGCTAAACTAGAGGTGGACAGTGAAGGAATGCAAGGATTTGAGCTAGGAGATCATTCCCATTCAGATAGGCAGAGGCAAGGTGCAAGTGTACCAAGTGAGAACAGCAGAAATGAAAGAACAGACGGTAAGGACGAGACAGAGTGACGAAGTAGATAGAGCTCCATGGACTCCTCACGCTGGTGCAGTCAGCTCAGGAGAGGACACAGCTCAGCCTTTCTGCTGCTTATGACTTTTAGGCTTTTGTGGTGCGGGGAATCAAACCCAGAGCCCACCTATGCAGGCACTGAGAGACAGCCTATCTTAGTTACAATTCTTCAGGGAGCCAGGACCAGGGTACAGGATAAGAGAAAGGTTTTTGCAGTAAAAGCCTCCTTTTCCTGGCACCCTGGGCTTCGGAGATACCCTTGGCTCCCACACTGGCATGGGTTAATGCTGTCTGGTATTCCCAGGAGGAGCTCGCCACTTACCAGGATCAATTGGAGGCAACCCTAAAGGAACTTCAGTCTCTCAGGAACAAGCAGAAGGATGCCATTGCTTCTTGCAAGGTGAGGAGCAGAGCAGATGGGCCATGAGCTAGAACTGGATTATACCTCCCTTAGAACTTCAAGAGTTCAAAGGTGCCTTCCATATATTATCCATGTGCCAAGTGGCACCTGAGCTATAGAATTAGAAAACTGACAGAACAGACTAAAAGGAAATATGTTCAAGGAATGGATTCTGTGTTAGTTAGCTTTTCACTACTATGACAAACTACCTGAGATAAATGATTTAAAATGTGAAAGTTCCAGTCTGTGGCTGTTCAACTCCCTTTAGACCTGTGGTAAGACAGAAACATCACAGAAGGGTATGACAGAGGAAAGCGGCTTAGCTCGTGGCAATCAGAAAGCAGAGAGAGAAAAAGGAAAAGGGGCAGATAGGAAAGGACTGGGGACAACATGTAGTCCCCAGGGTCATTCCCCATCACCCACTTCCTTCAGCGAGGCCCGACTCTTAATAGCCTGTTCAATTATGAACTTGTCAATGAATTAATCCATTGATGAAGTTAATGTTCTCATGATTCAGTCACTTCCTGAAAGCCATCAGCTGGCCTTTGGGGAGTTTTTAGGTCCAAATTGTAACACTCTATGACTGTCCTCACAGGCTCCTATCTATCTCTTTGTGAAAAATGCATTTAGTCCAGCTCTAAGATTTGCCAAAGTGTTCAGAGTTTCAGAGTTACAGTCCAAGTCCAGGGTCTCCTGTGAGACTCAAGATGACTCTGGACTGAATGATACACTCCCAAAATAACGAGTCTCCCTTTCCAAAAGGAAGGGATCAGGTAACAGAGGGAAGTAGCCTGAAGCAAGACCGACCCACAGCAGACAAATACTAACTTCTGTGTCTTCATGTTTAGCATCCAAGGCACGCATTGGTACAGTGTGAACCCCGTGGATCCTGACTCACCCGGTCCCTATGGCCCTGATCGCAGCGGCCCATATAGCTGCTGTGCTGGGTGGGCTGTACTCAGTGCCTATGCTTTGCTTGGCAGATGCTCTGTGCTCCTGGGATCTCTAATTTCCTGGGGCTCTACTGCATCCTCACTTTCTCTCTCAAGGCTCCATATATCACCTGCTCAGGGGTTGACTGCAGGAATTCTCATCCTGTGCGTATGGTCCTGCTTCAGCAGGGAGTGTAGGGGCTCTCTTCTTGAATAAAAGGTTTAGACATTTACATCCTTGAGCCTGCCATGGACATGGTCTGGCTGATTCCTGAGATGTCCTAAGATATCTTTCTTTTAGTCCCATCTAGTCTTCTAGTCCCATCTTTCTTCTAGTGCAAAGCACTTGGTGTTTTTTGTATTGTTTTTCTTTTCTTTCTTTGGTGCTGGGGATCAAACTCAGGACCTTGTGCTTGCTAGGCAGGCGCTTGCACCACTGAGCTGTATCCTTGGCCTGTTTTGTTCTGGATCTCACTGTGTAGCCCAGGCCGGCCTTGAACTCACTATGTAACGCAGGCTGGCCCTGCACTTGCCATAGCCCTCCTGCCTCAGCTTCCCAGGTGCTAGGATTGCAGAAATGCACCACAATGCCCAGCTACTTGGGTTCTTTTTCTTTTTTTGGTACTGGGGATCAAACTATGACCTTGTGCTTGCCAGGTAGGCACTTGTGCCACTGAGTTAAATCCCTGGCTGGGTTCTTAATAATGGTGCTAATTTCTTCTGCAATGATACCTTCTTTGGCCTTAGCTTACATGTGTTTCTTTTTGGGCCAAATAGCAAAATTTTTAAAAATTTTTGTTCTGCTCTTTGCTCCTGAATCCCATTCTGTAAATCTGGCTGAAAGCTGCCAGCAATACCTATGGCACAACCTACCCCTTATACTGCCTTAAAATTCCCTTCCCCAAATGAACTAGTCCATTAACTTTAAATTGAGCCTCGTACAAACTTTTAGGGTATGGACAAGATACAGGCAAGTTCTGTGACAGAGTGTAACACAGATGATACAATCCCAGTACAGCGCGCGTGTTCGCATCTGAAGTCTCAGGAGCATATTCTTTCCTATTGCATTCTCATCAGCATTCTGGACATTTAAGCCCACACCAGAATTTCCATCAAGTTTTGTTTATGGCATCCTAGGGTTTCTCTATCTGTGTTTTTCAAACTCCTCTTGTGTACCAAAACTACATGGACAGATACAGACCCCACTCATCAGTCGCAATTTTCTGTGTAGGGTCAGCTCGGGTTTTTTTTTTTTTTTTTTTTTTTAAGGAGGGCCTTTATTATGTAATTCAGGTTGTGCTTGAACTTGCTATGTAGCCCAGGCTCTTAGTGATCCTCCTGCTTCAGCCTCACACGTGCTGCGATTACCAGTGTGCACTACCATGCCTGGCTAGGTCAGCTTTCTGATGCTGTGACAAAGGAAGAAAGGTTTCTTTAGGCTCCTGGCTTCAGCTCATGTTGTCTGGCTCCACTGCCTTAGGTTTGTGGTGAGACAGAAGCATCACAGCAGAGGGGCGTGGCAGAGGACAGGCACTCACCTCATGGCAGCCAGGAAGCAGAGAAAGAGGGCAAGAGTGAAGGAGCCAGAAAAGGAAGGACCAGAGAGGAGACACAGTCTCATGCCCAGGACCCATGCCCTTCACCAAGGCCATTCCTCCCCACCCATTCAGCTCAGCGATGGCCGCACCAATAGGTGAAGCCTTTGCCCTCGTGATCCATCGCTTCCTGAAGTGCATAGCTGGCCTGTCGGGGGCATTTTGGATTTAACCCAGAACAGGCTGCCAGCAGTTGATGACAAAGCGGATTAATTTCCCCCTTAATATCCGGCTCCTTTTGCTAGTGGGGTCACTGTGGGACTGAGGGATGACTGTGGGACTGAGATCTGTCCAGTCTTTTTATGGAGAAACAAGGCATTTACCAGAAAGTGCCACTAAAAATTGCCACATCCAAAGAAATTATTTTGCTTCCTGGGGTTTATAACTAGGAATCCTTGACCTAGACCTCTCACATTGCATGCCTTTCCAATCTGATTTTCTCTTTCTTAGCAGTTTCTAAACTAAATAAAGCTACTGTTTATACTTCCAGTCCCACCAGAGCTTTAGAACAGTGCTAAGGGTTAAGAGTTGGCAGATCAGTCCCTAAGTTGAGGAGCTACACTGGAGCCCCATTTCTGCATTAGTTATCTATGTAGAAGAGCCTTCGCTGGCATTTGGCATCAGGAAGAGGAAATACATAAGCTCAGGGAAAGATGGAAAGAAATATGGCTCTGCAGAATTTTCTTCCTGTTGTAAGAGTTCCTAGTTCAATTGTTAGAGTCCACACTGATTCATTCAACAAATATTTATTAAGTGGGTCAGTTATTATGCCACATTCAAGGAGTAGGAGATGTCAATTAGATCATGTCATCAACAACAATAAAACCATGGTGATTAGTACTACAAATGAAACAGGGCAGGCCAAGAACATACAAATGGAGGACCTAGACAGTGTGCTCCCAAGAAGTCACTTATTAAAAACAGAGAATCAAAGGATTAGTAACAACCAAGTGAGGAACGGGAGGGGACTACAAAAAACAAGCCCAGAGAAGAACGTTCTAGGCGGAGGAAGGTGCGCACAGGAAAACCCAAGACAGGAAGTTAGCCGCTTGCAAAATCAAGAGGAGAACGATGGAGTTGGTCTGTTCTAAGCAGGATAATGCTGGAGAAGCAGACACAGGCTCAGCCGTGTAGAAATGTTAAGCATTTTAACTTCACTCTCTCAATAGAGAAAAATCATTAAGGGCATTAAACAGGACACACTGTCTGATTTCATTTGCAAATCTCTCTGGTGGCTGCGTGGAGACAGGCCTGGACAGAGGCAGGTGATGACAAAGCTCACAGTTAGAGGACTCCTGCAGGGGTCCCAGAGAACAATGGCGGGGGCTTGCACTAAACCGCAGTGGTGGTGCAGAGACTTGGAAATAATGACCAACTGGGTGCGGAAACTGATCAGACCGGAGAGGCAGTGTCAGACAGGGAGCTGCTGGAGGATCTGGGGCTCAGAAGTTGGTTGAGGCCGGAGATACGGTGTCATCATTAAATGACACTTAGAGCTGTGACAGGAGAGGATCTCGCCTAGCAAGAAAGTATAGAATGAGGAGGGGAAAACGCCTGGGACAGAATATCAGGTAGTTCTAACATTTAGAGACTGTTAGGGAAGGCAAACCACTAAATGAAACGGAGGAACAGTGGGAGAAAAGTACAAGGGAAACTGGAGAAGTGTGACTCCAGAAGAAGAGGTGTCAAGACTGGAACTACAAAGCTGGGCATGATGGCACATGCTTGTAATCCCTGCACTCTGGAAGCTGAGGCAGGAGGATCGTTGTGAGTTCCAGGCCAGCCTGGGCTGCAAAGTAAACTCAAGGCCAGCCTGAACTGCATAGTGAGAGACCCTGTCACAAAACACCAAAACAAATCAAAACAAAACAAAGACTAGGGCTGCCATTAATAATGATGGAATTTGGAATCCAAGATGAACAAGAGGAGACGTGAAAATAGAAGCCTATGAGTAGAATCAGAGGGTCGATGAATCCAGAGTTTGAATTTGATCTAATAATTGTCTCGGTGGGAATACCTGAGTGAGCTCCGAGCATAAAATGTTATTTTGAAGGTGGTACAGACACCAGGCTGGTAAAACTCCTAGGCATGGTTATAGGAATGAGGAGTGGACACAGCAAATCTTTAGCAAGGTGGAGTGGGAGGACCCAGGATCGAGGAGGGTTCCACTGAGGACACAGAGGCAGCCCAGGAATTTCAAGTACTCCAGGCAACAGTTTCGGGGCTTCCCACGAGGCGCATCTCCTGTCCCTTTTATATGCTCCTGGCGGTGGCAGGAGCATCCGTAGTTCTGATTTCTTCACACAGACAGCGCAGGGGAGCAGGATAGGCGCAGTCTCACAGTACCGCTTGGCAGGTATTGGTGCGACCATCTAGGAAGGTATTATTATTCAACTCCACGATGTTATTTATTTATTTACTTATTTGTTTGTTTGTTTTTTATCTTTTTGAGACAGGGTCTCACTATGCAGTTCAGGCTGGCCTTGAGCTCACTTTGTAGCTCAGGCTAGTCTTGAATTCACAATGATTCTCCTGAACTGCATAGTTAGAGACCCTGTCTCAAAAAGAAACAAAACAATTTTAAAGGGATTAAAGGTGTGAGCCACCATGCCTGGCTTCCACGATGTTATTTAGCAGGGCATTGGTTATCAGTACTGCCACAAGAACCCAGAAGTCACTTTTGCCTAATTCATCCTAAACTATTTTTATAGGAGGCAGGGTCTTTTCTGAGACAGGGTCTCACTATGTGGTTCAGACTGGCTCAGCGCACCTTGTAGCCCAGGATGGTCTCGAACTTGCAATGATCCTCTGCCTCAGCCTCCTGAGTGCTGGGATAACAGGCGTATGCCACACACCCAGCTCTCATCCTAAACTATGAGGCCAGTTGGGAGAGTAGGAGTAGGCTTCCCAAAAGGCTCTGCTTTGCAGGGCTGCATGTTGACGCTTGGCAGCTACTCACAAGCATTTTCCCCGCACCGGTGTTCCCCAAGTGGTGTCCATGTGTGTGGTGTGGGTCCCCAGTGCTGCCTGCTGGTCTCAGTCATACCTGTGGTGATCCTGGAGTTTGCAGGAAGACAAGGTCCATCTGCAGGAGCACGTGTCCTTGGAGTTTCTCAAGCTGCATCAGTTCCTGCACAATAAAGAAAAGGACATCGTCAATGCCCTCCGCGAGGAGGGCAGAGCCCTGAGCGAGGAGATGGAGCACAGCCTGAGCCAGCTGCAGGAGCAGGGTGCCCATGCCAAGGCCCTGCTGGCCAGCATCAAGAGCCGCATGGAGCAGCAGAACGCCTTCGAGTTCCTCAAGGTGAGGGAGAGGGTGCGCCCAGGTGTGGGTCCACTCAGATGGGCCGGGCCGGGAGGCCTTAGGAGGTACTGCTTTTCACCACCAGGGCCAAACGGAACACGGAACAGCTATAGGGCTTTAAAAATATTCTCTAGGAAAAAAGCAGCAGGCTGCTTGGCTTTAACGCAGAAAGTGTTCCTTGCTTCCTCCTAGAAAGCGAGAATCAGATCCCATTGATAACACCGCAGAGTGCAGAACCACTGTTGGCCTTTTCCATAACAAACCCTGAAGATTAGTCAAAGATAAGAATGTGGTGGTCGGTGTTGAGACTGTGGCTCTCAGCAATCACACACAGGCCTTTTGGAAAAGACAGGAGTCCAACTTGGGCCCCTTACAGTGGTCCTGTCCCCTCAGTGACCTAGTCAACCAGAGGAGACTGAGGGTGGCATGGCCACTGTGTTTTGCCTCTGAGACTCTTTGGAAGCACCTGTAATCCGAGCTACTGGGAGGCCAAGACAGAAGGATCACAAGTGTGAGGCCACTCTGTACAAAATCCCGTCTCTAAATAGTCAGAAGGGCTAGACAGGTGGCTCAATGGCAGAGAATTTGCCTGGCATGTGCAGGAGACCCTGGTTCAGACTCAGAACAACAGCATTTAACTCTAGTTATGGTCAAATTGGCTTCCCTCTGGCTCCCTCTAAAAGGAAATTCTAGGAAATCAAAGCAAGGGAAGGGCAGTTTATCCTGGGGGAGATGGGAGGTGGGGATCAGCAAACGCACAGGGAGGGAGGAAGGTGCTGGAAATCAGCTGGGTTCCACCTGTGCAGGATGGGAGTACTGAGGATCAAATTCTGGCGGTGATCAGAACCAACAGAGAAATTTCTGGAACAGACGAGCAGGCACCTGACTTCTGTCTTTCTGCTTTCCTCTCTTAGGACATCACAAACCTCTTGAAGAGGTAAGTGTCTCCCCACGGCACTCCAGTTGGATGCCCTTCCTGCAGTCCCTGGAGAGCTGCCGAGTCTGAATGACTTCCCTCCCCTGCAGCTTGGGGAAAGCAAAGAAGGAGCTGGTGCCCCGAGGGCTGATCTCCCGGAAGTTGGCCCCCGGCCTGTTCAGAGGCCCCATCCAGTACATGATCTGGAAGGAAATGCAGTCCACTCTCTCTCCAGGTATCATTGGGTTGGAATGGCTGGTGCCCAGGGCTTGTCATCTGTGGGACCTCTTCCGGCCGGGATTAGCTCTTCAAATTCTGACATGGGGGAAGGGTGGTGTTTAGTGGAAAGGAAGCTCACTGTTATGACTGAATTTCTTCCATTGCTCTTATCTAAGAATGTATGACTCCACAATGATATTAGAATTACTTCTCCACCTGTGATTTTGTTTGATTGTTTGATTGTTCTAACATGGCAATCAGCCAGAACTTTTATCCTGGTTTGTTAGATCAGCTGTATGAATCTCTGGGGTCTGTTTACCCTGAAGAAGGTTTCTACATGTGCTCTTTGTATATATATATATCTGTTTTGTTTTGTCTTGTTTTGTGACAGGGTCTTGCTATGTAGTCAGGTTGGTCTTGAACTCACTATGTACCCCAGGCTGGCCTCTGAACTCCCAGTAATCCTCCTGCCTCAACCTCCCAAGAGTTGGGATTACAGGTGTACACCACCACACCTAGCTTTACATGTAGAGTCTTGCGTTTGGTGGTCAGAGCATAAAGCACACTTATGGACTTAGGAAATAGCTTGGAGTACTTCATTGCCTCTGAAGAAAACCAGTAATTTCAATCAATGTGTTTAAAAAGATTACTAAGTTTTTGTATTTCTATATATTCCAAAGGACTGAATGCGGCAAAAAAACCAGAACTGGTATTTCCAGAACATTCAATTATGTTTCTAAATTTAAAAACTTTTTATAGAAATAAAAATGTAAAGTTTTTATAGATTGCAGATAGACTTCTCATTATTGGTGTGTAGATTTCATTAAAATCACAAATATATCCCTGTTAATAATTTGTCCAGGTAATTAACACTGGAAGAAAGTCAGCTTTATTGAGGCATAATTCACAAAGCATAAAATTAGTCAACTTTCCTTGTGTAATGTACAAAATAATGAGTTGTGACAAACATATGCAGTTATGCACATGTCTCCCTAATCAAAATATGGGAAATTTCTATCCCTCTAAAAGAATTCCCACATGAGCCTCTGCAATCAGTGCCTCCCTTGTTCTCCCAACCTCTGACACTCAAGGATGTGCTTTATTTCACGTTCGATGTGTTTTCTTGAAATTGTTGTACAAGTGAAATCGTATTTTGTGTCTCATTTTTGCACTTAGCACAATGCCTCTGGGATTCTCCTATGGTGTTATGTGTATCGATATTTATGTTTTATAGATATATTAAAATTTGCTTATTCATTTACCAGTTGACGTGTATTAGGGTAGTTTCCAGTTTGGGCCATTATGCATAAAGTCGTGTGACTCTCTGTTTACATACTCTTGTGTCTTAATTTCTTTGGAGTTCAAATCAAGTGGCAGGATTTCTGGGTGTTCGCTAAATGTCATGTCTAATTTTATAACACACCAGAGAACTTTTATTTTATCTAAAATAGCAGTATCATTGCACCTTTCCACCTGCACTGGACAGCAGCCCTAGTTCCTCTATATCCTTGCAAAACTTGCTGCTGTCAATTTTAAACTTTTATTATTTTATTGGAAGTACCACAGTATCTCATTGTGGTTTTAATTTGTACATCTATAATGATCAACCTGGAATGCTGAGCAGCTTTCGACCTGCTTCTTTGCTATTCATGGGTCTTGTTTTGTTAACTATATAGTCAATCTTTTGCCCAGCTTTTATCGAGTTGCTTTAAAGCTGAATTACAGAGGGTCCAAGTCTTTTCATCAGATGTATGTCTGAGGGGTCCGGCAGCAGAAGTCAGAGAAAACCAAGAAATAAAGTTAACGTGGAATTCGAGGAAGAAAGTGTCAAAGAGAAACACGTGGTCATCCATGCCAGACTGCAAGAAGATAATGAAGAAAACTACTGGACAGTGCAAGTTTTAAGCACCTGGTGATTTCGAAGAAGGACAGTTCCAATAACGGGTTAGGGAGAAGCGACACTGCTGCATACTCAGGAGTGGTTCAGGGATGAGGCGGCAGTGAAAGGACGGGCCGCTGGCTTGAGAGGCCTCATTGAGGTGAACAAGTGCATAGGAAGAGGCAGAGGAGACTTTCTTTGCAGTGCTAGGTTTGAACCCAGGACCTTGTGCATGTTAGGCAAGTAGGCTAAACCTGAGCTTCAGAGAGGACTTTACAGAGAAACACACTGGAAGGGACAATCCATGGAGAAAAATCGGTGCTTCCAAGAAAGGGCATGGGGCAACCCATTCGGACCCCTCCTGTTGCTCAGGAGCTGTTCCTTTTCCCAATAAATTTTCCTACTCAGAAAGAAAGAAAGAAAGAAAGAAAGAAAGAAAGAAAGAAAGAAAGAAAGAAAGAAAGAAAGAAAGAAAGGGCATGGAATGAAGCTGGGTGGGTGACGATATAGCTCAATGGCACAGCACTTGCCTGGCAGGTGTGAGGTCATGAGTTTGATTCCTGTTACCAAAAAAAAAAAAAAAAAAAAAAAGAATACAATGAAGCTTGGCGTGGTGATGCATGCCTGTAATCCCAGCACTTGGGGGGTGCTGAGGCAGGAGGATCTCTGTGAGTTTGACACCAGTCTGGGCTACATAGTCAGACACTGTCTCAAAAAAGCAAAACCAAAAGAAAACAAACAAACAAAAGAAAGGCATAAAATGAGAAGGGGCCCAGTAGATGGAGGGAGGGGGAGAGACAGAAAGGGAAGGAGAAGTAAGAAGAATTAAACCATGCTATGTACAAGTACCAACTCTCCACAGTGGACGAAATCATTATGTACAGCGAACGTGAAAATTCGAAACAAAGGAGAAAAGGTGTAAGTGGGGGCAGCTGAAGCCTTCTGCTCAGGGAGGGAGGCAGCAGTGGAATAGAGAGTTGGAGGAGACAGTAGAAGATTCTAAATTGTTGAAAAGAACCAGGGAGAATTTGACCTGGGAAATACAGGATCTGTAGGCAGTGCTGACGGTCTAGCAACAACAAACATATAGCAGCATCCACCCGCACCACTGGGTGACTTCCTCCCGCTGTCCTCAGAGCCAGGGCAGGAATGTGAATGGGTAGAGAGATGCAGGTCTGCAGAGTTGTTGAGAGAAAGATTTTAAATCAGGAAGCAAACAGGTTAGGAGAAATCAGGAGCTCGGTGTGGTGGTGCACACCTGTAATTCCAGCACTCAGGAGGCTGAGGCAGGAGGATCGTTCGAGGCCAGCCTTGGCCCTGGTGGAGACCCTGTCTCAAAAAAAGAACAGAACAAAACCCCAAAACAGACAGACAAGTTAAGTAATGGTTGTGGGAAGATGAGAGCTGCAAAGCTCAAGAAATAAAGGAATGGAATATCTGAATCGAATGTTTTAGAGAATGACTGGTCCTGAGGGATGGCAAGGTCTGGAGGTCACTAGTAGACACTGGAAGTGCCGTGGAATGCAGGTCACAGGCAGGGAACTTAAGGACCTTCGCGGAGGGAGAGAGGGACGGGGGCTGCAGTAAAGTGGACCCGCTAGGTGAGGCCTGTAACCCGAAGCTCCCGTGTAAGGAGAGAGGCCCTGAGGAAGGTGGATCTTCACAGCGGGAGAGGATCATGGTCTGGGAGGGGCACTGGCGGCAAGGGTCTGTAGTCTCTGAGTTAGAGAATGAATTGTCAGTCCCGTGGAGGCTGTGTATTTTGAAGGGACGGAGTCCCAAGGTGTCTGTGGGTGTTTGTTTGTTCTGTTTTTGTTTTTCTGAGACAAGGTCTTGATATGTAGTCCAGACTGGCCTCGAACTCTCAGCAGTCCTCCTGCCTCAGCCTCCTGAGTGTAGGGATGACAGGCGTGAGCTACCGTGCCCCACCACGGTTACCATGCAAGCACAGCTGTAAAGAGAGAGTTTTGTAAGCAGTAGCTGTTGGAGGGCTGGGAAGGGAGTGAGTTGAAGAGCAAAACGGAACCAGGTCCGGCTGGAGCAGGAGGACAAGCAGTGAGAGGATGTACGAGGGGGATGGCAGGGATAAGGGCGCCAGAGAGGATGAGTCACTGCAAGGGTTTGCATTCGGGTGTTCATGGAGGATGCCGGGACACAGGAGTAGCACACCCAGCTGGTGTCAGGGTTCCACGTGGACCTCCAATAAATGGACCTAAACACAGAGAACACGTTCAGATTTTAAAGATAGATGAGGAAAGATGCAGAGATTACATCCTGGTGAAGGAGAAGAAGGGTGAAGATGTAAATCATAAGGCCAGGCACGGTGGCACACCCGCACTAGGGAGGCTGAGGCAGGAAGATCACTGCGAGTTTGAGGCCAGCCTGGGCTATACAGTGAGTTTAAGGGCAAGTATGTGTGAAGCCTTGTCTCAAAAACCAAACAAACAGAAAAATCCCGAAAACAAAACAAGCCAACTCAGAAATAAAGAAGTCAATAACTTCATGGTGATAACCATTGTGAAGAAGAGAAAGCAGGGTACACCCAATAAATAATTTCATTGGGAGAAACTATAAAGCAGAAGACCAAGCAGTGATGGCCAGAAGGCTGGCCAGAGAAGGGGAAGGTAACTCCCTTCCCCTTACATCTATTGTGCATAAAAAAGTTTAAAGAATTTTACAGTGGACACTCCTATTCGTACCTAAGATAGCATCTAACATAAAAGTTTATGGACTCTGCATGAACAAAGGCCAAAGTACTGTGCCAGGAAAGAGTACTGGGGTGAGTGCTGAGAGCCTGAAGGAGGAATGAGCTAGAAAATGTGGACGAGCTGTCAGAAGGCAGGAACCTGGACCGAGGTAAATCAGAGCATGCGGTAGTGATGGGCCAGAGCTGGGTGGATCACCTCCACTAGGATCCGGTTTGATCTCAGGTGGGGCAGGAAGCAGAAGAGCTGAGGGATCTGCAGAGAGGCAAAGCAGGCTGCACCGGGGCAGGAGCGCGGACTGAGGGGTAAAAGGCTCCTGCAGCGGCTCTAGCCAGCCAGTGTGTTCATGAAGAGGATTGGGGGTACTGACACTCAAAGCACAGCTACCTGCGGGTGTGTGGGGCCGACGGAAGTTACTGTGACAAGCACGACACGAGGAGGAAACGCAGGACACAAAGCAGCTGAGTGCAGATCATCTCTAGAGCCCGAGTGGGCTGACCTGGCTGCAGGTGTCAGAGCGTGGCCCGAGCGAGCTGGGGCTTGGTAAGAGGTCCTGAGGGCGTCGTCAAAGAAATTCTAGTCCTCGAATTAACAGATGAATAACCCAGATTGTAAGGGTGCAGGATGGGAGTCACCTTATAGAGAAAAATCAGGATTCTAAGCCTCTTGTTGGATAGAGGTCCCTGTTAGTGATGGCAAAGACCCAGGCTCTCCTGGAAGATGGCTGAGCTCTCCTGACCTCCTTCCAAGGATGAACAGATCAGGTAACAACAAACATATGCACTGGCTCCGTGTCCCCCATGGTCAAATTCCACACTGACGTCTGGTTGTCTTGCAGCTGGAATTTGTGTCATTAGCGTTCAGCATTTCCATCTCTGTGGACATTTCTCCTTTCTACAAAATGGGAAGCCTCAAGTTCTTCCAGGTATTTTGGAATATACAGTAAACCTACGGTGCTACAGTACGGAGAATACTTCTTCCCAATCAACTGCACTGTCACCCAGTGCCGCCCTCCCTCCTCTCTGTCACCCTCCCCTGACTCTAGTAATCACTACATCTACGTGATCGACTTTTTAAAGCTTCTGATATTTTGAAAATCTCAGCGTAGCTTGAAGTTATACTTTTTGTTGGATACAATGTAATTACTTATCTGATATTTTAAAGGATTACAAGGTGAAGACCCAATTTTGTAATATTAGATTCACCTGACATGACATTCCTCTTTCAGATTGCTATGAAAGTTCTTCCAATGGCTGGGCATGGTGGTACATGCTTGTGATCCCAGCACTCAGGAGGCTGAGGCAGGAGGATGGTTGTGAGTTCGAGACCAGCCTGGGCTACAAAGTGAGCTCAGGGCCAGCCCAAACTGCATAGCGAGACTCTGTCTCAAACAAACAAACAAACACCCTCCAAGTTCATTCTCAATTTCTGCACAAATTGTCCCAAATTAGTAAACACACTCGTAGACCACATTCAGAGCATGAAGTGCTCTGGGTTGCTAGGTTTCATTATCTGTTAAACCAAATATAAACTTCTCACCATGTGTGCCTGAACCCTAACAGCTTCTCTTAATTATCTCCACAAGGCAGGCTGATGCTTTCTCTTCCACACAAGCAACTGTATTTAACCCACTTTCCCCTTTGTTGACCCACAAAGCACTCGAAATGCATGTCATCCATGCTCTGTCACAAGAAAATACTTATTTTCCTTAGAAAGATTTTCTAGAGCCTGAGGATACAGCTCAGTGGCATAAGCACCTGCTGGGTAAGTACAAGATCCAGAGTTCAATTCCTGGTACCCCCTTGAAAAGAAAGGCTTCCTAGGATAACCTTACCTAACTTTCACCCCATCAGTCCTTTTTGTATTTCTTAGTACCGACTGACATTATGTGTATTGCTTCCTTGGGTAGACATAAATGGTTTCACTGTAAAGCTTGATTTTTGCCCTAAATATACAAAAGTCTGGAAGTAGAAACACAGATACCTAAACAATAAAAAAATCTGCAAATGCTGCCTGTGGTATATTTAAGACTCTGGATGTACATGGGGACAAAGCACTGGTCTAGAAAAATGCTGTCCCAGATCAGAGACATAGCTCAGCGGCCAAGCACCTGCCTTGCAAATGCAAGGTCCTGAGTTCGATTTCTGTTTAAAAAAAAAAGCAAAGAAAGAAAGAAAGACCCTGTCTTATCCCGTGGCAGCTGCACTCAAGGCCCTTCCCCACGTCCTGCTTTCTCTTCTTTTCCTCCTAGGCCTGTACCCCTTGACTCTGGACCCTAAGACGGCTCACCCGAATCTAGTGCTCTCCAAGGACCGCACCAGCGTGTGGCACGGTGATGTGAAGCAGACGATGCCCAATGACCCAGAGAGGTTCGATTCGAGCGTGGCGGTGCTGAGCTCCAAAGGCTTCACTTCTGGAAGGTGGTACTGGGAAGTGGAAGTGGGGAAGAAGACGAAGTGGACAGTCGGAGTGGCCAGGGAGTCCATCATCCGGAAGGGCAACTGTCCTCTCACGCCTGAGCGGGGATTCTGGCTCCTGAGACTGCGGAACCAGACGGACCTTAAGGCTTTGGACCTGCCCTCCTGCAGCCTGCAGCTGACCGGCAGCCTGACCCGGGTGGGTGTGTACCTGGACTACGAGGGGGGGCAGGTGTCCTTCTACAACGCCAGCAGCATGAGCCACATCTACACCTTCTACAGCGGCGCGTTCGGAGAGAAGCTCTACCCGTACTTCTGCCCCTGCCTTAACGACGGCGGGGAGAACAAGGAGCCGCTGCGCATCGTGCACCCGCAGTGAGCGCTCCCGCCGGCGCATAGATTCAAGTGTTATTAAAGAAGCGTTGCAATGGTTTCCCGGTCTCGGGGGGTTATCTGCTCCACGCGCGGGGATCGTCAGCACCCAGGACTCCTGCGCGGAATTCCACGCTCAGCTTCCTCCGTGGAGGATTCCCAGCAGAGCGACCTTCCTGCCTTGTTCCCTCGGCAGATGTGAGCGTTGGACCCCTGGAAGACTTTGCAGATATGCCCTGAAACGACCATGGCACGGTTTATTTTTCCAGCCTACTCAATTAGACTTTTCACACGCGCACTCTGTGTGTGTGTGTGTGCGTGTGCGTGTGTGTGTGCGTGCGTGCGCACTGGGGATTGAACCCCGGGCTTGCACACCGAGCTGCAGGCCTAGCTCTTTTACAGCTGTTACTTTGGATCTCGCTAAGTCCCTCAGTGGCCCAGGCCGGGCTCCTCTTTCCTCGGCTTTGTGCCCCACCACACCCAGCTTCCTGACTACTCTCCTTCCTAGGTAATTACTTTTTTTTTTGGCACTGGGGATGGAAACCACAACCTTGTGTTTCCCAACAGGCAATTACGCTGCTGAGCTAAACCCCCAGCCCTAAGTAATTGCTTTTTGATATACATTTTCTTCTCCTTTATTTTCTAGAGCTTGTTATTGTAATTTTCAAAAACTTGCTGCTGCTGGGTGTGGTGGTACATACCTATACTTCCAGCACTCAGGAGGTTGATGCAGGAGGATCACCTTGAGTTCCAGGGCAGCCTGGGCTAGCTAATGAGCTTAAGGCCAGCCTGAATTACAGAGTGAGACCCTGTCTCAGGAAAAAAACAAGACAATGACAACAAACTTGCTGCAGAGACTACAAGAAAAAAGTAGGAGATGGTCTGTGTTAGATGATAATTTTGTTTTGAATTTTCTGAAGATACTTTTTAGTCTAGCAAATCTGACTTTTTTCTTGCTGTCTCAGTCTGCTTTCCTTGCATTATGTAGCTATGGAGCACTTGTTTTTCTCTGTTCAATAGTACAGGCCTGCCTCACCACTGACTAAAATGTGATTCACCTCTAAGGTATGGTCAATACAGAGGAAAGTCATTTGACCAAGAATCCACTTGCAAAATATAAGCAGTAGCTGAAACTCATTATCCTTAGGCCAGAATGGATGCAGATTAGATTCAGTTTAAGATGCTCAGGCTCCACTCAAGACCAGTTAGAAAAACTCTGTTGCAAGCAGAGCTGAAGCAGTCGTAGTTTCTAGAAGCTCCTGGGTGATTCAACTGTATGGCTGGAACAGAAAACCACTGAGCTAAAGGAACAGGGCTTTAAAAAAAAAAAACTTTCTGTTTAAAAAAAAAATGAAAATTTAGACTTGGGAATGTAGCTCAGTGGTACAGTGCTTGCCTAGCACATGTAAGGTTCTGGGTTTAATCCCCAGTATCACAAAAGAAAAAGAGAAAGAAAGAAGAAAACTTTAAGCTTACAAGAGTTGTACCTTTGTATGGTCACCTCCTGTTACTTTCCAATTATTAATACCATGCCACGTGCTGTTGGTCTCCATTCCTGAGTCTATAATTATTTTTGTTACCTTTGCTGAACCATTCTAGATTAAATTACTTATCACTTAAGATCATCCATATTCTTGAATATATCAGTGAGTATCTCCTAAGAACCAGGTGTTCCCTTACATAACCAGAGTATTATCAAATTCAATCTAAGGCCCGTCTGGGCTACATAGGGAAACCATGTCTCAAAAATAAAATCAAAACAATCAAATTCAGAAAATGGAACAGACACAATATTACTAGCTAATCTACAGCCCATATTTAATCAGTAAATATTTCTCATGGTGAGTTCTTAGGAACAGTGTAAAGAATTTCAAGTAGCATTACAGTGAGTTTGGGGGACAGAAGAGGACCTACTTGCTACTGTTAGAGTTCTGTGTAACTGATATCTAAAGTCTATCTTGGGAAAAGAAAGGACTACAAAATTCAGAGAAAGGGGAGGTCAACGTGTACTGAGAGAAAAATCCTAAGGAAAAGTTGTGATTAAGTTAGAGATAGGGAGGATGAGTAGGGGGAAACATTCTATCCTAGATTCTGAAAATAGATGTTCTTTTTTTTTTGTACTGGGAATTGAACTCTGGACCTTGTGCTTGCCAGGCGCTTGTGCTGCTGGGCTATATCCCTGGCCTAACAGATGCTTTTTAAAGAAAAAATTTTTGAGACAAGGTCTTGATATGTAATTCAGGCTGGCCTTAAACTCAATATGTAGCCCAGACTGGCCTCAAACTTGAAGCAATCCTCTTGCCTCAGCCTCCCAAGTGCTGCAATTACAGGCATGTGCCACACTCCTGGTAGAAAAATAACTCCTTAAGAATGAATGTTTGGGGGCTGGGGATTTAGCTCAGTGGCATAAGCACCTGCCTTGCAAGCAGCTGGTCGTGAGTTCAATCCCTGGTACTGATTTAAAAAAAAAAATGAATGTTTGTTGCTGGGCATGGTGGCACATGGTCACCTCCTGTTCCTTTCCAATTATTAACGCCATGCCACGTGCTGTTGGTCTCCATTCCTGAGTCGATAATTATTCTTGCTGTTACCCTTGCTGAACCATCCTAGATCCATCCATTATCCATACCCTTCCTCCCAGTATCGCACACATAATCCTCATTCGTGCATTTTAGGTCTAATCAGTTCTGAAAAGCCTCACTAAGAGTGCCTGAGGCTTTGGGGGGCCATATAGATGCAAGCTGTAACAAGTACAAAGTTTAAAGCACCAATGTCTGATTTCCTTGCTGTAAACAGGTTCTGAATGGTAATTAGAATACATAACATTCGCTTGATATTTGTGCTACAGGTATCTTAGCCCACTTTGTGGCTTGCATGTTCACTCTAATTTTGGTAATTTGATTAAGAGATGACGAATGCAGTTATATTTACATATCTTTTCTGTCATGATTAATATTCATGCCTTGTTTTAAAAAGCTTTTCCTAGCCAGGTGTGGTGGCGCATGCCTGTAATCCCAGCACTTGGGCTGTGGCAGGAGGATCACCATGAGTTTGTGGCCAACCCGGGCTCCATAGTGAGTTCAAGGCCAGCTTGAGCTACATAGTGAGATCCTATCTTGAAAAAAAAAAAAGAAAGAAAGAAAAAATCTTTTCTTACTCTGAGGCTAGAAAGATATTCTCCTGTGGTCTGCATTAAAGGTTTACCTTTTGTATTTTTTAAATTCTTAGGGTACTGTCAACTAGACAGCAGTGGTAACTGTATATTTACATATACTTAACTTAAAAATATATGAGGAAAAAATTAAGAGACATACAAGAAGAAACTGATAAATCCATAATTAAAGTACAAAATTTCTACATGGCTTTCTCAGTAATTGATGGAGAACCAGACAAAATGTTTAACAATAGGGCTAACAAGCCCAGTGGGCACCTGAATAACAGTGTATTCAAGACTCAAGAACATCCAACAGCTTCCCAACATGCTTCTTAAACATACTCAGGGGCTGGGGATTTAGCTCAGTGGCATAAGCACCTGCCTGGAAAGTGTGGTCATTAGTTTGCTCCCCGGTACCAAAACACACACACACAGGAACCAACAATAAGCTGACTAGTTATAAAGAAAAATTTCAAATTCCAAAGGATTCTAACCAGACCATGTACTTTGTTTAACCCCTTTAAACAAGGGATCAAATAACAAATAGCAAATTGTATGTATTTGGAAATATAAAAGTATTTCAGATCTCACAAGTCAAAAACTTCATACTGGAAATACTTTGAATTGAGTAATAAGAAAATTGTAGGGGACTGGGTTGTAGCTAAGTGATAGAGCACTTGCCTAACATGCATGAGGTCCTAGGTTCAACTCCCACTAACATGAAACAAAAAGTTGTAGTACACAGTTTAAAAGGAAATTTACAACTTTATCTGTTAGAAAAACAAAGGATGAAAATCAATCTATTTCAAGAAACTAGAACAAAAATTTGATATCAAGGAAAATAGAATTTATATAAAGCTGAAACTGACAGAGAAAATTGCCAACCCTTTGAGGAGACTAAGAAAAAACATGAAGGGACAAAGCCCTATATGGTAGAGCTGGATGTGGTGGCTCCTGCCTGTACTCTCAGCACTTGGGAGGCTGAGGCAGGAGGATCACCCTGAGGCTAGCAAAGTGAGTCCAAGGCCATCCTAAACCACATAATGAAACTGTCTCAAAAAGTAAGGCGCGTATGGTGGTGCATGCTGTAGTCCTCAAGAGGCTGATGCAGGAGGATTGTGAATTCCAGCCTGGACCACATAACGAGCTCAACTTCAGTTTGAACTACATAGCTGATCCTGAAGAAGTAAGAAAATGGAAGAAGTAAGAGGAGGAAGAGCAGGAAGAGGAGGAGGAAGAAGAAAAAGGAGGAGAAGGAAGAAAAGGAGGAGGAGTAAGAGGAGAAGAAAATACTGAAAAAGGTCCTCATCTTTTGGAGATTCAAAGTGAAATTTTATATATGAGATGATAATGCGTTTTGCTTCAAAATATATTTGATGCCTCAGGACTGGCTCCTATGGCTGTACCACACTGCACAGTAACTTCCAATCCTGAAACTCAACAGAGCTAATGACGACCTCCTCCACCCTCACACCTCAGTTCTATGCAATAGCAACCATGCCTCTCCTGCCTGCCTCAGGCCTTTCCCGCCTTTTGCTCTTAACCAATCAATGAGCTAGACCTGGATCCACGGACCAATCAGTGATATCGGCTCTAGGCTACTACTTCCGGTCCTCAGGGGCCAGGCGGCGCCATGTTTCAAGGGCAGCGCGGGTGGTTCTGTGGCAGCGTGGGCCAGGACCTGAGACAGATTTGGGGTAGGAAGCCGGCAGAGGTGCCGCGAGAGCTGAGGGGAGTTACCAGGTTGCCCGTGGGGTTCACCATGTGCTTTTTGTCTCCACAGTGGCGGAGGGCGGGATGGTCAGTGACCTGGCCGCCGCCGACTTCCTGTTTAGCTGCGACGCCTCGCACCCAGACACGCAGAGGTACCGGAAGTCGTGGCCGCCCCTTGTGGGTGGCGCAGGAGTGAGGCAGGAGACAAATTCTCCTATGTGGCCGATACCCGCCACCTGCCCGCTGTCGCTTCCCGCCCCAGTATCCTGCATGCTTTCCGCGTGGTCCCCGCTCCTGCCCTAATTCCGCCTCTGTGTTTCCGCACCCCCACTCCTGCGGCCCTTCCCAACCCGGTTTTCAGCATCTCCCAACCAGATGCACTGTCACCCCAACCTGGTCGGACCTGGTGCGCCCCAAGACCGAAACCTCCCTGGCCCTGCCGCGCGGCGATCTCTGCCCCAGGAATTAGTCCCGACCGCCGCTGCGCTGGTAGCGCCCCGTTAGCATCCGCGGCCGCTGCGCCAGCGGACTCCGGTGCCCGCACCTCCTTACACCCCTCCCAGCCTGGCGCTGTCAGATCCTGAATCTGGGGTGCACCCACTGCGCCCCGCCCTCCGCTGGCCCTGCTGACTACCCCCAGATCGGGGTCTGGCCAGAAGCCTCCATATTCCCCAGTTTTTCTTCCAGAGCCGAGGCTGCCTGCGCTGTCAGTACGGGGTCTGCTTTCTCTTCTTTTCCTTCCTCCTCTTCCTCCTGTCTTTTCCCCTCTTTCTTCCCCTCCTTCCCATCTTCCTCCTCTACCTTCTTTCTCCATCTTCCTTTTTCTTCTCCTCCTCTTCTTCCCCCTTTCTCCTTCTTCTCCATCTTTTCTCCTGTAATTCCCTTTTATTGCTCCCTTTTGCCAGGACTAGGAGAGATGTCTTCTCTGGGTAGAATTCCCTGACTATCTGCTTCCTCGTGCCTTAGAATTAATGGATCCCGCTTACTGTGATGACTATGGATAGGCTGCTGGTTCTTTTTGGCTTGATGATTGATTGAGATGGGATCTGACTATGTAGTTCGAGCTGGCCTTGAACTTACTTTGAAGCCCAGGCTGGTGTCCAGCTTGAAGTGCCTCCTGCCTCAGCCTCCCGAGTGCTGGGATTATGGGTGTGCACCACCACATCCGGCAGGTTGCTGGTTCTTAATAAACTGTTGATGTCCAGGTAACCATACTGTTTTAGATCAGTTTCTCAGTTTGTATAATAATTTACCAAGGGTCTAAAGCTGAGACTTGCCTAGACTTAGGCCCATCATAAGTATACCCTGTAATATTGGGGTCATTTGTTTTTTCTTTCAATTTTAGTACATGTGCTGCTGAAGCAAGCACTATTTCCGAAGGTTGAATATGTTCTTATCTCATAATCTAAACGATTTCTTTGCTTTCTCATAGAATTTATCAGAGCCTTGATTACATAGAAGATAACGCTACAGTTTTTCATGCCTACTATCTCTCTGCAGTAGCTAATGCTGAAATAAAAAACTCAGTGGCTTTGGGTCATTTCATTCTGCCTCCTGCCTGCCTGCACAAAGGTTAGCAAAGTTTATTCAAGCAACAGCTGTTGGCCTAATCCAGAGAATCCCTCATTAGGCAGCCAAATTCACATTTGTTCTTCTTGTTCACAATCAGAAAATGTTGAGTTTTATATCATTTAATAGAAGAGGGAGGGGCATGGGCTTGGGGTCAGGTTCCTTGGGTGCACATAGCCTGGCTTTAGATATTCACGGTCATTGAGTGTCCCCTGTAGGCCGTGTTCCCAGTCAGGCGCTAGGCAATCCACGGGTACCCGCCTAGGACTCAGCGCTTACTGGTTTCCAGTCTTTAGCAAGTTATTAAACTTCTTCCACATTGTTTTGAGCATAAAATGAGATATATATGAAGGCTATGACATGGAGAGCATGTAGTATATTCTTTGCTGGTTATGAGTCTCTTCATGACTTTTATTGATTTTCTTTAAAGGTTAGTTTGGGCAGTGCTTGGGATTGGGGCTGTGTTCTGAGCCACATGCCCAGCCCCTTTATCATTTTTGTTTTGAGACAAGTTCTTGCCAAGTGTCTACATTGTTTAGGCTGAGCACCAGTTTGCCATACTCAGCCTCCCAGAGAGCTGCGATTACAAACATGCATCAGTTTGCTTGGCTTGTAATTTTCTAGAAGTATGTTCACATTTTTCACACCAGTGTGAAGTTGAAAGGGCAAAATAAATAAAGTGCTTCTCAGATCTGTGTTTTTGTTTTTCTTATTTGGAACTTTCTAGTTAAATTTTAAAGATTTCCATATTTATTTACATATTGATTGATTGATTGATTGATTGATTTTTCTGAGACTAGGTATCATTATGCAGTTCAGGTTGGTACTGAGTTCACGATGTAGCCCATGCCAGTCTTGAATTCACAGCGATCCTCCTGGCTCAGCCTGTAGGATTACAGGCATACACAACCACTCCCAGCTTCCTTTCCTTTCTTACCTTATTCATCTGTCCAAATCCTACCTATCTTTTTAGAGCTAATTTGAAATATTCCAATGTGTAGGTTGTCATTATTACCTAATGCTTGATATGTATCTTGTTTACCCAATGGTTATATGTCCATCTCAGAAAAGACCATATTGCAAATTTTCAGTGAGGAGAGCATTAAAACAGAAGCTAGCTGGCATAGTGGTGCATGCCTGTAGTCACAGAACTGGGAGGCTGAGGCAGGAGGACCACAAGTTCACAGCCAGCCTGGGGTACGTGGTGAAAGCCTGTCTATTAAAAAAAAAAAAACCCTACTGCTATCAAAGTAAGCAAACAAACAAAACAACCAAAAAATTTTAAAATATTTTTATAGAGGAGCCTTTATAAACCCCAAATATTGGTTCTTCTACAGTTGATGTCCCCCAAAGACTTAGATTTAATTTATAATGCTAAATTTTTCTAAATCTTTATTTAAAAAACTTAATGACTAGATAAGTGAATCGATTTATCCAGAAAGTGTACTGATTAGTATCTACTTTCAAGGAACTCATATTATAGAATGGTCATGCAGTCTAATTTTTAAATTGTCATTTCTGTTTGAACTTTAAAAATTTTAGTTTTTATTAGTAAATGTTTACAGTACATAATGATTAGATTCATGATGCAAACTTGGTACATTTATATAACATACCTTAATTCTTTTTATTGTTGTAACCTAGTTCTAACCAATGCACCTCCTTTCTGTTCTGTATGGGCCGTTTCAATAGAGATTAAAATTCCATCTTCAGTAAAGATTTAAGTTTCAGCTCCTTGTAAATCCCCCTCCCCTCCCCATTCTTTTTAGGTTAAGTCTCCTTGTCCCATAAAAGCTTTAAGTTTCAGTTTCTTGTAATCCCTCCCCACCCCCTTCAGCCTATCTGCAATACAATGTGCTGTCCTTAAGAAACGTTTAACTACAAGGAAGTTATCAGACTGGGTCAAAGTTTGCAACACTTTAAAACCCAACCCTTTTAGCTGTAAGGCACGCAGTCTCGATATTGACTGCCGGAGATTGTGTCACCAGGCCTGGCCTAAAATAAAGCCTTTGCTCCCTAAATTTTAATTTCTTGCTTCCTTGGGTTTTATTCCAGGGTCCGAGCTATCACATTTATATTCCTTGCCCTTCCCTGTCTGAGTTTAGCATTTTAGGTTACCATAGGTTTTATTTTTGTTTTTTTTTTGAGACAGGGTTTTGCTGTGTAATCTGGGCTGGTCTTAAACTCACTACATAACCTAGCCTGGCCTCAAACTTGTGGCAGTCCTCCAACTGCAGCCTCTTGAGTGCTGGGATAGAGGCATGTGACACCATGCCTGGCTGTTACCATGTATTTAAATATTTTAAAATTGGTTTTAAATTAAACATGTTCCTTTAAAGAAATAAAAGTATGTTCTCACTTCAGTAGCACATTCACTAAATAAAAGTATGCATATTTATCTACTTACACATGAAATTAATTTTTCTTTTTTGGTACTGGGGATTGAACTGGGTACTGTGCTACACCATCCTTTTTTTTTAAATTTTGAGACAGGGTCTTTCTAAGTGGCCTATGCTGACCTCCAACTTATAATCCTCCTGCCTCAGCTTCTCTAGTAGCTGGAATTACTGTTTGTCACTGCACCCAGCTAAAGTTAATTTTTGGAATATATCTTATTTACCTAATATATTCAAAATATTTCAGTATAATCAATATAAAATTATTTAGATATTTTACACTTTGTGATACGAGGTCTTTAAACCCCAGTTTTTAGTTTACATTTAGAGCATATCTTGATTTGGATTAGCCATACATTGTAGTACTCAGTACCCATATTTAGTGAGGTGCTACCACACTGGACCTAAAAGTCTAGAATAATATTATACTTCTTGTCCTCTGATGATCTGTAGAAACTTCTGAAATCACTGAGTTAGGAAGATGATAGTAGTTTGACATACTGAGTATTACAGAGTTCCTGCTTGCTATACATACTGCTTATCTACTTTTAGAAAAGTAAATTCCGGGCTGGGGATTTAGCTCAGCGGCATAAGCACCTGCCTTGCAAGCAGGTGGTCGTGAGTTTGATCCTCAGTACCGATAAAAATGAAAAAGACAAAAAAAAAAGAAAAATAAATTCTTGAGTGTCTGTGATTTACAAACAGCAGTTTTATACTTTTTTTTAAATTGTACAATTGTCTTTATTAATACTTGGCCTAATAGAGGCACTCATTCCAGCATGATTGCAAATTTGAGGCCAGCCTGGGCAGCATGGTAAAACTCTATTTCAAAAAATTAAAGAGTTGGTAATGTAGCTCAGTGGTAGAGAGCCCTTGCCTACCATGCGCAAGACCATGGGTTCAATCCCCAGTACCACAAAAACAAAAAATGGAGAGACTCACATGTGAAAAAGACATTCTAATACAAGTTAAAACAGTGAGTCTTATAATAATATATTAGAATTGTCAGGAGCTTGTTAGAAATGCAAATTCCTCATTTTCAGCCCTTGGAGGCTGAGGCAGGAGGATCCTTGCGAGTTTGAGACCAGCCTGGGCTACAAAGTGAGCTCAAGGCCAGCCTGAACAGCATCATGAGACCTTGCCTCAAAAAGACAAAAAAAAGAAAAAAAGAAATGTGTATTCCTGAGCTCCTCCTCACTCATCTGATTCAATAGGAATCTTATTTTTAACAAATATTTTAGCTGATTTTGATGCAGGTGGAATAAGACTGGCCTAGAAATTTCAAATTTCATGCAAAATTCAAAAGTTACTTTAAAAATAGTATTGGATTTGTTTTTCCCACCACAGAAATAAGAAGAAAAATTGGTAGTTTTATTTGGGAACAAGACCAACAATGTCCGATAGAAAAGGTAAGAGTAAAAGTATTTGATTAGAATCTGAAATTTTGAATATTTCTGAGAGTAGTGTAATCTTAAAATGTTTACTTGTGATATGTTAGTATTGAGATAGAATAACTTAAAGGCCATGCTTTTATTTGACATTAATAGTGGTACATTGATAAATTGAGGATTTTTTAAATAAATAAAACTAATCACACAGGGCATGGTGGCACATGTCTGTAATCCCAGCCCTCTGGGAGCTGAGGATAGCCACAAGTTCAAGGCCAGTTTGGGTTGCATAGTGAGTTCAAGGTCAGTCTGAACTACATAGCAAGAGATACTGTCTCAAAACAAACAAACAAACCTGAAGACTATTGACATATGAAGCTTGATAGCTGGCCTGCTATCCCAGCACGTGGGAAGCTGAGGCAAGAGGATCACCTCGAGTTCAAGGCCAGCCTGGGCTACATAGTTCAAAGCTATGCAGAAGACCCTGTCTGAAAAAAAAAAAAGGGCGGGGGGAAGGTTACTATTAGTAATTTTTTTAATTTTTATTTTTTGTACCAAGGATTCAACTCACGACCTGGAGCTTGCCAGGTAGGCACCTGTGCTGCTGAGCTAAATCCCTGGCTGCTATCAGTAATATTAAGAGAACAATGAGTACGTGGTGTTTACCAGCGCTTTACTGCTGGTGTAGATTCACTGCAGGTGTGCTCTACATTTGTTAAAAGTTTTATCCACAGCAGTGCTCTAAAAGCAGAAAAAAGGGGAAAGTACAGAAGGATGGGGAGGAAGAAAGAAAAGATGGCTGAAAGGAAAGAGAAAAAGCATCAGATGTAGAAATAATAATAGCTAATAATGTAGGAAGAATGATAGAATAAAAATTCCCATTACAGCCACTAAAATACTTGATTTAGGCAAACATCATTAGTGGTTGCTAAAACCATGATCTCAAATTACCACCCACGGATAATTTATTAATTACACACAGTCAATTTATAGCAGACAGGTCTGGGCCACACTACCCAGCCAGCTGATCAAGTGTAGCCTCCACCATACTGAAATAACTTCATTATGGTTTGATGTGATATTGTAAATATACAGTATAGTCTGTGTAGTATTCTTATTGAAAATGGTTAGCCTGAATCAATGAGACAAATCCACAAGTCAGTAAACTGGCCCAGTCAATGTCACAAAAAACAAAAGGCAGGAGGACTGTTATAGGTGGAAGTTACAAACCTTGGTCAGATTCTGTATCTCAGTCCAGAGCATGTGTGTAATCCCAGCACTCAGGAAACTGAGGCCGGAGGATCACTGTGAGTTCGACACCAGCCTGGGTGACATAGTGAGTTCAAAACCAGCCTGGACTGGACAGTGAGACCCAGTCTAAAAAAAGATTTTGTAAGTTTTAAGTCAACTACAGAAAATATACGAAAGGCATTTTGAGGGAAACTGGGAAAATGGACTATATATTAAGTGATACTGAATTAATGACAGTTTTATTGTGTGATAATGGTATAAAGACCTAAAGGATTTTTTTTTAGAAAACTCATGTTAGATATTAAGAAGTAGAATTATATCTGCAAATGTTTTCAAATGGTTCATCAAACATACAGAGGGGTGAGGCTGAGGGGTTAGCTCAGCGGGGGTAAGTGCCTGCCTTGCAAGCATGAGCTCATGAGTTCAATCCTGGGTACCAAAAAAAAAAAAAAAAAAATACAGAGGGACACTCAAGGTGGCAAAAATATAAAGCTAGATAGAAGGTATATAGTTATTTATTGTACTATTATTGACAGTTTCAGTAAATTTGAAATATTTCAGAGTAAGAAGTTAATGAGAATTTTTGTATGTCCAAGGACAAGCAATTATTATATATTTTATATTTCTTTCATCAGTCATTTTTCTTTCCAAAGCTGGGGGTGCTGGCACATACCTACAGTCTCAGCAGTTGGGAGGCTGAGGCAGGATTGAAATTTTGAGGCCAGGCCTGGCCTACATAGAAAGTCTCAGGTCAGCCTGAAGTACAGAGTGAGATCTTGCTTTAAAACATACAAACAAGGAGGCTGGGGATTTAGCTCAGTGGCATAAGCGCCTGCCTTGCAAGCAGGCAGTCGTGAGTTGGATCCCGGTACCGATAAAAAGGAAAAAGACAAACAAACAAACAAAAAGCCATACAAACAAAACAAAACACACCCAAAACATCACCATTTAAAAATAGTAGCTCTGTTAGTATCTTTGGCTGGGAGATAAAATGTATGTTCACCTAAGGAGGAAACACCTGTTCTTTGATTTGTCTCAGTGTCCTCGGGGTATGAACGAAGATGGAATGGGTATTATTTGAGAGTAATTACTGAGCATACAGAACTTTCAGGCTTAAAAAGATCTTAAAGATCATTAATTTGTTTAGTTTGTAAGTAAGAAAACTGAGGTGAATGAAAGGGAACGACCTTAGTTCACGTAGCTAGATAGCAGACTGGGACCAAATTTTCTTTGTTTCAACTCAGTGTTTTTCTACTAAAAGTTTAATATAGTATGCTTATACTCACTTTTTTTTTTAATTTTTGGCTTTTTGAGACAGGATGTAGTGCAGGCTGGCCTTTAATTCACAGTGTAGCTGAGGTTGGCCTCAAACTCATGGCAATCCTCCTGCCTCAGCCTCTGGAATGCTGGGATTATAGGCATGTGCCACCAGGCTCACCTGCATGCACTATTGATTCTATAAATTGTTTTATTACATGCTACAGGATTTTGAAATATTTATCAATGTTGGATACCAGCTAATTATAATATGATCAGTAAATTTAGTAAATTGGAATAACAAGGGTAAATATTAAGGTAATTCAAAGCGCATTATTATTGTTTGGAGTGGTTTTATAACTAACTAGACTTTTCCTAATGATATTTTAGGTAAATGTAATAGTTACCAGTATGTGAGTCACTTTCAGTCTTTTGGAAAAGCTTAATGTATTTTAATTCTTCCAAAACCTCATAGCTAAACACTTTTCTGTCATTTTGGGGTAGAATCAGTGTGGTCAGCATTCTTCATACTTTTGATTTGTGATTCACAAGGAACCTAGAGACCTTAAGTTAAGCATTTTAAGAAAGTTTAGAACAGTAACACTTGCTTGTGTCCTTATATTGGTGACAAAAAGAATTATTGTGCTTGCTTCAGCAGTACATATGCTAAAAAGTGACGTCACCATATTAGAAAAACTTCAAAAGTCTAAAGAGAACAGCGCCAGTGTTTCCCAGCGTAGCCATCACTGGTATCTACAATATTGTAGTCTTCTTTCTTTATATATCCCTCGATGCAAATAGCATAGTTATATGAGTGTTATTGTACTGTCTGTCTGTCTGTCTCCGATTTCCTTTTTCCCCTTTGGCAGGGACATTATCGACTGACTTGTGGTTTGCTGGCTTGTTAAAGTGTGATTCCTTTTGCTGTCCACAGCATGATGAGGTAACATCAACTGAAATAAATGCCGTCAGGGAAAACAGTGAACTAGCCACAGAGAATGAAATGGAATTATCCAGAAGGTACTGAATCCTTGTACTTCACTGATGCTCGGTTCAGGGTGGGTAACCCAGCACTGATTGCATGTGATCTCATCCCATAGGATTGATGTCACCATCACTGTCATCCCTATTTTACAGAAAAGGAGACCTAGGGTTAAAAAGATTAATTTGCCCAAAGTCATACAACTTGCGGTCAGTGTGGGGAAGCAGGATTTGAGCCGGGTCGGTCTAATCTGGGGCTGTGCCATGACTGTGCCATGGGCCCTGCAGGAAGGAAACAGGTTCTGTGTATGTTACTATGGTAACAGTTATGTGCTTTTAAGAATATTTTAAAATAAAAATTTGGCAGTAATTTCAAAGTTAACAATTTCTCCCTTCCCAAATTATAGTGTGGTTACTTTGGCCTAAGAAATTCAATTTAAAAGGCAATGAAGCATGGGCTTGCTCTGTATTGGGGGAGTCTGAGAAGCCCCTCTCCATGCAGACTTATGCCTAACTCAGTCCTACTTCCATATCTTACAGTTCGCAGTTTTTCAAGTTCACAGGGAATATCGGTTACTCAAAAGTTCAGTGTTGGCTGGGGATCTAACTCAGTGACAGAAGCACCTGCCTTGCAAGTACAAGGTCCTGAGTTGGATTTCTGATACCAAAACAAAAGTTTGATATTTGGCTATAATAAACAAATATTAATTTTCTATCTTCATGTGACAGTTAATGGACTTATTTACTTTTTCCACTTTAGGTTTTTCTTTCATTAAGGCTAATTTACTTAGCATACAGAGAGGTCTTACAAATCTGGGAAAATATATCCAATCCAATAATAATAAAATTGACAAAGGATGTGAATATACCTTAGGTAGCATATGCCTAAAGCCCCCTCGTGTGTGTGTATGTGTGTGTGTGTGTGTGTGTCTGTGTGTGTGTGTGTGTGTAGCCACCAGAAGGTGTAGTGAGAACGTAAAATAAACCATGACCCAGATCTCTGGGAGGCTGAGGCACAAGAATCACAAATTTGAGTCCAGCCTGGGCAATTTAGTGACTTAGTATAATCCTGCATCCAAATCAAAAATTTAAAGAGAACTGGAAATGGAGCTCATTGCAAAGGCCTGGGGTCTAACCTTCAGTCCCGCCAAATAAACAAATACATAAGATAAAGCTAAAACAAATCTTGTTCTACTTTTAAGATAATATTCTTCATGTAAATTCTCAAATGTGGAATTTATTTATTTATTTATTTAGTCTTTTTGAGACAGGGTCTTGTCATGCAATTCAGGCTGGCCTTGAACTCACTTTGTAAACCTGGCTGGCCTCTAACTCACAATGATCTTCCTGCCTCGGCCTCCCCAGTGCTGGGATTACAGGTGTGTGCCACCATGCCTGGCTCCTACTGCAATTTAATAGATGAAAAATGGCGTTTTATTTTGTATTTTTCTTAGATTACTAATTGTTTTGAAGCTCCTCACATTTATTAACATTTTGCATTTCCTTTTCTGTAGCTTTTATCCTTTCTCAATTATTTTTTAAAGTCAGAAATCACTTCAAAATCTTATCGTATCTCATGATTTTCCCAAATACTGGTTTTTCATTTGTCATGGTGAAGTATAGGAGTATTAGTTAATAGAGTCTCAATTATTTGAAGCTGAAAAGCAGAAGTGCTCTGATCCCTTAAAATAGTCTACACAGTGCTTTTTTGGTAGTTAAGACTGCATATGTACATACACACATACTCCACATTTTACTTAATTCTATGATATCATTTGCTTTCACTGATACTGAGAAAAAGACCCATACCTTTACATGCTCAGTAAACATCTGATTTGCGAAGTTGCCAAAAGAACCAAAAACTTCTGTGTAGGCCCTTCTATTACTCAGAAGTACAAAAGATGTTTACAGTTAATATTTTAGTAAGACTAGAGTCTGATCAAAGAACCATTAAATTACAATATGTATTGCCTGAAATAAATTAGTAAGTTCTCAATTATAATACAAATCTAAAAGATATATAGCATGTTATACACACACACACACACACCTTGGTACCCGATTGCTTTGAAACTCTTTGGATTTGGCACTCAGTGCATCTTGACATGAGAATTCTGTCCTGGACCCGTCATTTGTTTGGGACTGGATGTACAGGCCAGCGCTCAGACTTGACTGCCTCGTGACTCACATTGCTTCTTCCAGCCCCCAAACAATTTTTTTCCAAAGTGATTTGGTGCTCATCAAGCCTTCCTGAAAGCATCAAGGTCCCAGTGTGTGTGCATGTGCACATGTGGGCGTAAGCACATGTGTGTACAGTATGCACATACACATATGTGTGCATGTATGTATGTTTCATTTTATAGCACAGAAGATAATCTTTTAAGGACTCCGGTTGTGGAAAAGCAGATGTACTTTCCTCTGCAGGATTACCCAGTGAACAACATGGTAACAGGTAACTTAACCCTTAGGGTGAACCCTGGCAAGGGAAGAGAGGTGGGGCAGGGTGCAGGTAGCGCTGCTATTGTATGTCAAGTGCTCAGCCTGCAGAGTCTCTCTCCTCTGTAGAAACAGGTCACACAGTAAATAAATTCAGCTACAGAACGGGCCCAAGGAAGCCCTCCTATCTGGTGCTCACCCATGGTCTTTAGGAAGGGTAAACCATTCCCTTGCTCAGACAAATCAGTGCGTGCCTGCTATTCTGGGATCAGGTCTTTTTTGTGATCCGATGTAATTATCTAAAGAAGGTCTTTTCTGTTTCATCCAGAGATATTTGGATACTTTGATCTATGTAGCATGAAATGTTACCCTTCCCATTGCTGAGACAAAATACCCAACACCTAAAGTCAAAGGGGGAAAGGCTGATTTAGCTCACAGTTTGTAGAGGTTTTAGTCCATGATCAGCTATTTGCAAGGCAGAGTGGCTTAAGAGGGGCAACCATTCATGGCTGCAGAAAGCAGCAAGAGCAACAAGGGAGAGGAGACAAGTCTCTTCCTGTCCTTTATATCGTATGCAGGGTACTGGGATTAGGGTGGTGCTGATCCAATTAAAGGACTGACCCAGCAATCCCCGCCCTAATCCCAGCACTCTTAATCCCAGCATTACACTAGGAATCAATCACATGCTATAGATTCACCCACCTCCAAAAAACACTCTATGGCTGCATGAGGCTTTGTGGAGACATCGAGATACAAACCATAACAATGACAGTCTTTTCTTTTAGTCTTTTTTGAGGCAGGGTTTCACAATGTAGTTCAGGCTCGTTTTAAACTCACTTCATAGCCCAGGCTGGCCTCAAACTTGCAGCGATCCTCCTGCCTCAGTCTCCCAAGTGCTGGGATTACAGGCATGAACCACCACACTTGGTTAACAAGAGCAATTTTAAAATACTGAGTTTTTAAAAATTGTTTTAAAAACATGACAATGTTAAGAGCATAGGTTTTTGAAGGGATTTAAAAATAATTTGTATTATGTATCATTTTTTCTTATTCAGCAGTATCAAAACTACCTCTAGTAGCAATATATAAATCCCTAGTGACCTCTAATCATTTCTTCTGGTCGTTTTATTTTTATTTCTTTTTAATTTGAGTACAGAAAATATCCCTTTGAAAAGCACTTTAAAAAGAAGTTTTAATGTATAGTTTGGGGGTGTTTGGGAGAAATCAAAGAACTTGGCTGCCTAGTGATGATAATAGAAGTCAGTCCTGGGCCCCTAAAGAGGTTTTTTTTTTTTTTCTTATTTTGGTCTTTTTGAGACAGGGTCTCACTATGCAGTCATGCTGGCCTTGAGCTCACTTTGTACCCCAGCCTGCTTTTGAACTCCTATTGATCCTGCTGCCTTAGGCTTCCAATGCTGAGATTACAGGCATGAGCCACCATTCCTGGCTCCCTTGAGAGTTCTTGTGGGCTGCTGAGGACAATAAACCAATGAAGGCCTGGAATCCTGAGAATGGCAGTGTCTGGCAGCTGCTCAGATCTACCCCAGGACCTAGACCTTCAGCTCACACGTGGGTATCTGAAGCTGTACGTGTGGCATAATGCTTGCACTGACTGTGCTTCAGGTAGCTCCACCAGCAGGAACTAAACATCTTGTGTTCCTTGGATTCATCAAATACCAAGTAATTAATAAACAGCTCATTGGTAAACATTAAAATCAGCTGTGCAATGAAGACTTGCTTCCCTAGCACCTGCAAAGGGGAGAGTCTCATGACTTACTGTTAGGTAAGGGCAGGTCAGGGAATTTCTTCATGACCACCTCCAAGGCAGAAAGGAGAAGAGACTAGAGTTTGTATGCCCCACAAAGAGGAAGAGAAAGTCTAGTTTCCATGGGCTGCTCCAGATCGGGATCATGAATAAGAGTAAAAAAATATGTATGATAATATCATACCTACCCTTCTCAAGGGAATATTTTACAGATGTAATTTTTGTTTCTGTTCTTACATGTGTCTTTAGAAACCTCAGTGTACAAGTGCAAATAAGGAAACACTGACTTTTCTTCACTACTTTATTTTATTCAGGTCACCGGGCGTGATGGTCCACACCTGTAATAGTAGCACTCAGGAGGCTGAGGCAGGAGGTCTCTATGAGTTCTTGGCTACATAGTGAACTCAAGGACAGTCTGAACTACACAATGAGACCCTGTCTCAAAAATATGCATATATATTTTACACAGATACCCAGCCATTGTGCTAAGACCATGAGCATGAAACCTAGCAACAGTGCTTCAAGTGTCATGCAAGGTACCAGCTCCTCAGGATGAATATGTAATCATTGTGTACTGCACTAATAAAAATAAGGATTAGAAGAGATCTAATAAAATAAGTGGCCATTATTAAAAATAGACAGATGCTAATCAATTTTATATGGTTGAATTCATAGTTTATTAACTATGAATTTATTATTTATTATTAAAGTAACTAAAATATATGCACAGATTTCTTGTTGGCCTTGATGGCAGTGGCGTTCTAAATTCAATCGTACTTGAGCTGTACCCAAATTTTTTCATGTGATACTTGCTTTTAAATTAGATTTCACCTTTAGTATAGACCACAAGCATTTGTATTACCTAAAATATAATCATTCAGATAGTAAGCAATTGTGTTCAAGTAATTGCTTAAAGTCTTTGAGTCTTTAAGCTCTCTACATTTGCGCAGTTTCCTCTTCTGATACTCATGTCTATTTCAGATTATTAATGTAGAAATAGCAATTTTTCTAATTAATTTTTCACTAAAGAATGTTATCCCAATCCCAGCACTCAAGGAGGATCATTGCAAGTTTGAGACCAGCCTGGGCTACAAAGTGAGTTCAAGGCCAATCTGAACTGCGTAGTGAGACCCTGTCTCAAGAAGACAAAAACAAAAAACCCCCCAAAAAACACAAAAAACAAAAACCAGGAACATTATCCCAGTGTTGGCAGCATTGTCTGCTCTGATAGGGAAGGAGAGCTATTTGTGCTCTTAGTAGGTAGATGAATAATAGAAAACTCTAGGTGTTTACTCTCTAAGCCAGTTACTCCTTGGTTGTCTTGTTCTAGGTACTTTTTTGTTCCAGTTCCCACCTGAACATCATACGCTTAGTCAAATCAGTCAGTCAGAAGTCCATGGTTTAAGTGGCCATAGTGGTCCGTGCCTGTTATGGCTGTGTCTGGGGGTCCCCCCAAGCCTCATGCACTTTCAGACGGGGCTTCTTTGGAGGTGGCTGAATCCGGAATTTGTGATTGATTCGTAGTGCGATGTTGGGATTAAGGGTGTGAGGGTCACGCCGGGCCCAGGGCGGGTACTCTAGGTACAATAAAGGGATGGACAGAAAGAGGCTTGTTTTCTCTCCTTCTTGTCGTATTTGTTGTCTTCTGCCACCAAAAGCCATTGGCCCTCTGCTATGTGCCATCCTGCCTTGGAGCCAGCTGATTATAGACTGAAACCTCCACAAACCATGAGCTAAACCATCCTTTCCTCCTTTAATTTTGGGTGTTTGGTGTTTTGTCTCAGCAATGAGAGAACTAAGACAATTTCTGTGCTCCCATCTATTTGGGAAGGTACAGCAGGAGGATTGTCAGTTTAAGGCTATGGGCTACATAGTGATGCCCTGTATCCAAAAGTAAAATAAAATAAAATAGTGACTTAAAAGTGGTAGAAAGTTATAGGGCAGGGGATGGGAGGGGGAGAGAATATATTGCCTGATAATGATCAGATTTCACAGACAATATTCACTGGATTATTTAATAATCTTTTAAATTCTTTCCTAAAAAACATGTTTTAAGGGGCTGGAGGTTTAGCACAGCAGCATAAGCGCCTGCCTTGCAAGCACGCAGTAGTGAGTTCGATCCCCGGTACCGATAAAAAGGAAAAAGACAAAAAACAAAACAAAACATGTTTTAAAAACCTTAAAGACACTGTGTTAGCTTTCCACCACTGTGACCAAATGGCTGAGAAAGACAGCTCAAAGGGTCTCAGATGTTGCAGCCAGTAGTTGGCTGCTCTTGGTGGCAGGGCCAGGGTGCAACTGAGGAGAGCGGGAGTGTGCACCCTGCTTCCCAGGCAGCCACGAGCTGTGAGTGCCTCAGAGCTCAGCCCTGTTGGGGAAGTCGGGGCCTCAGGGTCCCGTAAGTTCCTCAGACCCCAGCAGCTGGCCACTACACTGTGCCTTTAACACGGGGAGGCCTTTGGGGGACACTTTGAATCCCAGCCATGACACACTGAAAAGCAGGTATTATAAGATTCAAATGTGTATTATGTGTTTTCCCCCCGTATTTTATAGGTTACATATCAATTGATGCCATGAAGAAATTCCTTGGGGAGTTACATGACTTCATTCCTGGAAGCTCGGGCTATTTGGCATATCATGTTCAGGATGAAATTAATATGTCTGCTATAAAAAGCCAGTTGAAAAGGAAATGTTAAGTTAAATTGGGCATTTATTTTGCATGAAATGTCACCAGAGATACGCATTTGAGACCTGGAAACGGGAAGGGGCGGAGGAGTAGAGAAACCTGTCTCTCCGTGAGGCCTCAGTGAGAATCATTTCATCTCTGGGTTGTGACATTTGTACTGGACTTTCCCGGCTATGCAACATGTCCACAAATTCCGAGCAGACAGATTGTCTTTGAATACTGTATGGGCCTCTCTCTCTGTCAAATGTTTTTTTAAATTTAATATTCTATTTTTTCTAGGGTCAGTATTGTGAATGTAAGGGTTAATGATTCTGGTTGTTTTATTTATTTATTTATTTAATTTATTTTTCTTTTTGAGACCAGGTCTCATTGTGCAGTTCAGGCTGGCCTTGAGTTCACATTGGCCCAGGCTGGCCTTGAACTCACAGTGATTGGCCTCAGCCTCCGGAGCACTGGGATTTCAGGCATAGGCCACTATGCCTGGCTTTGGCTGTTTCACTTTGAATTTAAAAGTTAGAATGCTACAATTGAGCTCTGAGTGTCAGCATAGGGAGTAAAACATCTTAACAGTTCATTCTTCTCCCCGCTGGTTGCCGATGCTGAACACCTGGGGAGGAATGGCTCTGAGCCTTAGTCCTCTGAGATGAACCCGCAAGACACCGAGATCACCGCTGCACAGGGCCTGGGAGGATGTGGGGGCGAATGCACCTACAACCATGGTCACCCACGTCAGGTGGGCCCAAGTCTCCCCGTGCTGCCCAGGCTGGCCCTAGCTCCCGAGCATCGGGGACTTGGGCGAGCCGCTGTGCCAGCTTGCGGTCCTAGCGTCTCGGCGTGATTCCCGTCTTCATTCGTGTGCGGAGGCTTGTGGAATAATTACATTTTGGAGATGTAATGACCTGTCTTTCGCAGCTGTCATCTTGTTAGAATTGCTCTTTCTTCTAGAGATGTACAGTGGCTGCAGACTGTTTCCACCGGCAACTTTCCCTCATTTATTTCTGTGGCTAAGCCCTTCTAAATCTGTAAATTAAAATAAACACAGTTAATCATCTTTTCCGGAAACATATTAAACGTTCTCTGTCCTGCATGCTTTATCTGAGTTGTTTGCTGATGGCTTCTGTCTTAGTTACTTTATGCTCGTCGCTGAGACAAAATACCTGAAGCCCAAAGTTGGGAAAGGAAAGGTTTATTTCTTACAGTTTTTGGAGGTTTCAGTCCACACTCAGTTGGCTCCAAGACAGGCAGGCATGGCTGGGCTGCAGTTCATGGTGACCGCCCACAGCAAACTCGAACCAGCAAAGAGAAAGACACACCTTCTTCCTGCCATTACATCACATCCCGGCTCCACCCCTATGTGGGTGCAGCATTGACACCATCAATCCAAGCACTATACAATGAACCATCACAAATGGACAATGCAAACTCATGAGGCCTGGGGGACACAAACATAAACCATGACAGCTTCTTACATAGCAACCAAACATGGGGGCTTTAATCGGTAAGAGGGTTACATAAATGTACACCATGTGCACTAGGGTATCTTGGAAGAGCGTATTCAGTATTTCTCCAATACCACATATGTTGATATAAGAACTACAGTGTTTCCCAACTAAAACTGATTTCATCCTCACATGTATAAAGGAAAAGTCAAATGCAATATATATACCCTTGAAACAGCACAGAAGCAACAAAATCAGTGGATACCATAAACCTGTCAGGAATTAGAAGCACACAAAGAAAAAAAATAGGGAAAGATAAACTGTCCCTGAAAGTTTACCGCCATAAGTGGAAGGGAAAGGTACTGTGCTTTCAGGTACTGTCCCTTTGAATTGTTTCTTCTCAGGGGAAATAGCTCAGCGTTTAACAATAGCAGAGTGGGGTGGCACCTTTGTCACTGTGGCTTGTTCCACAGCCTCTCCCTGGACTAATTTTGTCTGTGTTTTGTTTTTGGTGCTTGGAGTTGAACCTTGGGCCTAGTACATGCCACAGTCCAAGTTTAGCACATTTTCATCCCCCCAGAATGAGCCTGCTGCTCCTTACAAGTCACTCTACACACCCCGAAACACATAGCCACCCCCATCACTGACCTCCCTTCTGTTTCCAAGGTTCATCTATTTTTTCATACATTTTACACGAACGTTATCGTGCAGTGCATGCTTGCTTTCTGGACTTGGCTTTTACTTAGCATATTATAGTCAGGGCTTTTCCACTCTCTGGCGATTGTAATGCTTCTACGAACCCTTCATGTACAGATTTTGTGTGGTGTGCGTTCTGTTCCTCTTGGGTCAGTGAATAGCTGTGTTTAATGTTTTGAAGAACTGTCACATTGTTTTCCAGAGTAGCTCTGTCATTTTCACACACACCCCCCCCCGCCCCCCGCTAGCAATGGTCGGTGATTTCTCACTTCCTGGACAGCACTTGCTGTCTGTGCACTGATTTATGTTTGGCTGCAGCACTGTGCACTCCAGGGCTGCTCTCCTGTGGAGCTGCACCCCCAGGCCCTGCTAGCAGGTGTGATGGTGAGCATCTTTTTACATAACTGGTGGCCAGCTTTATATCTTTGGTCTATTCAAGCCTTCTGTCCACTTCTAACTTGGGTTGTCTTCTTATTATTGAATTCTAAGAGTTATTTATACTTTCTGGATACAATTTGCTTACCATATGTGCAATTTTCAAATCCTTTTTCCTAATCTGTGGTGAGGTTTTTGTTTGTTTTTTTACTTTTTGTTATGTTATGTTTTGTTTTGTTAAGGCCCTCATGTAGTTCAGGTTGGTCCTGACTTCACTATGTAGCTCAGACTGGCCTTGAATTCATAGGGGAGTCCTCCTGTCTCAGCCTCCTGAGCCTGGAATTACAGGTCTGCACTACCATGGCAGGCCCTTTCTTTATTACTGATACACTTGGCAGCATAAAGATTTTTAATTTTAATGAAATCCATTTTTTTTCAACAGGGCCTTACTCTGTAGTCTAGGCTGGCTTTGGACTCATGATGTTATGTTGCTCAGGCTGGCCTCAAACTCACAGTGATCCTCCTGCCTCAGCCTTCCAGGTTCTGAGATTATAGGCATGTACTACCATACCTGGCTTCCCTATTTTCTTCTGTTATATTTTTTATTTTATTCCCAAGAACCCTTTGCTTAGCCTAAGATCATGTAGATTTACTCCTACATTTTCTCCTAAAAAAGTCTTATGTGTAGGTCTTTGGTTAATTTTGAGTTTTTTTCTTTTTGATACTGGAAATCGAACTTGTGACCTCACACTTGCCAGGCAGTTGCTTACGCTGCTGAGCTAAATCCCCCGCCCCAATATTGAGTTATTTTTTGTATGTGGTATGAGGTGGGAGCCTGGATTGATTCCTCAGCATGCAGGACTCAGTTTTTGCAGCGCTATTCTTTGAAAGACTATAATTTCCCCTGCTCACCATGTACAGTCTCGGGGTTCCATCCCCAGCACACACACCCCCCTGTATTTTTCTCTCTGTGATGATGATGATGATGATGATGGTGTGTGTCTGTGTTTGGTACTGGGGATTGAACTCAGGGCCTTTCTAAAATTTAGAAACAGGGTTGCACTGAGTTGCTAAATTATACAAGGTGGGCTTGAACTTTTGATTCTCCTGCCTCAGCCTCCCAGAGTGCTGGAACCACAGCTCTGTGTGATGTGTTATTATAAAGAATTAAACATTGCACATATATATAACATAAAATGTAAAGACTCTTAGGATGCCACCTTGAAAGGTAATTGCTGAAACAGTACTATAAATAGCCTGGGCTAAGTGACCTCTGAGGGAACTTCTAGATTTATGAATTTATACAATTTTACTGAGTAAAAGAATCCCCAGAAATGCTATTTAGCATAACATCCCTTTAGTGTGAGTGACTCCCTAGACCCTCATGTGAAGGCCTCACTGCTGAGTGCTGTATCTCAGTGTCTTGTCACCGGAACCCACTTAAACTATCAGCTTTATTAATCTATAGACGTTACATATCTGTGTTTTTAATTTACTTTATATTCTGCATTTTGCCAAAGCAAACATATTCATGAGTGACCCCAGACTGCTACCCTGGCGTGGAGAGGGCTTCGTGTCTCAGCAGGCTTGGCCTCGGGGTGTGACCTGGGGTCTCCCCCAGCCAGGCTGCCCCTCCGAGTGTGGGGGAGGTGAGTCAGCCCCAAACTACAGGCAAACTGTGAGGACCTAGGGGGGTTTCCTTCATAAGGCAGTGAGTGGTGACCACCAAACCAGTACCTTTTGCATTCAGAGTGGAGCTCCTGGGTACAGGAATCAGTGGAGTTAGGGGCCTCTGTGAGGCGGTGCCTGTGGCCTCCCTGCCCTAAGGGGCTGGAAAACAGGCACCCACAGTAGCTGAAGGGGAAGGAATGTGCTCACCCAAGACTGTTGTGCAACTGAATTTGGAAAGAAGCTTTAAAAAGCTTTCTTAACAACAAGTGCTTGGAATAGTTTCTGCTTCCTTTTTTTGGGCAGGGGGGAAAGGGTGAGACAAGGTTTCCCTACCTACTGCGGGCTGGCCTTGAACTTGTCCATGGTGGCCCAGGTGGACCTCAATCTCATGGCGATCCTCCTGCTTCAGCCTCTCAGTGCTGGGACTACACAGGTACTCCACCACACCTGGCTGGAGTACCCTTTCCAGTGAACAGCGCCAATGTAATAGCCCTCATTTCTTCCTAAAAGATCTATCCAAGAAATGTTATTTACCTAAACATATAAATAATTACCTTAAAGGTAAGCAGTTAAATGTCTCAAGTAGAAGCTCAAAATTGGCAGTATGGCTTTTAAAGGTAATTGTATGCTGGCCTCAGATGGGGGCTCTCACCAGAGGGCCCCCACGCGACCTCAGAGCTGCGTGGGGTCTGTGAGTCCTGCTGGCCTGGAGCGTCTCTGCCTCCTTTTCCTCTAGGGCTCCTGGTCCCCCAGGCTCCTTCCCCGCAATGTGCGGTGGTTTCCCAGATCGCCCTTCTTCTGAGAAGCTGGAAGCAGCCGTTTTTTCTGCTGGCCGGTGACAAGCCTATTCTGTCTTGCTGAGTAAAGTGACACAGTGCCACTGTAGACCACCTGGCATGTGAATATTGGGATGGTCGTCTCTGTGCAGACCTTAGGTTGGGCTGTGGAGGACTCTCCCAGAATTTCAAAGAACTGGAATTACTCAATGTTGTGTGTCTTCACTGCAATTAAGCCAGAAATCAATCAAAAGCAGTAACTGCTTTGATCAGTGTACACTGTCATCCTGGCACTCAGGAGGCTGACGCAGGAGGATCACTATGAGTTTGAGGCCAATCAAGGCTACATAGTGAGTTCAAGGCCAGCCTGGACTATAGAGCAAGTCCCTATCTCAAAAAACCAAAAATAAATAAATTAAAAACAAAACAGTAAGAGGATGAGTATAGTTGCTTAGGTAATATTGATTAAATGGGCATCAAATGGAGAAGCCGGTGATGTAGCAACCACAGGACGAGAACTTTCCTGGAAGGGCTGGGTCAGGGAACTCTGGCCCTCAGACCAAGGTGCAGATGCCTGCCCAGATGGCCAACTACTGCTGTCCATCGCCCGGGACGCATGAGATGTGGTCATCCCCCTGGTCCTGAGGCCTGACCTTCACCCAGCGACCTCTGACTAAAGGACTCTGCAGTCTCTCATTTCAGGGGAAAGTGACACCAGTAAATGAGCCCCAGGGTTAGAGGGAAGCACTTCAGTGCTCGTGGGAAAGTGCAGGGTGACAGGAGAGAGAGGTGGCCTGTAATGTGTTGACCGGCGCAGCCCCAATGAAACAGGAGACAGGAGACGCTCTTGTGGACGACAGTTAACTGCTGGTTTATTTATGCGGGCTCTGTATTTCCTGGGTCAGTGGACAAAGGTCTCATTCCAAGATGGCCTCTCCTCCCGTTTTTTCACAAAACTCCTTTCCACAGTTACCAGCCACCTCTCTGTATCGTCAGTGTTCAGTCATTATAGAGGAGTATCTGGAAAAAAGAAAACTAAGGAATACTGAGACAACTTGCAAAGAGAAAAGATTTATTTTGGCACGAGGTTCTGGAGATTTCCATCCAGGATTCAGCAGTCCTGTTACTTCAGGACCCTGGCCAGGGCGGCCTGTCCAAGATTTCCTGAGACAGAAAGCAGAGAGACAGAAGGGGCTGGGGCCCCACCGTCCCTGTGTGGGCAAACACCCAGTCCCCTAAGGATTCCCTGCCCGGACCTTCCCATAAAAGACCATAAAAGCACTTCCCTGTGGCTCCACCCTGTGCCCAAGCCTCCACCTCGGGACCCTTGAGGGACACTACCCACTTCTGAACTGTAGCCCTCTCTGCTGCTAAGTCCTCTGGACACTTCGGTTTCCATATTGATTTCTTATCAGGATTCGGCCCTTGGCCATTTTCTTCTTAAAACATTGCCTTTTCCTGTGACGGCTTCATTTAGTCTCAGGTTCTTTCCTGGCCCCTCTTCCTTTTTCTGCTCTCTCAAGTACACTCTGGTGCTTGGACCTGAGCTGTCTTTTTTTATACTGTACTCTCTCCCTGGATTGTCTTCTTACTGGTTTGAATGTGGTTATACACCAGTGGTTTCCAAGCTGAACCTGGCCCTTTCAAGGACATCAAATATGCCCTGTCATTTCATTCAGATGCCTCACAGGGGTTTAAACTTGGCCAATTTAGAAATCATGGCTAATCTTTCCCCCAAATCCACTGCTCTTTTCCTGGCCGTGCCTATATCAGATGATAGCACCTCTGTCCATCCTCAGTCAAGCCAGAAATCCGGAAGCCAACCTTTTCTCTACCTTCTCCTCCATCCACAATCTAATCCTGTTTCAATTGCTATGGGAATTGTCTTCAAAATAAACCTTGAGGCCATCCATTTCCCTCCACCTCTGCTTGCACCATTTACCCAATTTCATGCTGTCTCCCCACCTGGCATCCAGCAGTGACCTTTAAGGGTCTCCTTGCTTCCCTTCTTCCTGTGCCCACTTCCTGCAACCAGTACTGTCCCCACTACCCCAAGTGCCCGTCTCCCCTGGAGTTGCTGAACTCCTGCTCTCTGAAGCTTTTCCAAGCCTTTCCAGGGCTTTCTTTAGGCTGTTAATGGAAAGCACGGTTCCCCAGCAGGGCAGCCTCTTATCACTATCACACACGGCACAGGAATTCACTAATTCAGCTTCCCCTGGTAACCTTGGTGCCCAGTTTTCCGAGACCTCACAAGGCTTTCGTTTGGTTGTTTTTCTCTTTGTTGCTATAAATAAGTAGATCTAAAAAAAAAAAAAAAAAAAGTAGATCTGAGTCTCTGAACAGTTCATAACCAGATGGAGAGAGCCAGAGATCAAGATTATACCACTGTTCTGACCTTTGGAGCACCAAAGGCCAACCACACACTGATTTTTCTTTTGTAATACAATTCGTTATGCAATCCAAATTTGCAGCAACTCAGGCTTTAGGATTATGAGTTGTCTCCTTTCTTCTACATGTGGCTTCAGAAGATCAAATACTGTGGCTTAAATTTTAAATTCCAAATAAGTTTATCGGTACCGGGGATCGAACTCACGACCACACGCTTACAAGGCAGGCGCTTATGCTGCTGAGCTGAATCCCTAGCCCCCCAAATTTTTCACAGCAAAAAAATCTACTCAGTGCAGTGTCTCCAGGTGTTTTGATATTTGATGAAATTAAACAATGGCCGGGAGAAGTTCTGTCCGTTAGGTCACTGACAAAGGAAGAGCCAGTCTGTTTTGTTGTTTGGTTTCGTTGTTTTGTCTTTTGGTTCAAAACTGCAGTCACTCTCTACCACTGACCTATGTTCCAAATTCCATTTAAAAATTTTTTTAGACAGCATCTTACTGAATTCAGACTAGACTTGAATTTGTGATCCTCCTGCTTCAGCCTCCCAAAGTATTGAGGTTACAGGTGTTCTCCAATATACCTTGTTCAAAGCTAGGCTTTCAAATTTTGTTCAGTTAATGCCTGGAAATGCCTGTTTTATTAATACTGATGTTAGGAAATTATGCGTAATTGTTTCAACTTGTTTAAATGCTATAATAATAGTTTACTTTTTATTTTTATTTATTTATTTATTTATTTGGTACCAGGAATTGAATTTATGACTGCTCACTTGCAAGGTAGGCGCTTATGCTGCTGAGCTAAATTTCCAGCCCCCTACATTTTTATTTTTAAAACGTTAACTTCTTAAAGTAAAATACTTTAAATCAAAACAAATTCTCTTTTTTTTATAAAAGAGAGTTTAATTGTTAACACTCTTCTGTTTCCTTGAGATGCTCTGGAGCCAGGTGTGGTGGCATCTACCTGTAATCTCAGCACCCAGGAGGCTAAGGCAGGAAGATCTTCATGAATTCAAGACTTGCCTGGGCTACTCAGTGAAGACCCTGTCTCAATAAACTACATAAATAATTAAATAAATACATGTGCTGGTGGTTTTCAGAGATCTTCTTTCCTTTATTTTCCTGTTTGTGTCTTAGTACCCCCCCCCCCCTTTTTTTGGTCTTTTTCCTTTTTATCGGTACCAGGGATTGAACTCACGACTGCCTGTTTGCAAGGCAGGTGCTTTATGCGGCTGAGCTAAATCCCCAGCCCTAGATTCTACAACTGGATGCTTGCCTGGTAAGTCTTGTCAGGTGTGTCAAGGATCAGACTTGAGAATGAGGTAGGTAATGCAGCCTGTTGTTTCCCTGGACACTGGGTTTATGGTGATGTGTAACGATTTTACTTGGAACACTTAAATTTTATTCTTTCACACAGTTTGGTTCTGTTTTGTTTCTATGATTGCTTGTTTCGCAAAGGCGATTAACTAGTCCCTGGAAGGATCCTTCAGCTCTGTAACATATTTTATGAAATTTCATGCTTCCATTATACTTTGTTCTTCCAATCTGTGTATGGGATTCCCAAGGCTCTTGTATTTGGAAGGCTTGAAAGGGGTACAGACTTTAAAGTGCTATCTATTCTGGTTTCGGTATTAGCTTGTGGGTTAAATACACCTCTAAATTTTAAAATGGCTGAGCATGAAGTCCCGAAAGCGTGCCCCTGCCCAGTCCGTCCCATGGCCTTCTTCTCTTCCCTGCATCCCGCCCGCCACTACTGGGGCTCCACGCTCGCGCCGTCTCCACCGGGCAGTATAGTGCCGGGGCTCTGATTGAGAAACCAGGCCTTGCCCGGCCCCACGCCTCAGGGATAGGGGCGTCCCCCGCAGCGCTTGGCACAGGGGCGCATCAAAAGTCCCGGGGCTGGTAAACGCACGGGGCGGGGCGGGGGCCGGGATGGTGGAGGCACTAGGAAACGCAATCCGGAGGCTGCTCCGAAAAGGACGCGCCCTCGGCCCGGCTGCGGGGACCTCAAGAGCAAACTCGGGGACCCGAGGTGGGGTGGTGCGAGGAGGAGCCCCACGGGAGCAGCAGCCACCTAGGAGACATGCTTGTGCTCCTCAGATTCAGGCTTGTTGCGCGCAACCTCGGCGCTGGGCCGAAGACGCATTCCCGACAGCTCCGCCGACTCCCCGAGCCCGCCGTTCCAGATCTAAACGCAGGCTTGCTGGCCGCGACCTCCGCGGACTGCTTTCGGTGGAGTTTAGCCCGCACAACGAGGATTAGAAAGCCCGAGCCCAGGTACCGTGGGGCTCACTGGCTGACTCGAACGGACGCCCCGCCCAGACAGCCCCGCCCCCGCTCAAACCCTGCCCCCACGCGGGTTCACACCTCGCCTTACGCCAAGGTGGCCCCGCCCCACACGTAACCCCGCCCCTCGAGAGCCCAGATCCCGCCGTCGATGCCAATGAGGCCCCGCCCAGCATGTAGGTCCCGCCCCCTCGAGGCCCAGATCCCGCCGTTAAGGCCTACAAGCACCGCGCAGGGCCCCGCCCCCTGTCAGCGCCGAGGAAGCCCCGCCCCGGTCGCGCTCGCTCACGAGGCCAGGCCCCGCCTCCAGCCCCTGACTACACCACTCACCGAGCTGGGACCAGAATCACTGTGCGTCCCGCCGACTCCAACCTTCACTACCGCGGCTCAAGCGACATGGCGGCGCCGGCCAAGGCCGAGAACCTGTCCCTGGTGGTGCACGGCCCCGGGGACATTCGCCTGGTAAAGGACACGGGGGCCCCGCGGGGACGGCGGGCGGGGCGGCGTCCGCCGTGTCGCCGCCGGGAGGGCTCAGTCCCGCTCGGTCCCCTCGGGTCTGGCACGTGGCCACGCTGGGACCGTTGCCCGGGTTGCCCGCGGATCAGAGCCTCCCTCTGCAGCCCTGGGCGGACAGGCAGAGGCTCCTGATGGTTAGGGTCGCAAGGGTCCCCGCGCCCAGTGTCCTCCCTACATCAGGTTCCTCCCCCAGATTGTGCTTTGGACTCTCTCGCGTTACCTTTAGGAATTCGTGCTTCTCTCTTTCCGCCTGAGACCCAGCTCGTGCCCCTGAATACAGAGGCCAAAGTTCAGGGAGCTGCTGAGTCAGCGCTGGGCTCAGGCCAGCGTTCCTTCGACAAAGTCCATCCCTGAAGGGCCTGCGTACCCCCCACCCCCCAGGAGCATGCACCAGCTGCTCCGGAGGCGGAGGCAGAAGGGTCACAGGTTGAGGCCAGCCTGAGCAATTAGTGATACCCTGGGGATGTAGTTCAGTGGTAGAGAGCCTCTGGTGCCATCTCCCGTGTTGTCAAACAAAACAAAAAAAAACACAAACATGCTCCAGAATCTAAGTTGTAGAAGAGATTCCAGTTATCCAGCTTAACAGTTCCCGAGTGGCTGAGAATCTGTGGCTGTCACAGAGTGCAGCGGACTGAGTTTGACAGCAGCCTTCGTTTCCTTTGTGGGCCTTCTGTGAGTTTGAGGGCCCAGACCAAGAACTGTTGCCTGGCACCAACTGCCTTTCCTAATTAAAGAGCATCCCATCGTGATAAGCTCAGTTACCTAACAGAGCCAGGACAGGGACTCCAGAGTACAAACACACACTAGCACTGTTTCCAGTGGCTCTGGGGACTCTTCCTGAGGTCCTAAAGGAAAGTAACACTGTTTACATGCCGGAGGAGTCCACCCAGAAGGCAAAGGGCCACCTCTTTCTGCAGCTTACAGAGAGTTCCAACTCACTTTGTTTTGCAAACATTTACCGAACCAGCTGTACCTGCCCTGTGCCCAAAGAGGGGGAGGACACAGCGCTGGATGCAGTGCAGGCTCACATACTTCCCCAGGGAGACAGGAGTAAATAATCAGAGCCTGCCATGGCTTTGATGGAAGCTGAAAAGATGAGCTGGAGGGCATACTGTGGCTTCTCTTAAACTCATAGTCCACCCTCAAGGGAAGACACTGGCCATGTTTCCATGGAGGCAGCCTCAAGAAGGGCATAAAGGTCACCAGCAGAGACATGTGCTGTGTCAGGCCACATGCAACCCAGCACAGACCTGGGCCCTTGCAGACCTCAAGTGTGGTCCACCATTCCAGCAAGGTTTCCTAGTGGGGTGGCTCAGCTCCTCAAACCCACTGGACTTGAACTCACTGTGTAGTTCAGGTTGTTCTTCAACTCATGGTGATCCTCCTGCCTCAGCCTCCTGAGTGCTGGGATTACAGGTATGTGCCACTGCATTTAGCTTAACCCTCTTCCTTAAGGCAGATGGGCTCAGGGAACTGGAGACAAAAGTGAACCTTACATTTCCTGAGCCAAATAGATGAGCTCAGTAGTGGCAGCTGTGGACTCTTTGGCCAGGCTGGATGGGAAACAGAAGATGTTCAGGGAAGGGGGAGAACTGGCAAGTTTTCCCTTCTGCGAGGAGCCCACAGGACTTAACATTGAGCTCTTCCAAACAGAGCAGTGCAGGTTGCTGATGAAAGGGTTCCCTGGCCCTTCGAGTATTGCCTTTTTTCTTCCTATCTTGCCTGCACCCAGGCAAGTGCACTGGAGGCTACGTGGCGCTAGAGCAGGAGTCCCAGCCCCAACCCCCCCCCCCCACCTCCAGCTCACACCGGGTGCAGTGGCCACACAAAACAAAACTCAGGCTGTTCTGTGAAGGTGGTAGTCACCTCACCACAGCCGGGGATGGAGCCTTAGGGTGCTGAGTAGATTCTGGGTGCATGGGCCTGGGGACACTGGAATGTGTAGGAACTGGTGATTTTCTTTCAAAATATAGAGAAAAAAAGCTCCAAACATGTAAGATCTAAGGACCACCCTCTCCTGTTTTAGACAGAGGAGGTTGGAGACTTCCAGGAGAAGAGGTAACCAAAGAGAAGCCTAGAGCCTGTCAGTCAGTGCCATGGGCTTGCTGAGGTCCCCTTCTAGCGGGCACCACCACGGGGACAAAGCCAAGTGGGACCCAGCAGGGTTTAGTTCAGCTTTGGGGCTGTGAAGTGAAGTGTGGAACTCAGCAAATTAGTTCCTGCTTCAAACTACTGGTCTTGTGCAGGGTGACTATTAGAGGGAGGATTGGGAGGTGAGGATTGTGTGACAGGGCTGTAGAGTAGACAGCGACCATGTCCACAAGCACTGAAGCATCTTGGCAGGAGCAACAGTAAAGAGCCAGACCTTAGGCCACAGGTGCAGGGACAGTTCTCAGATCGTCATCACAGTGCCAGGCCTGTGACTCCGCGGTTCCACTGGAGACTCGTGCTAGGCACGTGCCTCTGGAGCTGTCTGATGGGAGCTGACTATATTTCCAATCGGCAATGGCCAGTGTTTGTTGGCATGGCAACAGATGTGTTTTTGTTTTTGGTTTTGGATTGAAAAGGATTGAAAAGACCCAGGATATAGCTCAGGTCATAAACGCCTGCCTGGCAACAGTTCTAACCACTTTTGTGCATTGCATCACAACCAGCAAGGGTGCAGGGCTGCACACAGCCTCCCTGCTTCCTGAAAACCAGCTCTTCTGGACCTGAAACAACACAGTCCAGGCCCCAGCACCCTGCAGGGGAGGTGGGGTTTGTGCTGTGCTTTGCTCTAAGACAGAGCAGGTAGTAAAGAAAAAACAATCAGTAAACCTGATGGGTTGATGTTGCTTAATTATAGAAGGAAGGGGAAATGTGTACCAGTGTTAAGTTTAGATGTTAATCAGCAGTACTGCAGTGATATTTTTTAAAAAGATCACCCTTCCTGCAGTACAGCCTGTTAGATATGTCCTATTCTGGCCCTGTGTGCTCTGCTATTAGAATTTCAGAGGGAGAGAAAGGAATTGTATGAGGCCCACACCTGGGCATCCTCTCTGTCTCCCCACTCTTTATTTGTTTTCTTTTCTCCAGTGCTGGGGATCAAGCCCAGGGCCCTGCCCTGCTAGGCAGGTGTTCCAAATCTGAGCTACATCTCAGCCTGCATCACACCGTTTCCCTGTCTGTGTTTGCCTGCACAGACAGAGCCAGCCGCTTCTGCAGCATTGGATTGAACGATGGTCACTGAGGAGTTGCTGGTGTAAGCCTCAGGCATTCCTGGGAAGCCAGTGATGCAGGCTGCTTGGCCCCAGGGAGTTTCAGCGAAGCTTAGCAGTCAGCAGTCACTGAAAGCAGCACAGCCAGTTCCTGCAGAAAAAAACGGTGGTAGCAAACAGCCCAAAGAATTCTGCCCTTTCTCTCTCTCTCTCCTTTTTTTGAGACACAGTCTCGCTTTCGCAGTTCAGGCTGACTTTAAACTCACTTTGGGGTCCAGGCTGGTTTTGAACTCATGGCAATCATCCTGCCTCAGGCTCCTGAGTGCTGGAATTGTAGCCTCCCTGCCTTGATGTAAGCTGTGTTTCAGCAATGAAACAAAACCCAAACCAGCTAAACCACGTCAAGTACTAAATAAGAAATGAAGTCCAGCAAACTGTATCTCTGCCTGCCTTTCCCAAGCTGCAGGGAAAGGCCTGAAAGGCCCAGGGCCACCGAGCTAACATTTTTATCTCAAAATTGCAGAAGCAGGACACACCACCAATAAGGTTTTATTTATTTATTTACTTATTTGTTTTGTTTTGTTGTTGAATCTAACTTAGGACCTTATGCTACTAAGCTATATCCCTGGCCCAGGATTCTAATGTTATGCAAAAGTAGCCCTGGAGGAGAAACTAGAATTGTGTGCGTGAGGGAACATAATCTTTTTAAAATTACACGGCAAGCCGAATGTGGTGGTGCATGTTTGTAATTCTAGCTACTTAGGCTGAGGCAGGGCAGTTGTGAGTCTGAGGTAAGACCATGCAATTTTATAACTTAGTGAGTTCCTGTCTCAGAATAAAAAAAAGGTATGGGGGTGCAGCTCAGTGGTCAAACACTTTCTGTGAGTGTGCAAGGCCTCAAGTACTGCAAGAAAAGTAAAGCTGCATGACAGGAAAGTTAAGAAGGAGAAATAGGTACACGTATATACAGTACTGGCATCTAGTTTTGGAGTCTTTTTGCATGGCTGTTAAGGCTGGCAATTTTCCCCAAACCAGATTTAGATTAAGGACATTATTTATGAGGGAAAATGTGCAGATTTTGCAAAGTGATATTTGGCTTAACACGTTTAAAAACCACACACATATTCAGTTACACAGAACAGAGCCCTGGGAACAGTTTTACCTTAATGCAGACTGGAACTCAGCAGCTTAGCGATTTGCTCAGCGTAAAGAAACATTCATACATGATGTAAGGTTGTCGTGTTCTTACATTCTGAGTTGGGGGAGCTTTTGGATGCTGCACGCTGCTGAGAATGAAATCATGCTTTAATTATGCTGCCAGGGTGTAATGCCAGGTGGGCAAAGACCTGCAAGGGAGAGGAAGCCGTCTTTCTGACAGGGAAGGGACCTTGCAGCAAGTGACACTATAGAGTCACTCCCAGGAATATGACTGCCCATGGGAGATTGTCTTGATGTCCCCAGACACCTTAGGCCCAGCGTGGCCAAACCTTAGTCACCCTGAGTTCCCACAGGATGTAAGGGGCCTCAGGATCTCACTATTCAGTTCACGCTCACCTTAAACTTGCTATATAGCCCAGTCCTTGAACTTGATCGATCCTCCTGCCTTAGCTTCCTGAATGCTGGGATCACAGGTGTGCACCGCCATGCCCATTCATAGAGATCTTGAAGTCCCAGGGAGGATGACCACATGCAGAGGGGCTGCTCTGGGAGGGACATGGGATTTCCCAGGGCCACTGGGGACTGTAAACAGATTTGCATTTTAGGAAGATTGTTATCAGCAGAACAAAGGCTACATGGAACCAGCCCAGGCAGAGGATCAGCAGCCTGGGCTTTGGGAGCAGGCTAAGCCCTGGCTTTGACCCCATGTGCCGATAGGAGGCAGAACAAAGCCTGCTGGGAGAGAATGGTCACTGGGAACCTTTGAGTTTTCTTCCCACCTGCCAGATGCCCTTCAAAGACTCAAGGTCAGGGGGAATGTGGGGAAGCGAAGCTGACAGAGGGTCTTCTGCTCCATCAGCATCACAGGGGCCTGGCATGGGGAGTAAGCAGCAGAGGCATTGGCCGGGACCTGGGGCTGGGCAGCGGCTGCCTTCCCAGTCTCCCCAGTCCTGCGGCTGTCTGTCTCTCCTGCCTTAACCTTTTTGCACGATTTACAGAAGCAAGCGAAAAACACTGGGGAAGCTCCACATGGTGGTGGACAGTTGTGATCCCAGCACTCAGGAGGCAGAGGCAGGAGGATCCCCACAAATTTGAGGCTAGCTTGGGCTCCATACTGAATTCAGGCCAGTCTAAACTACATACTGAGACCATGTTTCAAAAAACAAATGCACAGCAGAAAACACTTCTGAAACCTTGCTTCACTTCCTGCCATATCTGAAATTCTGCTTCACTTTCTTACAAATCCCATCCTTTTAAACTAGTCAGATATTAAGGGTAGTACGGAAACTACAGGAAAACAGCTTCCCCTCAAAGGAAAGACAAAAAGACCATTTGCAGAAGGACAAGGACACCCAGTGTTGGGTCACCCATGGTGATGTAATCATGGAAGCAGAACTTTGATTTTATGTCTTTTGTAACGCGAGCAAATCAGTTTTCTTTGGGGTGGGCCCTTGTTTTTTTGACTGTTTTGGAGATTTGAAGGCAGAAATCAAGATCCATGGTCATGTGACCACCCCGTGCAGCACAAGCCAGGCGCCTAAGGGCATCAGCAGCAATTCTGAGGGTCGCCTGCAGGGGGCGCCCTCATCGGGTTCCCCTTGGCTGGGGCTGGGTAGTGCCTCAGGCCAGGTGTGTCAAAGGCCAGGACTTGGGGTGCTGCTGAAAGAGAGGAGGCTGCAGATAGGAGATGCACCCTGCAGCTCCCCAGAGTGTCTGTGTGGGAGCCGGGATGAGCATTTAGCAAGCGAAAAGTCTGGGGCTCTTCCTGGAAGAGGCTGTGGGGTGCCGCGGCTGGAGGGGCCGAAAGGTGGGTGGGTGCATGGGGTCAGACAGATCCTTGGGACTCGAGGGAAAGGGCCGCAGCATTGACCTCAGACCCTGGAAACCACCCAGGACCTTGTCACCCCTTTCTCACCATCACGCAGGCAGAGAGAGATCTCATTGGGGAACTTGAATAGTTCAGGGCCCACAGAACCTTTGGGAACAAAGAGCGTGGTTGTAGGAATGAAACAGGAAAGTTGAGGAGGCAGGTGTGTGGTGCTGGGACTCGAACTCAGCACCTTGCCCTGCTGGGGATGCCTTGCCCCGGAGCCACGCAGCCAGCTCCAAAACCCCGGGAGCAGACAGGTGAGATGAACGACGGGGCACCACCCCGGAACCTGACACAGGCAGCATGGAGACAGGACCGTAGCCAGCCCAGAGCAAGGGACCCTGGGAAGGGTGCACTGGTCGTTTGAGGACCCAGCAACGTGGGAACCCCGCTGTATCAGGGTCGTGTGTCACGCCCCCAGGCTGACTGCATGGTCCTGTGCACAGGAAGGGGAGGCAGGGGCGGGCCCTGAGCTGTTGGGGTGCTCAACGGCTGCAAGGAGTGGGGGTGAAGGTGACTTCCGAGAGCCCAAGAAAAGCCAGGCGAGCTGTTGGCACAGCGCCCTCTCGTGTCTGGCCAGGCAGGGTGCCACGCCTTTCTGAGGTGTCCTGGCTGCTGCCCTGAGCCTGGGAGGAGAGGTTGCTGGGATGCCAGCAACAGCAGGCGGAGAGTGGGGACCCAGGCCTGGCTTCAGTCTCCATAGACTTGCGGTTTCAGGCTTCACCCAGTGTAGCATAACTGTATTCAGCCTAATGTCACATGTGGGGCCGGCGACTTCTTTGAGCTAGGTGTTGGTGGCAGTTCTGCTAAAGGTGACCGTTTCTAGATGGGTTCTGTTCTTCTTTGCTCACCTTTAAATTATTGAGATTTAAAAAAAAAAAAGCTGTCTGGAGTGCGCTCCCCGTACACTGGGATGCCAGCTTTGCTTTTGTTCATTTGTTTGTTTGGAGATGGGCTCTCACTATGTTACCAGCCTGGCTTTGAATCTCAGGCTCAAGCAATCTTCCTGCTTCAGCCTCCCAAGCAGCTGGGACCATAGGCACATGCCAACAGGCCCAGCAGCCAAGTGGGCTGTTTTGGGCACAGCTTCACCATTTACTACCTTAGCTGTACTGCAGACAATTTGCTCAATCCTGCAGTCCCTCAGTCTTAGCCTCTGGCAAATGGGATCATAGGATGTGCCAACCTAGGGGCGTAAGGCGGTTTAGATGAAATGGTGCCTGTAAAGTAGTTAGCACACAGCACCTTAAAAGCAGGGCTCCATTGCTCAGTGCCAACCCACGAGCCTTAGCAATCATAGTTGCTTGGGCTTTCTTTCATTTGAAAGCTTCAGGTAGCCCTGTGCTTCCTCTGTGGAGAGGGCCAGTCTTCAAGACTCAAAAAAGTTGTTTAACAGGTACCACCACCTGGCTCTGATACCGGCCTCTGTATGTGGTGCTGAGAAGCTGGCAGGCTTGGTCTTTGGGCTGGGCATGTGGTGCATGCTTGTAATTGCAGCTAATCAGGAGGCTGAGGCAGGATTGGGAGTTCAAGGCCAGCCTGGACAACTTAATAAGACCCTGTCTCAAAGATAAAGTGTAGCTTAGTGGTAGAGCACTTCCCAAGCACACACGAAGCCCTGGGGTTGAGCCCCGGTATGAAAAGCAAAACTCAAATGCCGTGATCTGAGGCACCCAGGACTTTATTTCCTACCTCGTTCTCGAGACAGCGTGACAGCAGCCAGCAGCCTCTGCAGACACGAGAGGCTGTGGACACAGCAGCTGTGGGCGGTGCCTCCTCACCAGAGTGATGGCGCTGCAGGTCAGCAGAGGACAGGTACCCTGCCTCTGGGGTGCAGCAGGGATGCTCCCACTGGAGGTCCAAGAGTCCACTGTCGGTGCTGCCATGGTGCCCAAGGCCGCCGACTGCCCAGCTGAGGGGTCCCTTGCTCTGGGCCTCGGTGCAGGCACAGCAGGTGTGCTGCTGCCCCTTCCTGCTGTCCCCTTCCTGCCCACAGGGTGACAGGGAGCACGGCAGTTTGGCTGCCTGGGGACTGCCTTGTGGCCAGAACCGTACCTGTCTGTTTGGCGTGGGAAGGAGTGAATTCTGCCACTGCTGCTGCTGCTGAGCAGAGTACTAGTAGGGCCCCAGATGCTTTCTGAGCCCACAGGAGTGGCCAAGAGGCAGCTCTCATGTGGTCTATCGGGAAGCAGCCCTGGGGCCTTTCCTGGGGCATAGACCCCGCCAGGCAAACCCGGGCCTTTGCATGGCAGGCAACCCGAGGTCCCTCCCACCCTAGTGCATCTGGCTGGCTCGCTCCTGGTTCCTGGACAGGCTGCACCAGAGGGCAGCGTCCATTGCTGTCCACAGCTCTTCTCCGAGATTGCACTTTAGGCTCCTGGGCAGTGGTCGTCCCAGGGAGGGCGGCTTCAGCACTTTGTCCCTTTGCAACAGCACTAGGGGCGAGGAGAGTGGTTCATTGTGCACCTGCCAAGCTCAGTGGGCTCCAAGGCTGGACTGGTTGCTCCCTTGGCCGGTGGCAGAGGCTGGACAGGCTTTTCCAGCTGTCGGTCACGGAGCCACTTCCATCCACACCCACAGCAGTGTGGGCTGAGCTGTGTGAGTTCTGAGAAGCATTTTTGTTTTTTGAGACAGGGTCTCACTCTTTAGTCTAGGCTGTTTCTGGCTTACTGTGTAGCCCGGACTGGTCTCAAACTCACGGTGATCCTCCTGCCTCAGGGTTCCAGGCATATGCTACCATGCCTGGCAAGAAATTTTTAAACAAACCTCACTTCAGTTTTTTAAAATGGGAAATGCTGGGGAGGCTGAGCCATGATGCACTTTGATGGCCTTTTCTGTTTGTCTCTTTTAGGAGAACTACCCCATCCCGGAACCCGGCCCAAACGGTAGGTCCTGGGGAGGGAACTGGGCTGCATGTCTTACCTGTTTGTCTGGAGATGTGTGTACTCCTCTGCTCCTCTGGGCCTCCTGTTTCTGCTGTTGCTCCCATTAAAAAGCAAACACACTCCAGGGCGCTGGGGCTGGAAGATGGCAAATTCAAGCCCAAGCTGGGAAATTTAGTGATTTAGTGAGATCCTATCTCAGAATACTTTTTTTTTTTTTTTATTTTTTTATTTATCTCAGAATACTTTAAAACAGCTGAGGATGTAGCTCTGTGTGAAGGCCCTCAATTCATTCCCCAGTGTTTTGTTTCACTGTGCAGCCCAAGCTGGCCTCAAGCTCACAGTGATCCTCCTGTCTCAGCCTCCTGGGTGCTGTGATTCCAGGCATGCTGGTGGCATCAATCCCCAGGATTGCTGACTTGTTCCCGAGTTCTCAGTAGGAAGTACAGGGACCAAAGGCAGAGCCATTCCTTTTGTGCCCTGGGTGCCACCCTGGGGTGGCCAAATTGTGCCCTCACCGTAACCCAAACACTGAAGAGCAGTGAGTCCACAGAACTTGATCTTTTAATCAGCCTAGGGAGCCCAGAGCAAGCAACTTCCAGGAAGGCCAGGGACTGTGGGCTGGAGTAGCCTCCTGTGAGCAGGAGGACCTGTGGGAGCCCTAATCAGCCAGGCCCAGATCCGGCGCACTGTGGGCAGGGCGCCTGGTGCCTCTGCCCCATTCCTGCAGGCCTCGCACCCGGAAACCTGCATCTTCATCTGAGGGGCTGAGAGCAGAGCGTCTGCAGATTTCCAGACCCTGCCATGTGGGTCCCCTTCCTGCCCTTGGGCTGTGTCCCCACTGCCCCCCCCCCCGTCCTGCCCTGATGCAATTCAGGGAGAAGGCCCGGAGCCTTGCTATTCAGAGGTCAGTGAGCTGTTGACTGACGGCGATAAGACGAGAGCCGCACTATCAGAGAGGAGAGGTCATGTAGATTTAGGGTTACACACCGAGCCTGGGATATCGTGTTCAGAGGAGCCAAGGAGACACCTCACTGTGTCCTGAGGAGTTGGCGCCGACTGGAGCGCGTACAGGGATTTCCTCATCTCCGGCCAGGCCAGACCGGAAGGGGTAGGTCCTGATGAGTCAGAGTGGGCTTCTGGCTGTCTGTCTGTCTTTCTTTCTTTCTTTGGGGGGTCGTGGGAGGATTGAACCCAGACTCTTCACATTGAGCCACATCCCTAGTCTTTTGGTGTTTTGTATTTTGAGGCAGGGTCACAATGAATTGGTCAGTTGCCTGGGGTGTGATTCTCCTGCCTCAGCCTGCACCACCGCACCTAGCAAAGTTTTACTGGTGGTGCTAGGGGTTGAGTCAAGGACCTCAGGCCTGCTAAGCAAGCGTTCTGCCACTAAGGCACATCCACAGCCCTGATTGCTTTTGAACTTTTGCTAATTTGTTTCATTTTTTTGTAGAGCATACTTGACAAAATCATATATTAAGGTGTACAGCAGTGTGTTTTGAGATCCACAAGCGCTATGAAATGTTTCCTACAACCAAGCTAGTCAGTGCTTCGTGTGCTTAGAGTAATTATTCATTTCCTGCACTCAGAAACATAATAGCACAAGCCAAAAACTGTTCTCAAAGAAAAAGAGATGTGCCCAGCCTTCTAGGCCCCAAGACAGATTAAGCAAGCCAGATTCTGGGCCAGTTCTTGATACTGTTCTACGTGAGTGCCCCCCCCCCCCCTTTTTGAGAGATAGTCTCATTATGTAGTGCAGGCTGGCCTTAAACTCAGGGTTATCCTCCTGCCTCAGCCTCCTGAGTGCTGGGATTACCAATATGGTCATTTTTATCAGACAAAACTGGTACCTCTTCAGGAGTTATCTCAGTTGATGTGTTCAGGGGTGTCATTATTTTAAACTTGGATACTTGACAAAAGCAGTACCACCAGCCAGATATGGTAGCAAGCGCTTCTAATCCCAGCAGTCAGGAGGCCGAGACGGGAGGACCTTTGTGAGTTCGATGCAGTGAGACCCTATCTTAAAAACAGAAAAAGCAGTCCCATCATGTGTGCCTTTGTCAGAGCCCTTGGAGGGGACGCGTCAGTTGAAATTTTGGGATGGTTTTTTGTTTTGTTTTGAGCTATGTAATTCAGTCTGGCCTTCAAGTCCTTATGTAGCCCAGGCTGGCCTTGAACTCACTGTCACTCTCCTGCTTCAGCCTCCTGAGTGCTGGGATTACAGGCCTGTGCCACCATTCTTGGCTGGGGTGTTTCCAGCGAAGCTGCGCTTTTTTAGCAAACGGTGAGCACGAGCAGCTCCATGTGAGTGTGGCCACGTGTTGCTGTGCTGAGGTTCTGCCGGCCTCGTGGGGACTGAATGAGGATGGGGTGCAGCTCAGTAGTTGTCTAGAACAGTTATCTCCCAGAACAAAACAGTTTGTTCTCCTGAGTGGCTGGTACACTTCTTCCTAATATCTTGTTTACACCTGATTGCTCAGGCTCTCCAGACAAACAGAACACACAAGATACGCGCGTGTGGGTAAATGTGTGCGTATGTAGGGAGGTAGGCGCGGGAGTGGAGAGGGAAGTTTGTTTTAAGAAACTGGCTGCAGTGATTGAGGGCGCTAGAGGTTTGAGTTTGGTAAGGCAGGGTAGGGCAGTAGCCTGCAAAGCTCAGGTGGGGTTTTTATGTTAGAACTCCAAGAATTCTTTTCCTGTAGGAAATCATAGTCTGCTCTTAGGACGTTCTTCAACTGCTTGGACCAGGCCCACCCTGGTTATGGGGTAATCTGGTCTGCTCAAAGTGTCCTTATGCTAATCACACCTAAAAAATACCTTCACAGCACACCGAGACTGGAGCTGGACCAAACAGACCTGGTGCACACACAGTCACTTTACTCTGCAAGGGCTTTTCTGCCTTTCCAGGCGGAGTGGGGCTTGCTCTTCCATTTCTTTCCCTTGTGGCTGAAACCGAGCAGCCAGCCCTGCCCAGAGCAGAGGGAAAGCACCGTCCTCGTCCTCTCCCCTCTCCCAGAGGTGCTGCTGCGCATGCACTCTGTCGGCATCTGTGGCTCCGATGTTCACTACTGGCAGCACGGGCGGATCGGGGATTTCGTGGTGAAGAAGCCCATGGTGCTGGGGCACGAAGCGTCGGGGACTGTTGTGAAAGTGGGGTCATCGGTGAAGCACCTGAAAGCAGGTGAGCCCAGCTGGGGAGCCTGTGGCCAGCAGGGAGTGTGGTGGGCTGGGGGCCAGGCGGGCGGCAGATGCCTGGAGCGGGATGGCCCATGCATCCTGAGGGCAGCGAAGCTCCTGGGATGCAGCCTTTGATGTTTACATGGGGGGCACCTGTGCTTCCCTGGGCTTGCTGACTTTGTTCTCCCAGGGGCGGCAGCATCAGCCGTGGCTGGCTCTGTGGTGCCCCTGTCATGGAAGGCAGACCAAATACGGGAAGAAACAGCACCCAGAAGGTTCAGAACGCACTTTATTACCCTAACAGGCTTTGGACTAGGGTCTCTCCCAAAGTGCCAGAGTCTGCCCCAGCAGGCTTTTGGGACTTGTAAAGGCAAAGTGCTTGGGGAGGTACACAGGCAGATTCGGTGTAAATGCTTGGAGGGCTGGGTGACACCACGGGGTGCTGAAGGATCTGAACATCTCAGGTCACATCATAAGGCTGTCAGCTGCACAAAGGCAGTAAAAACACCTCAGGTTACATTGTAGGGCCGTCAGCTGCACAAAGGCAGTAAAAACGGGTTCTGCAGAAAAAAGGATCTTATCAGGCTTGCCCATGTCCGCTGGGCTTGGCAGGCATTGTTTTGTCTAAAATTTTAATTCCCTTTCCCCCTGGCACACTGGGTTACACCCAGCTGTCTAGACACAGCTGGCCTTTGGCCCTAGCTTTGCTCTGTGAACGAACAAGGGCACCGGTGGCCTAGAGGTGACAGCGGACTGGAGGGAGGCATGGGTTTGCAGAAGGTGCCGCCTGCCCTGCATTGCTTACGAGGCTGGCTGAGCCCAGCCACGTAGAAGGGGTTGGCAAGCTCAGAAGTTAAACCTGGGTCTAGTTTGGACTCCTAAAACAGGACTAGCTGCGCATGCTGGTGTACACCTGAAAGCCCGGCAGTCTGGGAGGCTGAGGCAGGAGGATCACAAGTTTGATCTGGGCTACTTAGTGACTTGGTGATACCTATCTCAAAATAAAGGATTAAAAAGTGTGAATACCCTGGGTTCAATCTCCAATGCCACAAAGCACACAAGGGAAGGTGAAGCGGAACCAGGAGGCAGAGGCGGCCCTGGGCGTGGGCACAATGCTCTGGGGCTTCTGTGCCACTTCGTTCTTTTTTTTGTCTTTTTGAGACAGGGTCTCTCTGTGCAGTTCAGGCTGGCCTTGAGCTCAATTTGTAGTGTAGGCTGGTCTCAAACTCACAGCGATCCTCCTGCATCAGCCTCCTGAGTGCTGGGATTACAGGTGTGAGCCACCACACCCGGCGCCACTTCCTTCTTAATAAAGGCTTTTGTTAACTGGTCGTAGGCTTTGATGTGAAGTTCTAATGAACTAACCCAGAAAGAAGAAAACTGCTCATTGAAGGGGTTGGGGATTTAGCTCAGCAGCATAAGCACCTGCCTTGCAAGCAGGTGGTCGTAAGTTCGATCCCCCGTACCAATAAAAAGAAAAATGAAAAAAAAAAAAAAAAAAAACTGCTCATTGAAGCCGGGCGTGGTAGTGCATGCCTGTAACTCCTGCACTTGGAAGGTTGAGGCAGGAGGATTGTTGCAAATTTGAGAACAGCCTGAGCTACAAAGTGAGTCCAAGTCCAGCCTGCACTGCACAGTGAGATCCTGTCTCGAAAAGACAAAGAAAAAAAAACCATACTCATTTTAACCTGTATTTCTCTTTCCTTTCTTCCTCGCTTCCTTCCCCTTTCCTTCTTTTTCTTTCTTCCTTTCATTTTTACCCCTCTCTTTTTTTGTTGTTTTGTAGCCCAGGTTGGCCTTGAGCCTCCTGCTTTGCCTGCCAAGTTCTGGGAAGACAGGTGTGCGCTACCGCACCTGGCCATGTGTTTCTGCCTTTTTCTGAGTGTTCCTTGGCCGTGCATATTGAGCACATTCGCCCTGGGAAATGGCATCTGTCCCCGCTGCGTCTTTTGACTTCCTCTTCTCCTCTCCCACTCCTGTTCCTTTCTCATCTCCTGCAGTCTCTGCACTTCTTCGTGTTGGTTTATACAGTGTAAACCAGGGGTCTAAGGTGTGGCACTGCCCCGATTTATACACAGCCCAGCTACCCATCTGTGGCCTGGGTTTCCCCTGCAGTAATGCCAATTCTAGTCATTAGGACTGTTTCACAGATACTGTCACCACCCTCAATGAGCAGTAACTGTTTGCCGAGACTCTACAATCTCCTGTGAGTGCTTTCTTTTCTATCTGTTTGAGATAGGGTCTCACTATGTAGCCCAGGCTGGCTCAAACTCACAGCGATCCTCCTGCCTCAGCTTCTTCTTTGGGAACTTTCAACACAAAAAGAGAGCTTAGCGCTTCTCTCTGGAAAAGGCAAGATGTCTCACATCCGGCCTAGGTCCCGACGTCCTGTGGGGCTCAGGAGGGCCCGGGCCCTGTGCATATGACCGTGTCAGCGTCTGTCTCCTGCCTGCAGAGGCCTGGCTGGTTGGTAGCCCGGCAGTGCTAGCCCAGTGCCTGGCACACAGGGGACCCTTGCTGGATGGTGGTCCGGGTTCTGCTACCTGCAGAAAGCTCTCCCCACTCGGTGGCTCTGTTAGCAGGCGGTGTGGCATCCTGGGCCTGGTCACTCCAGGTGTGTCCCCTCCCCTGCATCCCTTCTGGTCTCCAGCATCCCTGCTGGCTGCTGAAAAGGGAGGTTTCTCCTGCTTGCTGTGGAGCTGCTGCCCCTCCCAGGAAGTGGGGGCCACCAGGGCTCCTGGGGCGTGAGCCGCACCAGCAGTGCGTGTTAAGGCTTTTCTTTTTGAGACATGGTCCTGCTATGTAGTTCAGGCTGGCCTTGAAGTCACTTTGTAGCCCAGGCTGGTCTCAAATTTGCAACAATCCTCCTGCCTCAGCTTCCCGAGTGCCGGGCTCTCAGATGTGCACCTCTACGCCTGGCTGGTGTGTGTTAAATTTCTAAAAGTGCGTTTCTTTTCTTTTCTATCTTTTGCTTATCTTTCTTTCTTTCATTTATCTTTTTTTTTTTTGAAAGTATACAACAGAACAAGTCAGAATAAAGCCAAGTAAGATTGTACAGTGAAATTGGTACAGAACTTCACAGCAGGTTACCGAGGTAACAGTAATAGGTATCATAGTTTATTTTGTTATCTTTATAATAGTTGTTCTTTCAATCACGTATATCAAAATAAAATGAAATACAGAACATTATAGAACTTATCAAAACAGAATATTGAATAGAGCAGTACCATTAATCAGAAAAGAGCAAAACAGTAATGAAAATATTTGCCTTCAAAGAAATGGTAGAAGGAAGTCCCCCTTATTTGCTATGGCCAACCTCCCAGGAGACGCTCAGATTTCTGGTTCCCACTTGCTAATGGACGGGGAGGGGGAGAAGAAGGAGGATAGGGGAAGTGGGATATTTGACTCTAGGCCATGAAGCAGTAGGTTCACTATTGCTAAGCAGGGAGGCAGGATGGTCATTTGCTTTCACAGCGTCCTCAGTTCTAACATGGCGAGGATCTCAGGAGACACTGCTGGTTCTCCCCCTGGAAGGGCTGCAGTGGGCTAAACTACCACCGCTTACCAGGGAGGGGAGGTGCTGGCTTGGCTTCCCAGAGTCCTCAGTTCCAAAATGGTGTGGATCTCAGGAGACACTGCTGGTTCTCCCCCTGGAAGGCAATTTATCTTTTTTTGAGACAGGGTCTCGCTATGCAGTTCAGGCTGGCCTTGAGCTCACTTTGTAGCCCAGGCTGGTCTCGAACTCTCAACGATCCTTTCACCTCAGCCTCCCGAGTGCTGGGATTACAGGCGTGAGCCACCACGCCCGGCTTAAAAGTGCATGTCAGTACAAGACACTTGCCACGAAGTCTCTTGGAATCCTCTTCCACGTGTCACACACACCTGTCCCACGGTTCTCACCCCTTTCTGAAGCAGCGTTGAGTCCTGTCTCCTGAGTGTCTTTAGCTACGCTGTCCTGGCAGCCTCACTGATTCAAAACATTTCCCTGTCATGGTCACTTTGATGTTGGGGAAGAGCCAGAAGTCGCAGGGTGCCAGATCCAGTGGTCAGGCAGGCAAGGATGCAGGGGATTTACTGTTCCTGTGAACTGCCTCTCCGCTGGGGGGCTCCACAGATCACCCTGCACTGTTGGCCACACCTCAGAAAGACACCGAGGAAATAGCACTTGCAGAGCTGCTGCAGAAAGTGGAAAGGACCATGGGACACATGCATTCCCGTGAGGGTGAAGACTGCTGGGGAATCAGGACTGTGTGTTCTGCTTACTGCAATGAACTGGTACATTTTGATCCCAGTGTGTGCACTGGCCTAGTGCAACGGGAGATGAAGTCCAGCAGGGGCTTCAGTGTGTCCCAGCAGCAGGGCAGCAGGACCTCCTGCAGGGTCACTTCCACCTCCTCCTAGCATGGAGCAGGGACTGCACTGGGCAAACGGCTTCTGGGGCAGGATCTCTGAGAGCCAGGCCAGCAACAGGGCCCAGGCTGCTCAGACTCCACCTTCCCCTGAGGACAGAAAAGTGTCACTTCATCTTTGCCAGCACCTCTGACTCACGGTGTTCAGGGAAATGTTAATCTGACAATTGTGTCCCAGGGTTTGCTCTGCTCCAATTTACAACACTTATGTTTAGCAATAAAAATGTGTCTAGCACAGTTATGGTGGGGTAATATATGGAACAGACAAGTCACCTCCAGGGTTTGTCATCCTGGATGAAGAGGCAAGACACTCCTAAAAACACCCAGAAGAACCAGGTGTGGTGGAGTATACAGCCCTCGGGAGGCTGAGGCAGGAGGATCACAGTAGTTTAAGGCCAGCCTTGGCAGAGTGAGATGAGACCCTGTCTCAAGAAAACAGAGACAAACAACCCAAAAAGCTGGAAACCACTCGATGACTGACAGGGTGAGGGCTAAGCTGTTTGTGGTGAACTCACACAACAGATCATCTAGCCACAAAGTAGAGCAAACTGTAGATGCCACGGTGACTGGAGGTGAAGGATGCAGAGGGGCACCACCCAGTGATCCTGTTCCATGCTGCCCTGGGGGCAGGCAGTCCCAGTCGATGGTGGATAAAATCAATATATTGCTTGAATTGGGAGTGTGAGAGATTGACTAGGAAGGGGCAGGAAGAGTCAGCTTGCTCTCTCCTCTCTTTCTTTCTCTCTAGACAGGGTCTCATGTAGCTCAGGCTGGCCTCAAACTCAAGGAGATACCTTCTGCCTCAGCATCTCGAGTGCTGGGATTACAGGTACCACACCCAGCTAAAGTGAGATGTCTGAGGCAATGGTAGGTTCTGTGTCTTAATGGAGATTTTCATTACACAGGTGAATTTGTTTATAAGCATTAATCTAATGATCCACTTAATACATTCCATTATATCTAAGTTTTAATTTTAAAAAGAAGGAGTAAGTGTTGGGCTGTAATAAGTGGAAATGCAGTTTTGTTTTGTTTTATTTATTTTTGAGATAGAGTCTCACTGTATGCAGGCTGCCCTTGAACTTGCCACATAGTCCAGGCTGACCTCAAACTCAGTTCTCCTGCCTCAGCCTCCTGGATGCTGAAGGCTGGACTTTAAGGGTGGACTGTGCCAAGGTCTGCATCCTACTTTGAAATGCATCAGAGTAAGAGCCTGGCCATGGAGGACAGGGCAATGGGAGGGGTGGCCTCGAGATACGGCATGCGGGGCTCGGGTCCCTGGTCCCTATAAGAGGCTGAGTGTTGTTCCTGGATTCTTTGGCCTTTGGTGTCTGTCTGAAATTCTCATAATAAAAGACAGTTTAAAAAAAAAAAAAAGGAAATGAGAGAGCGGTACTGGGGCTGGCTTTCCAAGCAAGGCAGAGCTCGTCCCACTGGGAGAGGCAACACACGTTGGTGTCCGTCTCTCTCTGCTGCACCAGAGCCTGACCCACAGCAGGACCTTGGCCTTGGCAGTTCTGCTAACCAAGAATCACTCGCTCCCAGTTTATTGTCTAAATGCAAACAGACTAAGCCAAAATCAGGTCATGTTACAGCTTTTATCTTTGGAATGATCTTGTCCTATATTTTCCTTTTCTCCTTCCTTTTCTTGTTTTTGGTTTTGGATTTTATTTATTTATTTATTTACGTATTTATTTGAGACAGCTTCTTGCTATGTAGTTCAGATTGGCCTGGACCTCACTATGATGTAACCCAGGTTGGCCTCAAATTCCTGGTGACCCTCCTGCCTTGGCCTCCCGATTGCTGGGATTGCAGGCGTATACCACCATGCCTGGCTGTCCTGGCCCCATAGTTTTAAAGTAGGTAAAGGGCAAAGCCCCCGCCCCCATGCTCCAGCTGTCCCTTTGGCAGCAGCATGAGACAGAGCCAGTCCCGGTTGGCCTAAGACCCGGCCGTGTCTGTGTTGCCTGAGCTGCGCAGTGGCCGGGAGCTGAGGGGGCAGGTGGCTGGTGCAGGACGGGGCATGTAGGCTGTTGGGAGGGCTTGGCCCTTTCTTCTGGAGCGGGGGCTCTGCCTGTATCCTGTGTCCCCTGAGAAGAGCTAAGGGCATGCTGGCTTGGAGGCCCTGGCCCTGGGGTGAAGCTGAGGCTGAGGCAGGGTTCCCCTGTGCTTCTGCTCCTGCTGTCCAAGGCTAGAAGCAGAACCAGGCCGAGTAGGGTCAGGTCTGCATCCCTCCTTGGACATGGGCCCCCTTCGTTTCCTTCCAGGTGACCGAGTAGCCATCGAGCCTGGGGCTCCCCGAGAAGTAGATGACTTCTTCAAGATTGGCAGGTACAACCTGTCACCGACCATCTTCTTCTGCGCCACGCCCCCTGATGACGGGAACCTTTGCCGCTTCTACAAGCACAATGCCAACTTCTGCTACAAGTGGGTGCTGCCCTTTCCCTCGGGCTGCCGGGGGACCTTCCTTCTAGTTTCCTGTGGGGATTTCTTATTCTTTCAGCTCTTAATTCTTTTGATGCTGCTGTTGAGACTGGGTCTCGCTATGCAGTTCAGGCTGGCGTTGAACTCTATGTAGCCCGGGCTGGCCTTGACTCATGGCAGTCCTCCTGCCTCAGCTTCCTGAGTGCTGGGGTTTCAGGTGTGCACCATCATGCCTGGCCTTTTTGGTGTTCTTGTTCCTGGGAGGAGTGATGAGGAGGTGCAGGGCAAGTGCTTAGAGCACCCCAGGCCCGTGGGAGGCCCAGCCGTGCAGGGCAGTATCTGAGACCCCCAGTGGAGCCTGTCCTGTCCTCTGGAAGGTGTGGGGAGCAGGCAGATCTGGAGGCTCATGGGACCCTCTGAGTCCCTCGCTAGCAGTAACAGCATGTGCCTGCCCGCAGGCTCCCCGACAACGTCACCTTCGAGGAAGGGGCCCTGATCGAGCCGCTCTCGGTGGGGATCCACGCCTGCCGGCGTGGTGGAGTCTCCCTGGGGAACAAGGTCTTGGTGTGTGGAGCCGGTAAGGAGCAGGGACATCCGGCTGCAGGTCACTGAGTGGGACCTGGTGTCGCTCTAGAGTCTTCCCTGGGTTGTGGAGGCTTGTGGGAACCGGCTCTGGGCTACAGAAAGGAAACCTGTGACCTCCTGGGGAGCGGGACCTTTCTGTTCATTACCACAGTGAGCCTGGTGGTCATGTCTTGAACCCTTGGCAAAAACTAGGGAAACAGTGTTGGTAGCAAAGCGAGGGTGGAAATCCTGGTCACACTCAAGAAGTGTGGCCTGGCCCGGCCTGTGCATGGGGGGCCCATGCACTGTTCCCCAAGCCCCCACAAGGAGCCCCAGTGGCCTCACACTGAACCAGTCTGGGCTTTTAGGTGCTGGTGACCCAGACAGCAACCGTGCTCCCTGGGTATCTGCTGTGTCTCAGACATGTCATGGCCAACCACAGGGTGACGAGGAAACGCAGAAACCAGGGTGGGTCAGGGAGCAGGTGGCCCTGAGGATTCCCTTTGTCAGGCCAAAGCAGGCGGCTGTGGGGCCTCCAAGGAGGGACGGTGATGCGGCACCCACTTCTGTGGCCAGCAGACTGCAGACTGGGGGCTGGGCTGTGTCAGCGCCTTTTTCCCAGAGAGAAACGCGTCCCCTGCATGGCGCTAACAGGCACCCGGACCAAAGCTCCTACAGGGCTTCTTCCCCGCCAACCCGAGAGAGCTGTGTGATAAATGCGCTTCATCTTACCTACGCTTTTTAATTCTCTTTTACTTTAAAGAAAAAACATTCTGTCAGTATTTTGTTAACAGATGCAGCTACAGAATAACTTTTAGTAGGTGTGCGGTGTTCCTCTGTAGTATTTGTAGCTAGTCAGCCAGGTATGATTTCCCAGCTTTTGGCTTATGAAGTTGTTTCTAAGGGGTTTGTACACACGGGAAAGACCTTTTTCTTTTCTTGCAGTCCTGGGGTTAAACCCAGGGCCTTCAGTATTGAGCTACATCCTAGCCCATTTAAAATTTTTACTTTGAGATAGGGTCTTACTAAGTTGCCACGGCTGCCCTCAGGCATGTGGTCCTCCTGCCTTAGCTTCCTGGGTAGCTGAAAGACATTCTTTACTGCCCGTTCTGTGGGTCTGGGTTTCCTGTTAAAGCATGCAGGTACTGGTCCTCTGCATGGGCCCTGCAGAGGCTGTGCATGGCACAGACACCTTCTGTCTTCTGTTTGTTCAGGGCCGGTCGGGCTGGTCACCTTGATCGTGGCCAAAGCGATGGGTGCAGCGACAGTGGTGGTGACTGGTAAGAAGACTCGAGTCTTGTTGCGTCCTCTTGAGGGGAATGGGTGTGAGAGCCATGCCCTACCAGTGTCTGTCACAAAACCCGGAGGCAGGTGCTTTGAAAGAAAGAGGTTTGTCCAGCTCACCATGCTAGAGGTGGAAGTCAGGACTGGGCACCCCTTGGTTCAGGCTCAGGTGAGGCCCTGGTGAGAGAAGCCTGGGCAGAGGCAGGACCAGAGGCAGAGCTACCTGGGAGAACCATGTCACCCTGAGGGACCAGCATATGTCCCTTCCAAGGACAGTTGCCCAGGGACCCAGCTACCTGGCCCCAGGCCCCACCTTCAAACCACCACGCCAGAGGCCAGGCCTGCAGCACATGAACCATTAGGGAACAGACCACTTCCGGGCTGCAGTACTTCTGAGAATCTGGGTTTCTTTTTTGAGACACAGTCTTGCTGTGCAGTTCAGGGTAGCCTTCAACTCATAGCAATCCTCCCACTTTAGCCTAAGTGCTAGAATTGCTGGCATATGCCACTGTACCCAGCTGAGGGAGTTTGGGCTTCTAAGGGGCTTCATCCTCTGATATCCGGGGTGATAGTACTGAGAAAGTCCATGCATAGGTGACTACTCGGGGCTCAGGATGTGGCTCTTGAGGCCCTGTATTCGTGGGCCCTGCCCTGGGAGGAGGCTGCCCTGCCCTGGGAGGAGGCTCAGTGTGTCTGTCTGTCCAGCTGCCAATGTGCATCTGTGCCTGAGACACAGAGCTGCTGGGGCCTGGGAATACACAGTGGGAGGGGAGGGCATCTGCATGCAGGGCCCGGGCTCTGCACCTCCGGGCTCTTTCCTTACCAGTCAGCCCTCCGGGCTCTCAGCTGAAAGGGACTCCTCTGCCTCCAGATCTGTCTGCCTCTCGGCTGTCCAAAGCCAAGGAAGTGGGTGCCGACCTCGTCCTGCAGGTCTCCCAGGAGAGTGCCCAGGAGATCGCCAGCAAGGTGGAGGGGCTGCTGGGCGGCAAGCCCGAGGTCACCATCGAGTGCACCGGGGCAGAGAGCGCCATCCAGGCGGGCATCTACGTGAGTGGGTGGAGGGGAAGGCACCCTGTCGCCAAGTGCCCCCAGGGAAGAGTTACCCGCTCCCCTGACGCCCTTCCTGAGTCACCCCAAGGTGTCAGCCTGATTACAGAACCCATCGTGGATGAACGTCCGTGGCCACACATGCAGGGCAGGGCAGCCTTCCAGATCTCACCTGGGATTGTAAAAGGAGGATCAGCAAAAGGAACAGGAACCAGGACTGGGTGGGGGTGGGAAACCCCTTGAGCTGTTGCTGAGGAGGGCTTGATACAAAATGACAGCTGTGAGTTGGGTTAGTCACTCAGGGGAGGCGACTTGGCAGGGCTGTGCTGGTCATGGCTGCTGTGCCCTCTCCCAGAACAAGGAACAGAGAAGCTGCTGGCCATGGAAGGGAAGCTGGGATGGGGGCTGGGAGTGGTATCCCCAGATCAAAGTATGAGGAAAAGGATGACTGTGGGCGCCCCGCCCTGCCACACGCACAGGGTCCAGGCAGCCTGAGGTACCTTGCTGGACACTGGGACACCATCAGTCAGCACATGGCCAGCAGCGCCTGCCTTCCTTCTGAGTTACTACAGCTGAGGCAGAGGGCCGCTGGGCAGCATGGGACTCAGGCCTCATTGGACACAGCCGCTGCCCTTCCATTGCCAGAGTGGCCAGTGGCAGGAGGGTGGAGCAGGGGCCTGTGTCCTGTCCTGTCCGCTGTTGCCACTCTGCCTGCGCCGAAGAGGTTTCTGTGGCCTGTTCCCCGGGTCGGCTCCTTTCCCCAATCCTCGATGGGCAGGGACAGGAATAGACATTTCCCTGTGGCAGTGCCAGGCGATTTGCGAGTCAGCCCACACTTCAGTAAAACATAAAGCAGCCAGTGCTGGCTGAGGGAGCCCAAGGCCCAGCTCACCCCGTGGGGCTTGCCCTCCTTCCCTCACCCCAGCTCTGCTACATGCTCCCTCCCCAAAGGTCTCCTCCCTGCTGTCACCTTCTCCCCAGGAATTCGAGCTGAGCCATTGGCTTTTCTACAACTCCCTGTTCTTTTCATTGAGCGTCCCTGCACGTGCCACCATGTCTGCTGCTGCAGCTCAGTGCCAGGGCACTGTGCATTGTTCTGTCTCTCACCTGCGGTCCCCCAAAGCTTCTGAGGCAGACCTGGTACCTGCCCGCAGTCACTGGAAATTGTGGCAGCCACGCCAAGCTTCGAGGCGCTGGTGTTCCTAATGCCATGGCCTTAGCAGGGCACAGCACTGGTTTTCCAGATAAATATTCAGAGGTGATGCTTTCATTGGCTTTTGCCATCAGTGCCAGGAACAAAAATGAAGCCAGTTTAAAACCACATAATTCCAAAAGCGCATGCCTATAATCCCAGTGCTAAAGAGCGGAGGCAGGAGGATTACCTGGTGGTCAAGGCCAGCGTGGGTTTCATAGTGACACTGCCTCTCATGTAAAAGGAAGAATTCCCAAAGTCTAATTGTAGGCTGCTCAGTAGGGAGAGAGCTGGGAGGGCCTGAGCAAAGTCCCATCTTTTGGGGTGCACTCTAGAGGAGGAGCCAGTGCCAGGAAATGCAAGGCACACAGTGCCTACATTTGGCAAGCATGGAGATGCACTGTGCCCGGTTCTGCACTAGCGAGTGTACTGTGGGGGAATTGGTGAGGGCCGCTGGCCCAATTGGCACTCTGCTGAGTTGTGCAGCTGTGAATGAGCCCAGCGGTGTGGCTGCAGCGGCCTGCTCTGGGAGTCGGGGACCCTTACCAGCTGCGAGAAGCTGTCTGTGTGCCCACAGTGTGATGTGACCTACGGATGTTGTCGTGTTTCTCCTCCCCTGAGCGCTGTCCTCTTCCTCTTCAGGCCACTCGCTCCGGGGGGACCCTGGTGCTGGTGGGGATGGGCTCCGAGATGGCCAGAGTGCCCCTCATCCATGCCGCCATCCGGGAGGTGGACATCAAGGGCGTGTTCCGATACTGCAACACGTGAGTGGGCCGAGTGAGCCGGGTGCCGGGAGCCAGCAGGACCAGACAGGCCCCACACGGCCTCTGCCACCCGTGGCTCTGCCTGTTTGCTCATGGGGCGCTCCCAGGCCACATGGATAGCCACATGATATGATAGGGACTCAAGGCAGGACGTGTGTCCTTGGCAGAGGGAGGGCTAGTCATGCTGTCCTGGGGGCCCTGCTCCTCACCTGGGGCTGGAACTGAGCAGACCTCCGTCCTCCCCTTTATGTGGAGAAGGGGGGAAAAGAGGACAGAAGCAGACATGGGATCCTGTTGCCTCCCTCCCAAGCGCGAGCCTGCACTGGGGAACCAGAAGCTCTTCACGCACCCATGTGTTGTGTAGCTCCTTGTGGTCCCTGCCAGGACCCCCATCCAGGATGTCCTCCGAGAGGCTACAGCTCCTGCCCTTGGCATAGCACCAGTTTCCTGCTGAGCCTTTCCCGGGGGCCTCTGTGGTCCACCATGTGCTTTAATGCCGAGCAGTGCTGGGCTTCCCTGGAGGGGCAAGTGATTGGGCACAGTCACTTTGAGGTGCAGTAGCACCAAATATAGGAAAGCTTTTTACAGTAAAAGACAGGGCACAAATCCCCCTCAGTCCTCCCACTCACCTGGAGCACACTCATCCCATTGTCCTTGCCGATTTCTGCAGCAGCTCTGGAGTCCTTTTCTGGAGGGTCTTTAGTTGCACTGTCGCAGGTGCCTCAGTGTCATGCATGGGTTTAAAATGCTTCCCGCTCAGGGTCATTTTGACTTTGGGAAGGAGCCAGATGTTGCGTGGAAGTGGATGCCCTGAGGGTGGAGGAAGGGGACACAGCGTGACACTCCTGTGAGAGGCCTTCTCACTTTATGGGGCTCAGCAGCAGTATTCACTGTGTTTTTGATCACATTTCATAAAGACCCTGGGGAAACAGGACTTCAGAGCTGCTTCAAACTTCTGAGTGGCCTGAGTGTGTGGGATTCACGGCAGTGCATGTTTCACTGTAAGGTTTTTAGAGTAGAGATATCGTCCTGCGTTTTGATCACACCTCATATATCTGCAGACCACAGGCCACTGGGTCCCTCTCTCTGCCTTTGGTCTATGAAATCCCCCTTGCAGAAGCACAGTGCTGGAAACCAGCCGTTCTTGAGCTGGGCCCGCCTCTGTCGCCGAAGCCTAAATGTGATACCCGTGATCTTTTGCAGGTGGCCAATGGCCATTTCGATGCTTGCGTCCAAGTCCGTGAATGTGAAGCCCCTAGTCACCCATCGGTTTCCGCTGGAGAAAGCGCTGGAGGCCTTCGAGACATCCAGGAAGGGAGTGGGGATAAAAGTCATGCTCAAGTGCGACCCCAATGACCAGAACCCTTGACACCAGCTGGGCTGTCACCCTGCCCCCCATCTTGGGGCTCAGTGGTCTGGAGGAGAGGCTGAACTGTGCTCAGGACAGTAAGAATAATAACGTGGGGCTGGGTGGCAGCTCGGGCCAGACACTTGCCAGGCAGACGTGAAGCTTGGGTTAATCCCCAGTCCTACTGAAAAATCAAAAAAAATCAAAAAAGAAAAAATGTAAGTGATGAATGTGATCCATTGCCAAGGGAGAGCCTTCCAGAGGAGCAGGTGTGCCTTAGGATCGCAAGCAGAGACAGCTGGACACCTTGCTCTTGCCAACCAGGGTCAGGCCCCCTCTTCAGGAAGGGCCCTCGGGTTCTGGATCCACTGTGATGGGCTGAGTGACAAGGAGAGACTGTCATCGAGTCCCACCCAGCCGCCCACCACTGCGGCTGATCATGGGCAGGTGTGGGTCAGGGGTGCTCCGCTCTGGATGAGAAAGAGGGAAAGAGGAGGGTCTGACTTCCTGGGCCCAGGACGGCTTTGAGATCAATCAGAAGGCTAAAAGCTAAGAAGCCCACAGTCCCGAGATGTGGAATAGCAAGGGCCCTTCTAGACCTGCTAGAAGACAGGAGCCCCCTCCCCATTGCTAGGCAACTGGAAGACTTCTGCCTGAGGGCATCGCTGGGGGAAGACCCGCGGGTCTCTTCAGGTCTGCCCACCCTGCAGAATCTGCATCCCTCCATGGCCAGCCAGAGATCATGGCCAGGCCATTGCACTCCATCCTGGTTATTGGAGACAGTAAACTTTCCCCTTCTCTTAGTCACTGGGTACTGTGTACCTATGTTCCCATCAACTCAGGAGCCTGAAGCAGCCTATCTGCAAGTTCAAGGACAGCCTGGGCAAACTTAGTAACATCCCATCTCCAAACAAAAAGGGCAGCAATATAGCTGGGTTGTAGAGTGTTCTGGGTTTGTTTTGTTTGTTTGCTTTTGAGACAGTGTCTATCTACATAGTTCAGACTGGCCTTGAACTCACTGTGTAGCTCAGGCTGGACTTGAATTTGTGGCAGTCCTCTTGCCTCAGCTTCCTGAGAACTGGGGTCACACCTGACTGTGTCCCAGGTTCTTGGAAAAAGCCACCAAAAAGGCTCTTGGTACTTTGCTGTCTGCTGGGAAAGTCATCTCTGACCTTGTCTTCTATTATAATTATGAGGGTTTTCTGTGTAAGATTCAGACCCAGGTCACAATGTGCCCTTCTGGACTTCGAGATGATTAATCAAGAATGAGGATATAGAGGCTGCCACTTAGCTTGTGCTTCGGCCCTCAGCCCTCATCACTGCTGGCGTGGTGGGAGGCAGTGGGAAGGGCTGTGTGTTTGCTTGTCCCTGTACCAGCCCCGCAGGCCTGGCCCCCGGTGCCCAGAACTCCCCCAGCTGCTCAAGTCGCAAATCCCGTGCATCTGCCTATCTAAGGAGCAGCGGCCACCACGCCTGGCTCTCAGAAGGAAGAATCCCAGGACTCCTGTCCTGTGCTAAGAAGAACTGCACTGACAGCTGGACGTTTCCTACCTGTCCTCCCTGGCTCTCCCCGCAAGCCAGTTATCTGCCGGTTGTTTCAAAGATCATGAAACAGAAATAAAGTGATTCTGCCAAGGTCCCTGGCTGCATTTCTCCTCTCACCCGGTGGAGGACAGGAGGCCCTGAGGCCTTGAGCAGCCCCTTTTCCCTTCTCCCAATCCTGCTTGGTTAGGGCCACACTTGCCACCTGACTTCTCTCAGAACTGTCCTCCTACCAGGCACTATGGTGCACACCTATAATCCTGGCACTCCAGGAGGCTAAGTTGCCCAGCCTGGGCAATTTAGCAACTTAGTGAAACCCAGTCTCAAAAGAATTTTTGAAGACGGGGATGTATTTCAGTGCAGAGGTTCTGGGTTCCACCCCCAGTACCTGAAAAAGAAAAAAGAAAGAAAGGACAAAGGAAAAAACACCCTCCTTCCAGCTCGGAGGGCCCCAGGTTGCTTTAAGTGGGTGGGAAAGTCTCCCTCTAGATAGAAGCTGCCTGATAAAAACTCTGGGGCAAGGGAGAGGAGCTTCACCGAGGAGCTGCTGCTCCTGACCAGCAGGACGGAAGAAGGCCACCAAAGTGGGGACTGCAGGAGGGACAGTAGGACAGGAAGGGCCACCAGGACCAAGATGTCCCTTTCCTCCCGGGGGGGCTGGGACTTGCTTTTCTGAGCCAAAGTCCGTGGTGTCACCAGCTTCCAGCTCCATGATGGCTGTGTGGCTGTGAAGATGGGCTGATTGAAAGCTGGGGGTCCCAACCTGCTGCTCTGCACAGATCACAGGGCAGAGAGTGGGAAGAGGAGACCTCTTGCTCTTGCTCCGAGCAGCAGAGTGCAGTAGTTTGGCAGCAGAGTCGCCCTGGGGACCCCTCTGTACCCCAGCCCAGAGGCTTGCCCCCTGCTTGCAAGGGGCTGCAAGAACCTCTTGTCAGCCCACAGAGGGCTCAATCAATGTTGACCGACTCCGTGAATCAGTCCCGGAACCACGCGTGTGAATTTCCCAGCAGCTCCCCGACCTGGTGGCTTCTGTGTGCTCTGGCACCAATTAAAGTCAACACTGCGGACCCCGCCCTGGTGGCACTCCCAGCATGTGGGTGGCTTAAGGTGTGGGTGGGGAGCCTGAGAGAGGGACCCTGCCGCTCCCTCCAGGGTGGCCACAGACGCCCTTCAGAAGGGCGCTTGGCTCCTGTGCCTCCTTCTCCCTCAGGCTGCCTTTGTCCCCTCGATGCCTCTACCCCACCCTCCACCCCCGCCCAGATGCCAGCCACGACCCCTGCTGGGCTCTGTGCTGCTTCTCAGGCCATCTCCCCTCTCCCCTGGTTTCTGGGTGCCTTGGGGAACTGCCTTTTTCTTGCTAGTGATGTCAGTCTAGGCTCAGGGTACAGAGGCCATAGGAAGACAGGAAGCAAGACCTGCCTAGGCTTGGGCTGGGCTGCGCTGCAGATAGGGAGGGGGCCAGAGGGGCCCCATTAACCCCCATCTGTACCCCAAAGTACCCAGGAGGAGCGGATGCTGCTGCCTCTCGGACCTCAGTACTTTCTTTGGCACAGCCATTGCCATGGTGATGCTGCCCAGCAGCGTCCAGCCTGGCAGGCCCAGGCAGGGTCACCAGTCCATCCTGAGGAGGGCTGCCCCTGGCTTCCCGTGAGGGTGCTGACTCCCCACAGGGTCTACCCTGACCCACTCCTGTGGGAGTCAGCTGCTTGATGTGTCCAGATCTCCGCAAGGTAGCGCACCCCATTATCACACTGTAAGCAAATAAGCAGAGGAGATGAGTGGCGAGGAGGGTCACCATGACCACTTCCCCAGGTTGTGGCCACATCAGGTACTGCTGGCTCTTCCCTGGCATCTCTATAAAACTCGTATGTGACTTACAGCCCAATGGAAATGTGTTTTCCCTACTTTTTTCATTTTTGCCTGTAAGACTGTAAAAACAATCAGGATTATTAAATAATTCCTATTTTTTTATTTGTTTTTTTTGACACAGGGTCTCTGTGTCACACCGTATAATGCAGGCTGGCCTTGAATTTACTTACATAGCCCAGGCTGACCTTGAGTTCATGGTGAGTCTCCTTCTTCAGCCTCCCAAGTGCTGGGATTACAGGCGTGCACAACCATGCCCAGCTAAATAACTCCCAGTATTCAACCAAATGAAATTAATAATTCCTCCATATCATCTAATAAACTATCAATTTTCCCCAGTTATCAAAAATAACATCATAACCAATCAGTTTTCCTCAATTATAAAAAAATTACCTTTTTACACTTTACTTGCTGAAGTGGAGGTCTAACAAGCAGAGTATGGTGATACTTGCCCATAATCCCAGGGTTTGGGAAGCTAAGACAGGAGGGTCACTGTGAGTTCAAGACCAGTCTGTTCTACATTACAAGATCCCATGGGCCACTGTCAATCCAAAAACTAAAAGAGAATTTAAAAAAATCTAAACACCTCCCATGTGGTTAATAAGTTAATGTCTCCTTTAATCCGGCGTAGTTCTCTCAGTTTGGGTTTAGATGCCATTATTATGTTGAAGAAACCGTGTCTTTTGCCCACACCCTCACTCTAATCACCTAATCACCGTACCCTGCTGTACAGAGGTACTGTCGTGACGAGGCATACCGCACTGTTCGGGGCGTCTGGGTGGTTCTCAGGGTTTGCTTCTCTGATGAGGTGATGAGGACGTCCTCATCTACCCATCTTTTGTACACTTATTTCCTGCAGTTACGTTTCGGAATGCAACCAGTTGGGCTTAAGAGTACAAGCATTTTATTTATTTACCTTTGGTGGGGCCAGGGCGTGAACCCAGGACCTCACGCATGCTAGGCAGGCACTCTGCCTCGGAGCCCTGCCCCCACAGCGAGCATGTCCATCTACTTGTCACCCAGCTGGACAAGAGCGCACAGTGTGCATGTGGTGTCTGTGGAAAACCTCCAGGGGGTTAGCGGAGGACTCAGATGGGGGGGTGGCAGCTGGGCTGCTGAGGACCCGACTAAGGAGCCTCCAATTCTCCGACCTCATGCCAAGCTTTGGCTTGGGTCTCACCATGCCACACTTAGCCCGGTTTCTTTGTCTGTGGGCCTCAGTTTCCTTGGGGATACTCTTGGTGTTCCGCTCTGGCTCCGGGCCTTTTGCCAAGATTAGATGCAAACAGCCCTTGACAGAGCTGGCGTGGGTTTGCAGGTCCTGTGGCCTGGCTACCATGGAGCAGTGGCCACTATCAGGCAATGAACTAGACTGAGCTTGTCTCCCCCCCGCCCCCCACCTAGCAACAGCTCAAATCCAGGAAACAGCGGGTTCCACTCACCAAACACTAATAAAACACTGGGCGCTGGGTGATTTCCCTTGCCACTGGGACAAAACCCCTCCTCATGAAAGGACAGGTTTCTTTTGGCTCACGCTTCAGTCCACAGGCAGCTGGCTTCGAGGCAGGGCCCACCTCAGAGGACAGTGGTGCTCAGCCTGGTGTGGCAGGCAGGAAGCAGGGTCAGAGGGCAGGAGCCGGTGAGGGAGAGGAACAAGCCCCTGTAATCCAAACCCCCCAGAAGCCCGTCTGTGATCACCTCAAGCTTTAGGGGGCCATCTAGACATACGGGTTCAGGATTAAGGGTGGACCATGCAGAATGTTTCCTCTCAGCTCTGGCCTCTCCAGGAGGAGGAAATCCTTGCCATAGAATGAATGACCTCAGCTATGAAGACGCAAACTTGAATTCTCAAGAGTTCCAGAGACATGGCAGTTAGCGGGACCCTTGGAATTTTATCTTCTGAGTGATTCGAATACAGTCATTGTCATATTGTTTATTAATTTTGGGCTTGTGTAGCCAAGCAATATGGCATTCTGTCTCACTGGGAGGTTTGTGCCGTCTGCTTTTTATGACCCTGAAATGAAGTCATTCCTTTGTGTCCCACACCCTGTCTGTGGGGTAGGACAGGGTACCTGCCTTGACAGTGTCTATTCCAGGGCTGAGGATTCTGGGGAACTTCTTGGGAAAACTGTTATCAACAAGCAGCAGGTCAACAAATGACCAGTCAGTGAACGAGGAAGGAGGGAGACCAGGAACTCACCATCCAGGGCAGAGTGATGAAGTGACTCAGCCTCTGGACGCTGGGGCCGAGGGTGGGAAGCGGCTGGGCCTCCACACAGCACTGGGACAGACAGGTTCTGGCCAGCGCTCCCTGGCCACCCCCAGTGTGGCTTCCCAGGCCCACATTCTAAGAGCCCATACCTCACCGCACACCCTGAGCAAACCAGGGCCCTGGGAGGGCCTGGCTCGGGCCAGAATGGGGCTCCAGAGTGAGTGACACTGCCCAAGGCCTTGGAGGAGGTGACCCTTTCAACTGCCTCACTGGAAGGAGACAGGCATCGCTGGGGGCTGACTGGGGATACGGCTGTTTCTCGCTGTGGCCTGGAATGGGCGGAGGCAGAGGAGGAAGAAGTGGATAGGCATCAGATTCCTCTTATGTCTGTGACCTGTCTGTGACCTTGAGCGACTCGCCGACCTCTCCCAGCATTTGACTGCATCCTTCAAATGGGATAAATAATACCTGCTTCACGCAGGGTCACCCCTGGGACACCTGCAGCTCTGAACCTAGTATATGGTGCCATGATGGTGCGGTCACATGCTCAGGCCCTCTCTGCCCATGCCGAGAAGGGCACGAAGGGTGGGCGGTCCCAGGGTACTTCTGGCTCTGAGCTGTGAGTCTGCACAGGGGCCTGAAAGTATGTGAAAAGTTCCCAAGGACAAGGCTTCAACCTGTCCTGACCCAGCAGCCTATGCTCTTCCATGGGTGTGCCAGGGCTACACAGATGGCACCTGCTTTACTCTGCTCCTTGGAACCACCCAGAGGAGCCCTGGTGTTCTCTAGACAGGGACTCCTAGAAGCCACAACCAAGCCTCATACTGCATTGTGGAGGTGCCCTTCTCCGGCTGGCACCTCGCCTGGCACACACAGGAGCAGCTCTGTAGCCAGCCCTCAAAGCATGGGCCAGGGGCTAGCCCGACTGCTCCCAGCAGCCTCCTTGGTTTGGGGGAAGTAGCAGTTTCCCTGTGGTGGGATAAGAACAAAACCAGAGCAGGGCAGCATCTTGGGTTC